AAATAACTCTCCGTGAGGCACCCTCCTCGTGAAAAACCGTCTCGCTGTACCATGCATACAACAACGTTGAAAGCACTCACGCGCAACGACCAAAAGGACGAGACTCTGGATTAGCAATATGAGAATGTCGCCATCTTACCTTGAGGTTGAACACTCCTGAGATGACAAATCTGAAAACAAATCCAAAGATATCTTGTTGATCAAAAAAAAAGAGTACCTTCAAAATCTTATCGCTTAACTCTAAAATGGCCAATTCTTGTGAGCCTGCGTAGAGCCTAGGAGAGAAGAATCTACTTGTTTTTGGCCTTGTAATGACATCAGTAACAACACAAATCATGTGGAAAAGTAACTAAAAATATTCGGCATTTATTTATAGTTAAACAATCATAAATGCAATAAGGAAAAACTAAAACTGTTTCTTCCAAAGAGATGAAACCACATGCAGTTTGGAGTAAGAATATGCCTTTTGCAGTTTGCCATGGTTAGGTCTTTCACATGAATTCATGTGTGATCACTGTGTTATATATCGAAGATAAAATGTGACCTGCTGTGTGAAAATGAGTCATAATTGCCAGGGCCACGTTTTGAGTTTTTATTGGTATTGAAAAGAGCGAATCGAGCTTTTTGTTTTGATGTATCGCTCAGTTTGGCATCCTGATGAAAGTGGATACTCCATGGTGAAAAATGTTGTTCGCTCCTATTGATTTACGCTGTGCACAAATATTCTAAAGGAGTGTTTACTCCGTGGTGGCTCTGCCGACTTGTGACTCATTTTCACAGAGTGGGTCTCAAATTGAGAAGATTGAAATGTAGACCAAAAATAACTTTATTAGTACAAAATTCAGATCTTCTGTATTGTTGAACCCGTTGAGAAGGAACTCTTGCAAAAAAAGTCTGGAAATTCGTGAAGATTTCGCACGAATTTGTATAAATTTATAAACACTAGGTCCTTATAATTTAATTACCTTGCTGTGTACTAAAAGAAAAAAACTTAAGTGCAGAGGCGTAACTGGGGCTAAACATCGGGGGACACCCGGGGTGGACTCATTTTTTCAAGGGGGCACCACACAAAAAATCAGCTGCAGTTGCATAGCTATAGGCCTATAAACTCAACGGAGATTATTCACAGATTTCAAATGGGGGTAACGGGCATCCCTTGGGGGGGGCACGTTCCTCCTGTGCCTCCCCCGCAGTTACGTCACTGCTTAAATGACTGCTTGTATGTGGAAAAGAATCCTTTAACCCTCACTGATATAAAAGAAAATAAGGAAGCCGCGGAACCGAAAGCACAGTAAAAATTAAGGAACTCACAACCGGGCATCGCTAGAACCGAAGGCCGAGCACTTTGCAGTGAGTACGCGTAGTTAAACGTTCTTGTACTTGATTCAGATAAAGCAAAAAACTGCGTCACACACCACACTTACTATTCCAACGAGTAACACGATCAAGCCCTTCATCTCTGCAGTTCTTTTTGCTCGAAGAATCCAGCGAGAAATATCCCCGTAGAGGTAATCTCAGTTCACATTCTCCCCAGAGAACACAAACCTTTTTTTTATTTATCACAACGACATCCCAAGGAGTTATCCACTCACAAATATCCGAGGTGAACTATGGCGGACGACTTGATGATGTTGAGGCTGTTTTTGCCGTTGTGCAACGAGAGAGCAGGCTTACAAAGCTTTGAAGGGGACTGCTGTTTTCACAAAACAGAGGGCCCGCTATTTTATCGATCGTGGCCCCTTTCCAGATTCTGGTTGTCCAGTGCAGATAAAGTGTTGCACCCCTGTTCTGCGTCGCTTTGCAAGTGCAGGCATGGTTTCCCTGGTCCGTCGAAGATCAAGAGTGGTCTGAATATCGAGAATCGATAACACAAGGTGTGTTGATGATCAATAATCCTGCAGACTTTGTAAAGTGGACAAGACATAATCAGAGGTATCCTCGATGGGCGCGGCCTGGTTTGTAAACAAACCCTCCACCAATCATACATGTGGAATGAGTGCGTTGAATCGAGTCTGCCGGTGAGAGGGGGGGGGGTTGGTGACAGCAAAACTTTTCGACACCCATCAACTCTGCAATCAAAAATTTGAAAAAGCGTTGAAGAGTTTGGATGCTTTTGAGCGCCGTCATGCGTCAGGGGGTGCTTTATTTATATCAGTTGTTGGATAATAAATCAACCCTGGCTGCATGTTTTGGCAATTCCTCTCTCTCCGTTTCTTGGTCTTTGCGTTAAATTATCAGCCACTGTCCAGTTCAGTTATTTTTGGCAATTGGTAACAAATAATCTTGAATAATCCCGTGGACGTCACCATCCTCTGATTACATAGCTAAGCGGAAAGTGCCCATTTCAGTCCCCAGGATCCACACCGTTGATTTAGGAAGAAAAAAATGAAGGAAAATATGTGTGGCTGATCGACGAGACAACTTCCGATATCGACATTTGGAACTTCACAAACGCACTTCCATCGCCCGTCGAATCAACCGATGTACTCGAAGTGGCATTTTCATCACAAGTCGGCCATTTTGAACCGAAAGCGCGATTAACTTTGCTTTTATTTTGATAGTTGTGAAATTATACACCTCATTACAAATTCCTGTCAATCACTCTGCTGAATAATTTGCAATAATACAAACGATGTACCGTGTGTAACATGAAATGCGCCCTTTTGCTTCATGTGGTGTCCAGCAATCGCCCGCTCATCCAATTTCCGCGGTCGCGTTAACCTTTTTATATATGCATGTATGTATTTATTTTTTATAATCAATTCATTCCTGATCCTCTCTGTCCCCGACACAGATTCACGGCACTGTCCATGGCAACCTGCAAGTCAGCTAAGTCCAAGGTGACGATCAACTTGCCGAGGCGACAATCCAAACGGTCACTCGCGCGCTGTAATTCGGCGACTGACAGCAACAGATGTGCCTGACACGATAAAAACTGTCAAAATATGGAGAAAGACAATTGATTTTTTTTAACGCAGATACTCAGCTGCTCATGAAGCGTAGCAGGCTGGTATGTTGTCGCAAGAATTTTCCATGATCCATTTTTGAATGTGATCTCGTAGTTGGAACGAGAAAAATATTCACTAAAAAGGGGAACATAGACCTAAATGCCGATGTCGAGGGTCCGAGTGAGACACACTGTGACTCTTGTAAAACAAAGCAAACCCCGATATGTAATGGGCAGGCTTGATTCAACGCGTCTAAGAATCAAAATCAGAAGGTTAACAATTTTGTACAGAAAAAGTAAGTCCCACAATACACGAACACGATCAGTGCACAGTGTAGTATCCATACGATATACAATGAGGGTAAACGTTAAAATCGTATTCAGAACACTAAACAGTTTATATCCGTCTGGTGGTAATTGTCATTAACGCTGCCAGATCGGTTACGTGAAATGTATATGAACAGGTTATGAATTATTTCCACTATAACGGAAATGGTGAATTATGGGCTAGTGTGCTAGTATTGCAGCGGTACTAGTAGTCTTTTATCAAGCCGTTAGTTGCGATTGCCCAGGTTTCTATACAATCAGCAGTAAATGAGCTCAGGCAAAATTAGAAATGTAATCACAAAAGAATAGCGCAACTTAATCAATGATGACCACCGTGCTTTGAATGTTTATGTGTTGATTCGCAATCTGCGCTGTTCCTTAAGTTCCATGAACAATTATGCAGATCGAGTCAGAAGCCACATGTAATTGAATCTGAATAGACGCATGTTGACATTGTTTTCTAGTTGATTTAGAGGATTTCATGACCAACATATCTTTCAAAAACTTTTGATGAACTGGAATGAATAAACTGAGTGTTACAATACCAAGTATGTGAACCAGTACATTCCAAGGCCAACGATAAACTCGATCAGTGCAGTACTGGTTGCCTTTTGGGGAAGAGTTCCATACGGACGCCAGTAATTATTCCCTACAGTGACTTATTAGCCGTCAGAAAACAAAATATGTCCAGAAAATTTCGATTTAAGAGGGAAAAAAACAAGGCCTTTGCTTAGAAAACACAGGCAATTTTTCAGACCAGTTCCACAGGATTTGTGCACAGTGTCAAGAGGCGTCCGTATACGGAACTTTTTCCCAGCCCTCTACTCAACCACACCTTCATGGCAATGCAGACAAATTCATTCGATCTGCACATTATTAGGGGCCGTCCATAAAGTGCGTACGCACGAAGGGGGAGGGGTGCCGTTGTGTACACCTTGCGTACAGAGGGGGGGGGGGCTCAAGCCAGTGCATACCGCACGCAAACCGAAAATTTGCCTTAATTAAATGAATCTTCATCATATTGTGATGGCAACCTATCAGAGGCGCTTCCAACCGCCAGTAACGGGGACTATAGGCCTAGCTATAATTATTTACATTTAATTTAATGGTAGAAAATCAAACAACAATGAAAATACAAGAAAGAAATCCATGTACCTTTTAACAACTGAGATAACTAATTTAATAGGCATTTCTTCACATACAGACAATATGATTAAAGCACCAGAGAAGGGCTGGATAGGTTATTGGAGGAAATAACACATGGGACCCGGGCCTCATTGGTACAAAGCGAGAAAAGAACTGCTACGCTAATCCACTCTCCTACCCAGAGTGTAGGCTTCAAGCAGCTCTATAGCCAGCAGTGAAAGCCAACTGCTTATTCAAAAAGAAAGGAATTCCTAAAACTGCAGTGAACAAAACAGACAAACATGTCGGAACACAAAGAGCCAGACCGGGGTTCCATAGTGAAATTAAAGAATAAAAGGTCAATGAACAATAGGGGCCTGCAGTGCCATGGCAGGAACGCGGAAGGAGCAACAGCTTGCCGTAAGAAAATAGACTCAAGGTTTGTTAAAATAGCAATGCACTTTCTCAAGGTCAATCAACTACCAGGAGCAGCTTTTGTACGTCGAAATTCAAACACGGTATCCTTCGTTGTCACCCCATCAATTATCCTCCCGTGCCAACGCCCATAGTAAACCGCAACACTCATAACACAAAGACCGGAATGCGTACACGTACGGGGAGGGGGTGGAGCCACTGCGTACGTCGCGGGAGGGGGGTTTGAAAAGTCGGCAGAAGAGATTTGTTTTTACGCAACACGTATATAAATAAACACGGAAGCGTATTGCTGACGATCCGAAAACAATAGTTTATCTTAAACGACTTAGTCTCGTTTAAACGACTTAGTTATCTCGTTTAGACGAGATATCTACACTTTGTTTAAACGGGATAATACGCCGTTTAAACGAGATAAAATAATTTTTTCGCGTTGGCAGCAATGCGCTTCTGTAAATAAAGGCTGTAATCGTGGCTTTGGGGGATTTCTTGATTTCGAAGTCCAGTCCAACATTTCAAAAGGGGAAACTTCACGTAGCATAAAACTAGTCTCCTTTCAAGATTTATTATCCCATAAGAGAGTACATGACCTCAGAGCTATAACTCGGAGCCCAAGACGGTGATGTAATAAAAAAACGCGCTTCCAGGATCCCAGGAAGGGATGACGTGTTTCTCGATGACATAGACAGTGACGGTAGCTGTGCAAGTCTAGTACGGTCGGCGATCCAGCAGCACTGTTCGTGTCAACATTCTGCTCTACTCCGCAACAACTGTCTGAGATCTGAGCCCAGCGTTGGCCTCCACAACGACCAGGTAATGAGTAACATGGAGAGCGTTTTTGAACATCATTTTATGCAGTAGAGTTACGGTTGAGTATTACGAGTACACTTTCCACGAGTACACAAAAAGACTCGCTTGTTAGACAAAGTGTGTGATTTGTTGCACGGGCACCGATTTACAAAGCATGGCTATTTCAATGGAGCCGTCGTGGCAGTGTATTCGCGAGGCCCTGCCGGCCATACAGCAACGTGTACCGTGGATGTAGAAATAGGCAAACATCGGAGGTCATGTTGATCGACTAGCCAACTGTCCAGCTCTGGGTCCGTGGTCCATGATAGTAAACGTATGATGTACTTCAGCTTGGACAGTGTTTGCGAGTAGATTGGGTTGAATATGGTAAACCGTACGGCCGTCAGTCACGTTTATGTATTCCTGCATATCCTATAGCTTTACCCACCTCCACAGCTACATGTAGTGTTCTCGTGCTCCTTTAATCTTACTTACTACCCCTCCCCTATCGCTCCCTTCCTGTTTGCTGCCACGTGCATTATCATATCTCAAGGCCTAGTTGGGTGTAAACTGGAGATAGGAAATCGAGTCGTCAAATTCTGAGTACAATATAGGCCTATACATGTATTTTCATATTTTCTTCGGTCATTTTGGTGGCCCCAAAACGTCCCGCAGCTACACCTTTTTTATTTTGTTATATTTTTACGTATATAGACGACTCTATTTTGCCTACAGGCTACAATGCAAAACTCGGGTGTTAAAATTAACGCTTTCGGTGGTATCAGAGGACTACACCAACACTTTTCACTCAGTTTCACTGGTGTTAAAAAGTTTGGTGTTATTTTGTGTCACGTTTAACACCCTCCAGTGCATTGTAACACTTATAGGTGTGCAAAGTAACACCAGCGGTATTAAAGTAACACTTTATGGTATGGTCATCTAATGACACCAAAAAGTGTTGATTTCAACACTGGAGTTTTTAGTGTACAACATGTATGGGCAGCCAGAGTTGCAGAAATAGTGGTTTTCGATGTTACCTCAAATTCGTTCAACATGGACATTTGTCTCTTTAATTTAAATTGTAAAACAGGATCGCCTTTTCACTTAGTATTAGTGTGTTATTATCTGGTGGTCTGATAGCTGCCTGGGATTTTTATCACTTTGTGAATAATTCTTTTGCCTTTTTTGGCACCGACGGCCAACCATAGTATTAGCAACAACTTGTAGGACAGACACGGCTGTGGCGACTGAAGAGCAGGTCCTAACAGAGAATAACTGTTGTAAAGAGTGGACAGAGACATCACCTACTGTATTCCCACTGCGTTTTCTGCTGGGGATTGATCCGACTTTTGTTGGTCGTGGCAAATGGGAACCCCCTCACAATTTGAGCTGATTATGAAGTCCTTGAATATTTTCGGCTCACAGGTGTTTTTGGATTTGCATTTTTCCCGCACACAAACGTATCCCGCGTATAATTGTAATCGTCTCGTTTATATATATAAAGAAATAATCTGAACTTGCAATGCCCTTAATCAGCTTATAGAGATCATTGAATCCACTAGCGGTTATTTTACCGAGCCGAATACAAAGCTTGCCCGGTAATGCCCGCCTTCGTTCTACCTGGCATCAATAGAAGGGAGCCAACCCGCGATTTGTATTCGGCTCGATAAAATGGCCGCTGGTTGGCTTCTATTTCATGCAAAGTCCTTTTTTTTATATACCTCCGTGCGTTCAAGGCGTTGTTCACTTGTTCTTAAATATTTTTTCATATGATGCAAGATATGGGGCAGAGAGAATCCTCCCCGCTTTTGTCTTGGTCATTGTTTTATCGGAATCTCAGGAATTCTTTACAGACTTCGGGGGGGATGTGTTAGGTAACTAACAATAGTGTGTACAGGAATTGGACTTGGGGGTACCCATCGGCCCCATATCGTGCGCGGTATATCTTTTTTTTTTCTTTTTTTTTTTGCTTATCCAATGTTTAATAGGGATTGTAACCCAACCCCGTGTGAGGCATGTGTTTGTTTTCACCTAGGCTGCTTTTAATGAAGGGAATAAAATTTGGCCGGTCTCAAACGCGGTGTGGCGGTCTCAGCTGTTTCCCAGTCTCAGTGGTCCCACCTGACGTAGCCAGACATTTTTTGTTCGTTTGGTATGCTCCTTGAATTTGTCACAGGTACTATAAAGCGTCAGGCACAATGTACATGTACCATGGCAGGATCGTGCAGGGTTTGTTATTGTTCCGGGTTTGCGTTAATGTGAAGGACCACGTACAACAAAGCTAGTGGCGCGGCAATACGCTGCATTATAGGGAATATTCATGCAGCTACCCGCGTACACGTGGCAAACGTATGACCGTTTGTCTCTGCAGCTGCTGACTGTGACGCTTGAGTGATAAAACTAATCAAGCAGTAAGAAAGAAAAGAACATATGTTTCCAAATTCCAGACATGACTGTTTTTGTGAAATGCTTCAGGAGCGCACTAATTTACCGACAGTTACTGTAAACAGAATACTGTAAATAAAAGTGACTACTTCCTTAAAAGAGTGAATGCACTCTGGCCGTGATATGGGTAGTGAGCACCAATATGTAATTACCCTTTTGGGTCATATTTGACCCAGAAAGGGTCGAATATGACCCAAAAGGGCCATGTTTTGACCCGGAAAGGAGTCAGGCCACATGGGACCCAGATTCCGGGTCAATCTTACCCTTGAGTTTTAGAGTGTATAAAAAAAATGACGAGACTGCATATTGACCACGAACTAGAAATGGAAGGCCCTCGGTCTGCTTTTCGTCTTTGGCTGTTTGTTCATTATCTTGGCCGTGTATAATTGACAAAAACGAGGCAGAAAACAGTGAAACAGCCAGATTCTCATCCTTTGATAGATTAATTAATTGTGTCATAGCTAGGTCTTCTTATCGGATATGTTCGATAAGGTTGCCGCGATCTAATCCGAGCCCCACTGAAAACAGTGTAAAATCAACAAAGTGCAGGGATCAATGGGTCGTATGAAGAAAAAGTAGCGTTTGCTTTTTCTACCATTTTTGAAGCACTTACTCTTGTTTGCATGAATAATAACGAAGCACACGATTTGACTTTAGTGCAGTTGCTAAAAAGTAAAATTATTACGCTTTACACTTTAAGCTTGCGCTGGACAATAAGGCAGTTGCTTCATTTTGTATGAATACAAATGAGTAAGTTCAATGGGATTGGATTATTTACTTGACATTTTTCAAGACTGGGTCAGGGCAAGCTTGAATACAAGGAGCATTTACTAATGTTCGAAATGGCAGCATTCATGAATGTCACTCGAAAGGAAAAGCTGTATGCCTTTCGAAGGGAAAACCAGGAAACCAGATGCAGGCAGTTGTACCGATTTGAGAGTGGCCAAACATTTTTCTGCTTCAGGGTTTTTGCGATCAGGATCATTACCATCGTCTGCCATGCTGAAGTCTCAGGTTACAGCACTGTGCTACACTGTGTGCGTCTGTACGTGCAGACAACGGAAGCCCATTTGCCCTATTGTGCAAAACCGTTCGGCTGTGCAGTCAGCCTCAAGCTTTTGCTAGTATTTATACTGGTAGATGCTGAATAGTAAGAGAGCATTGTACTCATACAATTCAAGCATTTGCTTATTCATAATGGCTTGACTTCTCATTACGTGCTTTTCTGTCTGCGTGAATTTCATAGCATTTGCTAGTTTTTATTCATACGACCCCCAAACATGTAAGCTGGTGTTTCTCAAAACAAAAATTAAATGATTATTTATTATTTCTTTTCAGTTCTTGGTGGGTTAGCCAATTACATTTTTAATTATTCGCGCTGAGGAAGCCCCCCCCCCTTCGAAAAGTGATACACGCAGTTCCCAAGCTTGCTCGCATCCATTTTTAAAATGGCTCGCCTCGATTTTCCGAGGGCACTGAGGACCGTTTCTTATCCGTGATTTTACCAACTTTGCCCTTAGATGGAAGTCCCTCAACTCAGGGAGTTGATCTTGGCCTGTATTTCCATTATTCATCATTTTTTTTTCGGGGCTAAACAATCTGCTTGTTTTTCCCAAAGAAATTGCGGGGGCACTTTTAATGCTTATGAGCTCAGCAGAAATGTTCACTTGAATCAGTTCACTGCGCCCAATTGTCTGCGCCGAACATTGGCTATTCACAGTGCTGAGTGCATTGACGACAACTGAAGCTGGTCTTATCACTCCTCGGTATTGGAAGTAGACAAACTATACTTCCCGATGTAAATACGAAATAAAGCATGTTATATTTGCTTATTTGTGTGATCATATACCTTGGGAATATTCATATTCATGCGAGGATACGGGTGCTCTTGTGTTCTTAACCTTTATTCGTGCTTTTCTTCTGAACGTTGTATGCTGCACAGGCCTTGTTGTTTTGTTACACAATGCACTTACATGTATTTTACAGAGTTCCTGTTTGTCCCTAAAAGGTTATGGGGCTTGATGTTTGTGGAGCGCGCACCTAATAACACACGACGGCAAGATAATACTTATCACTGGCTTATAAATAGAGAGCGATAATCTCTGGAGCAACGCGGTTCGGATTATTGGTCACGTGATCTGATTTGCGTTGCTTCAAAGTTGACGTCATGCACTGAAAACTGTTGATTGCGCGCTTAAAGTGGCACTCACTAGTCACGGATGACTTCAAATATAAAAAATTGAAGCATAATGCCAAGCAAAGTTTAATATTTACTGCCTGTCTGATTGTCTTCGTACATTCATAGTTTTCTCTATAGTTTGTCTGAGTATAAAATGTTTGTTGTGAAGCTTTTAAGATAAGGGAGAAAAATGCATGACTAAGAAGTTAGGCTAGGGCGTTCGAAGGGGATAATCCTTTGTAATCCTCCCTGTTTCACTAAAAAAAACCCCACAAAACTGAAGTCTTGGATTTGCTGTTTAAAATGTATCAGATTGTAGGAATTTGAATTCTTTTATAAAACATTTTTTTCTCCTGGAGAAGCACCCCCCACTCCGAGATCCCCCTTCTGAAAGACCTGGGTACGCCCACGCTAGGGCTTCTCTTCAACTGAATTCCTAATCAACACCACATGGAATAGCACAGTGTACTGTAGAGCTTAAGCGTTGAAATTATACGTACTTCTTTTGTTTTGTGCACGTGCACGGTCTGTTCATGTACTTATACTCCATGGATTATAATGCGACTTGATTGTTCTCGCTTTTTCATATTGTTTGTATTCTCAGAAAAGATGGCTGCGTTTCATCGGCCCGCAGTCACGTACGTAGCTTTGGGCTTCTGTTTGGGCCTGGTGACATCCAGGTTATTCGGGGATTCGGTCACACTGCTCTGGGGACGCAGCCGCCCTGTCGAAACGAATGCGCACGTCGAATGCAGGTACCCTAATTCGGCATCAAGAGCGATGTGAGTAAATAATGTTTTTGTGCGCACCGGAGTTGAAATCCGAATAGTCCAGTAGCTTGCGCAAGCCCTTATAGGGTGTTATAATCACCAAGTCCTATACTTGTAAAAGAAATCCAAAGTCAAACGAACATGAAATGATATCGGAGCTTTAACAGTCTAAAGACTACTACCACATATGGGCATAGTGACCTTTCCCGACTGACACAGCAATTTTGTCCAAATTCAACTTGAAGTATCTCAAGTTGGCAGGACGAATTTTAAATCCCATCGGTAGAAACATGTTCTAGAACTTTTAGTTTATGTCTGTTGTCGGGTTTTTGCACAGCCAACCAGTTTTTTCAATTGAAAATTTTCGTTAATGTTTTGCTCCATATGCTGCAACGTTTAATAAAAGCACTCTGTAACATGGAAACACCCATGCAATCCGTCGCAGGCTGCTAGAACAAGCCTTGTGATTGGTCAGATTGTGCGAGATTTGTGACGTAATAGGCCGTCCAAATATGGTAATACTCCCGACTGTTTTACCAAACAGGCATTTTATTTTGTACAATTTTAAGTCGTTCACGTCTACACAATGTCACCTCTGTGGCATTATGACATGTCAGCCGTCAAAATACAGTGGTAAAGAGACAAATTGTCAAATTGCTAACACAATGTAAGCTGCAATATCAAGCAGCACTTACAGCCGGCATACATGTGGAACAAGTGGGTGTGCTTTCCACTGTGGAAAAACAGCGTCACCTGAATTCAGAATGTTATTCTGTGAACAGTTATTGATCATGAAATTATTATGAGGTTTACTGACCGGCTCCATTTCAGAAAGGAAGGCATACTGTGTTTCTCAATATTGGGTGGAGGCGTGTATGCTCAATGTTTCGTTGCTTTTAAGCTTAGGTAACCCGATCCTTTTTCTAATCATTGCTAATGGGTTTTAAGTGAGAGGGGCTACAAGTGGCAAAGTGGGTGATTATTGTGAGTGTAATTTTGATACTTGATACCAGGCAAGCTAATGAAATTAAAGAGCCAGTCGGGCCTACCAAGTTGCACGTTCCTAGAACAGGAGAAAACTCGAGGGACGAAACGGCAAGCGATGTCAAACAAAAGGACCGGAGCCGATTTGAGCCCGGGCCAGGCAGTGCCGAGGTCGGGCCCAAGGAGAGCGCACCGCAGTCGCCCAGAAAAATCCTGCTGGATTGCGGCGCTAACGTGGCGTCGACCGTGCTGCTGTTCCGCGAAACCTACCCCGGCGGCAGAGATTTCACCATCCACTCGTTCGAAATCGACGACCGTCTGGCTCCGTACTTCAAGCCGTACGACAAGCATCACCTACACTGCCCAGTCGGGGTTGCTGGCAAGAATGGTTAGTCCCCCCCCCCCGCTTTTTGTCCCAATTCTGTAAGTGACCCATTCTCACATGCACGCAGTTTTCGAGAATCATTGCTGTATTACATGCACAATGTACATCGTTTCTGTTTTGATGTGATGTTTGTTCATTCTTGTTGATAATTCTGTTATTGTTCGCTCTTCACGGTGATTCCGAACCTTTGACTTTTCCTTTTGACTTGAGAAAACATGATCTAACTCATTAAAGGATTATCCAAAACTCGGTAATGCTTTCGGTCAGAGTCACTGTCGTTGATAACACGGTGTTAGGGAAAGCCAATCTTAAAGGACTCACGTCCTAAACTTTATTTAAATGGCCACCTTAACATGTATTCCCAGTCTTTGCATTTCCAAGGATGGTTCAGGGGCTTTTTAAACCGAAAGGAAACTGCATCAATCGGGCCTCTGGTGTCAGGACATTTCCAAGTAGTGGCAAAGAAGCATTTTAATGTGCGTTGTAGCCTGACATATAAAAAGGTCTTCTATTGCAGTTGAGTATGAAAAGAGGCGCAGCGCACGAAGTACATTTATGTAATTATGTTAAGGTTTGAAAATACACGTCACGACGCTTTTAAGACTGGGTTAGTTACCGGGACAGACTCTTCGACTCCGGGAGGTCTTGGTTTTCTGCTGCAGGGAACATGACGGCGTACTCGGAGATGACCTGGGGTCCCGGCAAGGGACTAAATCACGGCGCTGACATGCAGTGGGGCGGGGGCTCTCTCTTTGTGTCGCAACAGGAAAAGAGAGACGAAAAGAAAGGTGCGTCTTTCCACACGTCCTTGTAGCTTACACAAGATTTAGTGATTCTTTTAGGTCGAGGTCAAGTTTGATTCCTAAGTCACTTCTCTCCTCGAAACGAAGACTTTTTGCACCTTATAACGAGATATAAAGCGAATTCTGTGTGCCTCTTGTAGTCGTTAGGAAGCTTAATTGCCAAGAAAATCTTTGATCGATTTTAAAAGGCAAATCACTGAATGCATTACGTGTATACTATTATCTTATTGTGGAGTTGAGGGCATGAAGCCGGCTTTTATTAGGAAATCAGGTATTACGTATCATTAAAACAATTGTTGCAGACACATTTCGAAAGATATCCTTGCGTCAAAACAATCCGCATTTAAATCCTCTTCAGCACCTCATATTCCAAAGTACCGGTACATTTATTCATGTAAAATTTTTTTTAATTTCGATAGGTGGGTACCGTCAGTTGTCTTACCGGAAGACAATACCGGTCATTGATCTTTCGCAGTGGATTGTGGACAATTTTTCGAAAGAAGACTACATCATCTTCAAGCTGGACGTTGAGGGCGCTGAGTACGATATTCTGAGGAAGATGATAGACAACAATGTGCTTGCTTACATTGATAAGTAAGTCGCTTCTCGGCTCTTGAAAATGCCACTTTTCAGTGGAGTGACGAGTTAACCAATAGAGTGTAATTTAATCTTGGTAACGGAGATTCGCCCCAGAAGCCCAGTCCAGCCTGATCCAGAGGCGTAACGGTTTAGGGGGCGGCGCATGGGTGCACGAACCCTTCGCTGGAAGCCTGTACCCCCACCAGAAGGAAATTCAAAAATGAAATAACAATAATAGCAATACATGCAATTCTTTTAACATCCTGTAAGGTAATATTGTTTGTGCATTAATAACAGTGTGATACATAGACGGACTTGACCTCCTCAGAAAAACTCCCCTTGACCTGTTTCTCGATTCTTTTCTAAGACGGCGACCCATACAGAGGCTACGACGAAAGAATCTGTGTAACACTCGACCTTTCTTGTCCTCTCCGAATCCCACAGATTCTACGGAGAGTTTCATGACTGGCAGCCCACGGGCTGGTCCAAAGCTGACAAGGATAAGATAAGGGCCGACTTGCGGAAGGCCGGCTTTGGCATTGTCGACTGGGTCGGGGAACGCAGGAAATACGGCGATATTGAGAAAATGAACCCCGTCAAAGTTAGTTTCTCAACTGGAATAAGTTCTAAAACCCTCAACCTGTCTTTTAATTCTACCTGGAAAGATCAAGGCCGTGTTATTGTGCGCTTTTTGTGTACGAAGTGTTGTTTTAGAGGAAGTGATGTGATGTTTTGAATTACAGTATTCCCAAAGAGTGGTTGGTATTTTGGAAGATTTTCTTTTTTTTGGGGGGGGGTTGAGGTGTACTTATCTACTTCGGGTAAGTTTGGGAGCATCTCTTATAGTTTTTTTGGCAGGCTTAGGGTGGGTTTGGAGTGACTAGGTTTGGTTTAGGTTGAACAGTTATACGCTGGTGGATAGGGTTAGAAAAGAACCGTTGTGCAGTGTTTCACCGTTAGGTTTGTAACCGTCATAATGTTTGAAAAATATGTAGTTGTGAAGACTTGGTTGACCACTGTTGTCTTCATTACTTGGCAATGTCATTAAAGCGCCCACTGACTGTTGACTGAAGATATCCATGTACATGTACTTTCAGTGGATTTCATTCTTGTGAAGCGGTGATTACTTCCAGACTCTGTTGTTCGTCCTGTCTATTTAGGTTTCCAATTGGATTTTAGACTTTTATTTACCAGCAAGAATTTCCACTGTGCATTCATTTTTGCTCAGGTACCGCCTCAAATATCCGGGGAGGCTGGAAAGATTTACTCGAATTGTGCGAGCGGGTCCGTGGCTCTAACCGTGGCCGTTGGCATGAACTACAAGCGGGCACGGCGGGTCGTCGAGACCCTGGCCGCCCACAGACTCAAGGTACCAGTCACGCTCTTTGTCTACGGGGACTTCGTGCAGATGAACCCCGAGGCCGTCAAGGCCTGGGCGAAGGACTTCGACATCGGCCTGCGGGAGGACGGCCACAATCCCCCGGGCCACTTGGAGCTGATGCCTGACAACTGGATCCGCATGGGTCTGATCAGCGCCATCCTGCGCCTCGAGGAGATAGGCGTGACGGCCTCCTATTACCTGCCCACCGTCAGCGGGGAAGTCACAAAGACAATACTCGGAGAGGCGAAGAAGAGGGGCCTTAGGGTCGTCAAGGCGGCGGTAGATTTTCCCGCCAAAGCAGGTAAGCATATTACAATATTAAGTACGTTTGCTGATGGAGTTGGTGGCTTTTTGAGCCGATTCGCTTCGCCAAATCGTGTAGCTTCAAAAGAAGTTGTTGTTGCGCTGAATAGTACTCTGAGAACCTTGGTTTAATTGGATGGGTTTATTGATGAAATTGTGAATGGAGTGATGATTAACAGCTGCTTTCGTTTCCCAGACTTAATAAGCTTTATTTTTGCTGCAACAGAGATTAGTAATTCAGAGTGTCCTTGAAAAATGAGGGGTTGCAGTAGAGTCGTTTATATTAGCAGCGTATTTTTTTGAAAAACATGGGCGATCTATGAAGTAATTTATTGTATACTGACAATGGTAACGAGGATTTGATGAAGTGAATTTTCATTTTCTTCTGGAACTAACCTCTGTAAAACTTGATTTTCTGTTGTTGATTATACCAGAACCTGCGTAGTCATAACAAGGCAGTCTCAGGTATCAACAATTTTGATCAACAAAACTAAATCTAATATCGAATTACATGTGTAAACTATCCACTTTGGGTTATAAATGTAGACATATATTTTTACATTTTAAATGTATTTTTCACATAGACCTTGGGTTTTCTCTCAGTCAAATTGGGAAATGTTGGATTTACATGGGTGCTTACTTTTTTTCAGGTACTTCAGGGGAGCTGACGTGGGACAACTACTACAAGAACCGCGATGTGGAGCGGGTGCCCAAAGCCCTGCGGAAGATTCATGATGCCCTGGCCAAAAACTCCGGGGGTGTCCTAACCCTCGACTCCGACCTACCGGACACGTACATGAACTCGGTCTTTTTGCTGGACTACCTGATGGAGACATCGGGATTCAAGATAGTGCCCTTGGACGAGTGCATCGCTCGGTCCCGATAGTTAGGACTGTGGGGGGGGGTCGCTTTACGTTTCCTTCTGTCGTTTGGCGAATCAAGGAAGACAAATTTTAGACACCACTGAGCGGTACACATTGTGACCGGATGGCGCGTGGAGGTCGAGTCCTTAGCGTCCACCCGTCGCCGTCCATTGAAACCCCAAATGAGCCCATACGCGGGATCTATAATTTCAACGACAGTCTTGCTATCTCGGTGACCGCTGGTGATCCAACTGTGGCCCGGTTCGTTTTGGGAGAACTCAGTTTTGTTTTACGTGTCTATATCCTTCTACGCCAGGGGAATTCCTTTTATAAAACAAACCAATGCTCAGTTATGGATCGAGAGGCCTACTGCAGCTCGAAAAGCAGGACAAATCGTGGACTTATGAGGCACCGAATGAAATGGAGTCGCGCGGGCTTTGCCTTTGAACGCCGATGGGAGTACTGGCTCTTCAGTCAGTATGTCGACATCAGTTGTTATATCTTGAAAAAATTTGTCGACCAGGTGTCGGCCTTTAAAAAGAACTTACTGGTATTAAGATGCTGGGACTTCTGTGAGAAGCGGCTTGGAGTGGTTGGTTCGGAACCAGGGGCATCGCACTTGACCTGTGGTAAACCGAATATTCGAGATTGAGCTAATCGAAAGAATTCTTGCCCCTGACATCCAGACTATGACCAGTGCTAGTGGCATGGCTATTCTTTTTTTCCGGAAGTGATTTTTCCAGTCTTTTTTAATGCAACGATGAAGGAATCTTCACCCCTAAGAAGAGTGGTAGTGCCCTTTCTGAAGTGTTGGTTTTTAAAAAGTATCTTCAGAGGGTAATTTCCTCGATCCCCGAATCCACCTGTGAATGCCACTGCTAACAACCGCCATGTTTGTGTGAGGATACTTTCAGGCATAGGCGTGTGTGATGACTAAATAAGCCTACTGCGAGTTAAATTTGAATAAAATCTGATAAACTGAGTTATCCGATTGCACATAAATCATTTGAATTCCCCAGACTTAAAGACACTGTTGCTATACCTCATGATTTGGGGCAAGCAACCTCCATCTCTGGAATGGACTGGTTCCTTTGTGCCCTTCTTATCCTTTGAAAACAGTGTATTGGTGCAAGGCGTCTCTTAAGTAACTAAGGAAAAGCGTCTTTAGTAAGGGGAGTTCAAATTGTAATGTTCGCGTGAATTTAAAGAACTCAGTGTGCCAAATTTCATTGAAATTTAACTCGCTTATTAAGGAAGTGTTGTGACAGAATTGTTTTAATAATTGAATTGTGGATTTACTGTGTGTGTAGTATTTGGAGGTATTCGTCATGTAAATTTACAGTTTCTTTTGCAGCTGACCGCTGCAGCCGTTAGAAGCACAGTCAATCATGAAATCACACAGGCAGATCGGGGGGGGGGGGCGAACATGGGTCATGGCTCCCCTCAAAGGGAGCCCCCAATATATTTTTGGGAAAATGTTCGAAAGGCGATTTTTGTCCGTCCGCTTCATCGTTGTCCCTTCCAAAAGTGCGCAAAAAGGCCCACCCCTCTCGTAAACCCAAAACAGTTACATAAAAAGCTTTCCAATTTTTTGGTTGCCCCCGGAAAGCTGCGCCCCCCTCCTCGAAAATTTAGTATCAGATCCGTCCGTGTATAATGATTAGTGTGTGCTGTACTTCTTGCAACAGTGATGGAATTCGCATCTCAGCACCTGCATGATCATTCCGAATGAAATGAAAGAGTTCTTTCAAGAGAAGCTTGCGAAACCAGTCATTCATTTTTTCCACTTTTTCTCTTTTATGCCAGACCGTTTTACTTTTATTTTCCTTCTCTATAACAAAGCGACCTCTCCGATTACATATTTTGTCTTTAGCTGAGAATGAAATTAATGTTTTAAGTGCAATTTGTCAAACCTTCATTATCCAATGAAGGGTTGTGACATTAGGCACTTTACAAAAAAGTTAATTGGAAAGACCGTCTAATTACATCAGTCCCTATAATTAAGAATTTGCAAGAATGTTTTCTAAGATGATATCAGACAGTACTTGTAGCTTGCGATTTAATGTATTTTTAAATTTATGTTTAATTTTTTTTGGGGGTAGGGAATCTTGAAATCGTGGTGTGCTCTACAATTTCGAATAGGCACCAGTTTCTCTGAATCTAACACTTGAACGTTTGGTATAGGTGGTCTTAAAACAACTGATAAAGAACTAACTCTCCTGAAATTGACCAATGAACTGTCTTAATGTTAATCACGTGCTTGGTCAAGCAATTCGATGGGCTTCCAGATATGCTTAAAAACTAAAGCAATAAAGTAATTTTAATACAAATTGAAATAAAAAGTTGAGTTTTGATGCCTTAACTCATGAGCAAGCATGCAACATGTTTCATTTTCCTGAAACGTAGCATTACTTCCGTTTACATGTACTTGGATCTAGTTGAATAATTTTGCTCTAAATTCTGTAGTGAACTAAACGTAATGCCCTGTGCACCTAGCTGTGTCAGCCCACCATGTAAACTATACACCATTGCTGCAATGGCACACATCGAAAGCACTGCCGCTCGTGGGACGCGCATTCCGGCAAGTTGTACACAACCTATGGGTGGAAGAGGCATTTGACTCGTTCGCACATCCTGCACTAATGGATTTTGTTATGGGTTGCCCAATTGGTCTGTATTCTATCGCTGTTTCCGAAACAGACTTCTAGAGCTACGACTTCTTCTGTTGACAGCGTTTATTTCCAACGCATTTGAAGCAAGATATGGGACGGGGAGAACCCCCCCCCCCGCCTTCGTGTTGGTCATTGTTTGATCGGAAACTCAGGAATTCTTTACAGACTTCTAGGGGGGATGTGTTAGGTAACAATAGTCTAGAGAGTGTATAGGGATTGAACAGGTAAGGGGGGGACCCCTCCGTCCCATATCTTGCATGGTATATTCCAACGGGCGATGAGATAATAGACCTAGCTTCAGACAACAGATTCGGATGCAACAGTAGCTGGTCTTCCTTCGGATGGCACTCCTGAAAGCACGTCCTTTTTACGCCATAGAAAGCACGCAGCATCTTTATTGTGTGGGAATTTGATGAATAAAAACGACCTCGACAGATAGCCGACGGTAAAAGGGGAGTGGGTACCAGGATGGGGGCTACAGTATAGGCCTACATATAGTCGCTAACGCAGTTCTAAATTAAGCAATAGGTTGCTGTGCTCCAAGTCCCTCTTGGTGGCGCCCTAATCTTCATCGGTCTTCACCAGGGCCAGCAGGAGTTTAGCGTAGTCTCCGGAACAGTCGGAAGCAATGAAGCTCTTCAGGCCCACACCGTACTTTAAGAAGAAAGCGATCTTCACACTTTTCATGTCAATCTTGACAAAAATATAAGAAAAAAATTGGAGGAGAAGAAATGAATATGTCGGCCTGCTCATTCTCTTTACAGGTACATATGAGCAAAAACGTTAACTGATATCCCCTCAACTGATTCTTCATTACTGTTGATATGCGACACCTGTTGGACACCGAAACTATTAATTTTGGCAAGTTCAGAATTCTTTCGTCATTTTACCAGTGTTCTTTTATTGATTGATTTATTTGTTACGTATGACTTTTGGCGTTGTCACTCTACTAGGGCCGTTTTCCAATACTCGACTTCGTCTCCGTCTCAGGCTTCGTGTGGGAAAGCAATCCTCAATTGTGGGCCTGAAGCGTTTAACTTAAATTGAAGTACTGTAATGTTTGGCTCTTTTGCTTCTTACTTGATGTTTTGTGGCACTATCAGACTTACTATTGCGCTTACAATCCTAAAGTCAGGAAGTAAAAATCAGTTGAAGCCTGAACGGAGCCCAAGTCGAGTATTGGAAAACGGCCTAAGATTGCGTTACGTACAAACCCCCTCAAGTGGTGAACTTGCCAGTCGGTCTGGCCTTTCTTTCAAGACGTCTTTCAAGCTGTCTTTGAAATAAGTAGATATGCTGTCATGCCACCAAGCACTTTGGCATTTTGTATTTAATTGAGTGGTTGCTGGCCTTTACCTCAGCGCGTGTGACCACGCATCTGATGAGCTGTTCGTCGTCCGTGCCGGCCCCTTTCAGGGCGTCGTACAAGCGGTCTGCGAAGAACTCAGCGCAGCTCTTTGCACGAGAAACTGGAAATCAAATCAAGACGAGGACAAATCATTACCTAAATGGGCACATAATTGGTTAAAAGTTTAAAGCTGAAATTCAGTCAAAACTGGATCTGACGCGCCAGTATACTTGTACATGCATGCACGTTAGTAAAATGTTTCAAATAATCTTGGTACAAACAAGTGGTGACGCGACGTTTCTCTCGGCAGTAGGCGGGCATCTTGTCGGGCAAATCAGCCGAGCTCGACTCGTCTGCTTCCCACTGATGCCAAAAACTATAACTACTCTGTTTCAAAATATTGCGGGTGTCAACTTTCCAGTGACTGAACACATAGTTTATTTTCCCTTTTAAGTTGGCTCATGGAAAGTCCTGGCCACCCGACCAAAGAACAACAGTCTGGGCACTTGATCTTTAAACCCATCCCAGTGAAACCCCAGGTCGAGCGTTCCAGAAAAGTTGCTTAGTTAAAAGAAGTTCGGTTTTTGATCGGCGTACCAATAGCCAGGTATCCGTCCCGCAGGTTACCGCTGCACTCATCTCTGATGGACTCCTCGATGTCACAATCGGCAATCTGAGAAACAGGAAATGAAAACACCACAAGAGATCAAGATAATGATGACCCCTAAAAAGGTGACTTTTTTTAATGAGCAGGTGGTCACTGTGGTCCATCGCCCGCCAACTGATTTTTAATTGTTGAATGCTATTTTTTTTTCATCAGCCCTAACAGCAAGCGCCGAATCTCCCTGCGTCAATATGTTTTTTTGTACACCATAGAGGGTTAGCGTATTCCGACATAAGCCGTTATGTGAATAGCATCATTGCACTCCAGGCTCGTATAAGCGTCGGCTCTTTTCCCAGCATCCTACATCTTCGTTTATTGTATATGAATTAATATCATAACCTTGTGTATCTTGTTACTCGTTCATCTACCTGCAGTGTTAACGCAGATGTGACATAAACCAAACCAAACCAAACCAAGCCACTTATTTTAGCCCGCTTATAAAAGATCTCATCGATGAGGCGCTCTCCCTAGCTCCACATGGTCATCGTTTTTTGCGGATTGCTGCTGCGAATGCCTGTCTGAAACGACTGAAACGGAGTCCAGTATTTTCCACATTCACAAATCCTCATTCTCCAGACAGTCGTCTGACATTTCTCCCTACCTCCTTGTACTGTTTGAATGTCTCCTTCAACTGATCGAAATTCCTAGTGGCAAGGATCTTGTTGAATGTACTTTCATCCGTACCCCATCGATCCTCCCCGGCCTATTAACAAACGATAGGAATTATTGTGATAAGTTCATTGTCCAATGGAAATCTCTACACCATTAACAAGCATTTGTCTAAATTGCCTGAATCGCCTACTGTGCCGGTTTATGTGAAGTTTAATACATGTAGTTTTACAAAAATGTACGGAGGCCACAACCAAACAGTTTATTTTAAAAATCAGTCTTTTGTTATAGCAGAATAGCTATTCAAAATCATTTTAAGGCCGTCCATGCTCTCATGGTATGTTGACGTAACAGCTTAAGTATTCTATCAAATATGACAGATTTCTTGTAACACGAGAACTCGATCGCACAAGTTACACACCCGCGTTTCAGAGAGGCAGAAAACTTAAATTGAGTTTTACTTCCATAGTGATAATGACGAAGAGGAATCCCTAGAAATGCTCTAACTGCGCGAGGCTTGGCAGCTCTGCAAAGAGCCGGTTTGCACTTACATCGTACAGCTCCTGGGCTTCCTCTTTTGCCTTGTCTTCATCAACCTCGTCACTTTCATCACGTTGGCACTAACGAGAGATAAAACGTGGAATTTGAACTCCTACGAATCGTGGACTCGCATGCTTTGTACGCAAACGATTATACAGAAACATGTCAGGATGGGTTGGAAGTCATTATGGAAATGAGACTGATTTTATGGGATCGAACTTAATATCATCCAACAATGACTAGAATAGCTAACCGTGTGTGTCAACACTTAACTTTGAAGGAATGTTTTGGGGGTTTTGGTGGAAATGGTTTATGGTCATCAAGTTTGACGGGCCCCATTCCTGGTCACGTATGGGTTCGTTTACGCAGTTCTGCTCCCAGAGCCCCGACACGGGGCACGCTCAATTTTGGTTTGGGCTAAAACGGTCGTTTGCTGCAATCGTGACAGTTCAGCATTATTTTTGTCAACTCCTTAAGCCGAAACGGGGCCACGAGATACAGTTGCACGGTGGCTCATTTTAAGAAAAACAACCATCCAGGTAAGGAACACAGTATCCTTACGTTTCCTTGTTACCCTAAATACACGAATAATCACTTCGTTCAATGGTAAATTTTGAACTAAGTGAAAAACTTGCGCTTTGGAATCACATGTGGTCAGAAAATGTTGATGACTTGTCACAAAATAAAGTACATCGAGCCGTCAGAAAAACACGGTGTATTAAAAGAAACGCTGAGTAGCCATACCGCGTAAATGGACAGCATGAGGTTCTTGAAGTCCCCGGATGTCTCGTGATACAGATCCTCGCCCAAATTACGATCGTACCCTGAAAAGAACAAGTAATAATTTACGCAATATTGGAAAAAGCACGCAGGTGGATTAAGGCAAGTAGCAGGCCCGCTTGGTCACACCACATTACACCAGAGGGGGGGAGGGGTGCTGTTGATAATGCAAAATTTACACTATAAGTTCAAAATAACCTCAAACTGTAGACCTTTTGTCATTCTTATCACCAAAATAATGTCGGGATGATAAAATTTCCTATCCCACAGTAGAAGTAGCAGGAGATATTTATGCCACACCCTAGGATTTACGTTAATGGTAAGACATGACGTTCGGAACAACACCTTGTGCCTTGAATGTACTGTTTACTATTATCTCACATATCGTGCAGAAATAGATTGGTTAATTAGTCTAATACTCCATGCAGGAAAAGGAGGCCATGAATTTATTAATGCAGAGTTGATGGGAAGCATTACATTCCCCTTACTTGCACTGTAGGCTATCTTGATTGCCTCGATCTCCTGTAAAAGGTAACAATATGTTTAATTATTATTTCCTTTAATATACGTTAGCATTAATTAAGGCGCTCTGACACCTGTGTGGAATATCGTACAGGTTTCTTCGGAATGATTTATCAAATTTTTTTTGAATTTTCGATTCACCTCGCAATAAGCCTTTGGCGAGTTAAATTTGAATAAAATCTGGTACATTGGGTTATTTGATTGCACACAAACATAGCAATTTGTATTCTCCAAAATAAAGATAATGTTGCTATACCACGTGATTTGGGCAAGCTATTGCATAGCGACCACCATCTCTGGAATGAATTGGTTCCTTTAAGCTATTTTTATTCATTAAAAACAGTGTACTGGTGTAAGGCGTCTCTTACATAACTAAGCTAAGTCTTTAGTATGGAGACTTCAAATTGTTATGTTCACGTGAATTTAAAGAACTCAGTGTACCAGATCTTATTCAAATTTAACTGGTAAATGGCTCATTACAGCTTCTCCACAGTATTCTGTCCATTTTCCATATCTGTTTAGGACAAATTCTAATCCCTTCCTTTTTTCTGTTATCTGGAAATTGGACTTGGTGCAAAATACCTCCGCAGATGTTGAAGTGTATAAAATATATATGGGTTCACTAGGCTGCACACAACTACAGAGGAACATGGGAGTTCACATAAAGGAAAATGGCCGAGTCCAGATTTCTTGTGACAATCCGCCTTGAGCAGAAGCACCCCCTCATCGGTTAAAAAGAGACGTGGGTTGGGAGTGTTCATTTTATTGATAGCGATGGGCCGTAATGCGTGCATTTCCTTGTTGTTCGTGAACCAGCGAAGTTCATTTGTGACCAAAGGAGCCTCCGTTGCTATAAAAAAAATTGCTCCCTCTCTTGGTCCGGCCGGAGGCTTATAGACAGAGGGAGTGGTAGCTCTGCTCCATTGCTGCTACCGCGTCCTCTGCGTAGATGCCAGGATTTTGTACATAATTCTGTCGAAACTTCGCAGTACGCATCAGCGTCTTGCACGTGTGGCCTTCGCCAGAGCTATTGTAATATCACATTGACTCTTGCACGATCGGCCATACATCGTCTGCTATCCCGACACACGGCACATACAATATTTATACTTGCTGCAGTAAGTGGTCTACTAAATCGGCCACTATGGGCTCTGAGCTGTACCAAGAGAGGGCGCAATTTTCCTAGCAACGAAGGTTCCTGTGGTTGTAAATGCGCATCGTTGGTTCATGAACGACTGTGAAACGTGAAGCGTTGCAGTCGCGTCCCCACCAACATGGCTCTTTTCAGCGAATGAGGGGGTGCATCTGCTCGGGGCGAATTAGCACGTGTGACTCACCTCGTTCATTCTCGTGCACATAATCTCGATGATGGTCTTTTCATCAGTGCCAGGCCCCTGTGAAATTAATATGCAAATCAAGAATCGATCATGATTTTACTAGAAATGTTGAAGGCGGAAGTTGTCGACGAATTAAAGGGTCCGTACAACAGTTTTCTTGAAACCTCACTGGAAAATGTACCTTTTTGTTTAAATGAACCCTATTTCGATAAAAATATATATTTATTTCAATGGAAATGCCTAATATTACCGTATTATTCTGGTGCCGCGATTAATTACTGCATCTCTTTTAAAGTTTCTTAATCTGCCTATAGTTTGGTCCCCCGAATTGAACTACATGTATATCGCCCTTGATAGTTTCCGGATACTGAAGTATCATCTCAACGCCTTTGGCGTGGCTGAAATTTAAAAAGTTGATATTCACCCTCATTGCTTCACGCAGTGTCTTGGCATCGTAGACAGGAGCGGGCAACATCAAGGCTTCGACGGCCGTCTCCAGGTTGCCTCGAAGCTCCCTCTTCAAGTCTTCCACGAGGTCCTAAGAGATGAAAAAGGAAGTAAGGTAATACTGTTATGGTATTATGCTTGATTAAAAATACATGTAGGTGAAGTACAGGCCTTGATCCATCTAACTCTCTTCCCTTAGTGCATACCTGAACTTCAGTCGTCCTTAGCTTAAAAGAAGGGGGTTTGAGAATTTCGCGTTCACATAGTGGACGCCGCCGCGATGACGTCATTTTGACAATCTGCGCCTGCGCCGCGTTCTCTGGCCCGGGTACTGCCAGAATCCAAGACGCGTCCACAGTATTTTTGCCGTTCAACTCGAAGAGCGCCGGTTTTTTTTTTTGGTAATCCTTGTTATTGAAGTCAACATTCACGGAACGATTACCGTCATAAAGCAACATAAATTCCTCATTAACCAACTTATCGCCAAAACAATAAAAAAAGAAGTGCTTCACGGAGTCGATGGAGGTTCGCCTTGTCAGCTAGCTGAACGATTTTATCGTTCAAAATGGCGCGAATGACGTCACTACGCCTTGAACGCGTGTCAACTGAAATGGAAGTGGTTTCAAAAGGAAGTGAACAGGAATGTTGACCAGTGGCGTAGCCGGGGGGTCTGGGGCCACGTGCCCCCTACAAAATCCCCAGTGCCGCCAGGTGCCCCCCCCTGAAAAAACGGATGAATGGATATCGAACAAGGCTAACAAAAACGTACCAGCGTTTGATACTTTGCCAAGGCTAACTGGTCATATTTCATAAAACTGCTTTGGCAAAACCTGGAAGTTGGTGGGATAATGTTCACATGCTCCCGCAAATAATGACGTAACACAAAGGTCAAATTAACTGTGTAAAACTCCACTACAAATTTAATATTCGTTCTTATTTACAGTTGTATGATATAAAATGATAAAATATAGGTACAAATAGATTCAGGAACCAAAATGAAATCAACCATTCACCAGAAAATGGACGGAGAGTCGATTGGTGTTTACGGTTAGAATGCAATACATGTTGTATGGATGGAATGCATACCTCTCCAAAGCAAGCCTTGTACTTCCATGCGATGTGCTGGCGTTCTTCGGATGTCCTGTCGGTGATCAACTCGATAATCGCATCCTCATCGGTACCTATAACAGAGGGGACACGTGGGATACATTGCCGTGGGCGGATCCGGATCCGGGGGACCTGCGGCGGCCATGCTTCCTTTCGCCATGCTCCCAAACCCACAAAAGGGGCGAAAATGTCTACCTTAAAAATGGGGGGGGGGGAGCATTTTGGCTCTCGAATATGGTTCTAGATTAGCCCTTGTACCATACATGATGTCCGTAAACGGTTTAGTTGAGAACAGACGTAAGGTCTAAAGATAATCTAAGGCATACCTCATTAACAAAATATGACGTTTTAAGCATTTATACAAAAAAGTTTAATAGTATAGAGGAACGACTGCTTGAAACGATTTGCTCGTTTCAGTATCTTATACACAATCTCAAATCATGTGGCTGGATTGGATCTGCTGCAGTTAGGCTAAACGTGAATTATGATTGGTTTATCAATCAGGTGTTTGCTTAGTCTAGCCATGATTGCGTCTGTAAAGAAATTCCTTTGTTCGTCTGGTTATGAGGTTTTTTTCTGTCTGGTCTGCTCGATTGTTTTGTCGACAGGTTGTTCGTATTCATGTTATAGTCATATCCGGCTTGTCCATTGGTCTGTTGGTCTGGAGTCGATTTGGGATAAATTTACCAAATCCTTTCATGGCGTCTTTTAGTGTCTGCGCATCTTGCTCGGCATCGAAGTCAGCCTTGGCCAAGATGGTTCCCTATTCCAAAGAAAAAGAAAATATTATCTTTCACCGGTTCATTTCCAGTAACTTCGACTGATTTTTAAACATGTTTTCCTGTGCAGCTAGAATTAGGACGAAGGTGTTCCCAATTACTTATCTGGGTCTTTTTATGTTCACAATCGATATTTTGATTTCATTGACATAAACTCATACAACATTATTATTTGAAGAGGAAAAGTAAAGTAAAATGCATGGAATATGATCGATTTTGCGGCATTTTACAAAAGAAAGCCGAAATTTTGATTTCGGAAATATACATTGTATTGCAAGTACCCATGGACTGGCTGAAAAAAGTCTTAATTCCAGCGTCAATTTCTCATTTCCTGTCACAACACCATAAATGTCCCTCAAACATTTCCGTGACACACAGGCCTAGATCAGACTCACTGTAGGCTGAAATCGCGTCTCAACATAACCCACGTGTATCGGTGTTTCAAATAAAACAATGCAAGAGGAAAATCGACTTTACCAAGGTTCAACCGGCTGACTATGTTTGCCACGTGGTATTTATTAACAAGCCTTTTGCCTTTTCAAGAGTTTTGTGGAAGGCAAGTAAATATGACATGCCCATGGCCCAGCAAGGCTTCGGCAGCACTGGCAGAATGTAATGGTATCCGTACTGATCGCAGACAGTTCGCGCGCTCTGCAGATGTTAATTTTCGTAGCAGAGGGAAAATTAACGTGTAAATTCTGGGGTCTGGTTTCCGACTTACCAGTAACGCCAGTCCAGCCCTTGCAGCCCTGTATCTGATGATGTACTGTAACAAAAGAAAAACAAATTACTGGCAAATTCGATCCGCGGTAAACTGTCAATTATTGTCAACTTGATTGGTAACCCTTGCATGAAATAATATATCGGGCACCAGGCCAAACCGACCAGCGGTTAACAAATTGTCGCTGATCGAACTAGCCCATTGTTGAAGCTAAATCACCCCTTTTTTGGCAGGGATGCTTGTAAACCTGTGAGTTTTAAATCCTTTCATTCCAAAAGAATAAGAAAATTTAAAAAAAAATCATGTATAGTTGAAAGTTTAAGTACCCGGGATTTTTTTTACCGATAAGATTGCTGACTGAGAAGAATTGCAAAGTTCAGTCTGCGATTGAACCTCGTGTCCAAAGCGAACGCACTTAAAATTATCAAGTGACCTTTTTGGTTTTCAAATAATGAAGCCTTGTTTTCATCAGGCACCTTAATTTCTTGCATAAAATTTTAACCCCCTGTACTTAACACATTTCGTCCACACTTGAGAGGTACGATGGATAAGGACTTAAGTTTCATTTCATTTGCAGTGACTAGTATCGCATTTTCTGTAATAATTTTTGCTTTTCTAAGATTTGCAGAAGGCTCGGTGAGACAAAACAAAACAGACTCCTGTATTAGAAGCTAAAACTATTCTGTGTGGCGGGTTAATAGCAAAGGTATTTTTCTAATCAGGACGGATTGAGAATCCATTTTTTTCTGGGGAGAGTGCACGTTGTTTTGGGGGGACAGGGGTACAATTTTGGAATTTTTTAAACATTACCTTTCACGACCTTTTTTAGGGTTGAAACTACGTTTTGGGACTCCGTACATGCTTTTAGAAAGAAGGGGAATCAAATTCTAAAAATTCCCCTTTCTCTCATCATTTATGAAGAAAAAGACCTTCTTTGCCCTGCCCAAGCACGTGTGCGAGTCGTTGCATGGCCGCGCTGATAGTGCTGACCTCGCGCACGCGTATTGCTGTTCCTGGCTGACCTCGATGCCCTTCATTTCGGAGGTGGAGGCCAAGATCGTTGCTTTGTCCCAGCTATGACCTCACGAATTAGCGTTATAGTCTCGTAGTCGAAACACCGTTCCATTTTCTCGGTGCGAAAGGTCTACCTTTGGTGCGTCGAAAGGGTATGGAAGTTTAAATTTGTTGCTCAACAGCAAGCATTTGTAACCGACTCGTCAGCCATCTATATGAAGCCAATCTGTGACGAAGCCTTAATTTCGAAAATGGCACCGGGCCGTGATGCGAGGGCTGGTTACTGTCCTCTCTGCGTATCCGAGCACCCAAGGCTGGGCTATTTAAAGGCTATGGCAACCAATCTATCTGTGACGCAAACAGATATTGGGAAGTAAAAAATTTGGGAGGAGGTGGATCAGCCGAAAGTAGAGGTCTCTATCATGCTTTTCTATCTAGCTTTTACCATTCATTGCAATGTAACCAAACTCAGGTCGGAAGGAAAAATAGTCTGTTTCCTTAATCAACAAATTGAATTACATTGCCTATTGGTCTACAGGGAACAAGACAACACGGAAGGATCAAAATAAATAACAGCCTTGATGTGAGATTGCGAGAGGAAGCATTATTGTCTGGTCACGATGTCAGCTGGACACTTTCTTCTGCGTTCTGAGCCCTTTTTCTGATGAATCTGTGAATTACGGATGGCAAATTTCGGTCGTCACCTTTCGGACGACCGAAAGGAGGTAATTAAACTGCCACTGACCATAATTATGGGTGGACGGAAGTGTTAGAGTCTGGTTACCGGTAATTTACTTTTACCGGCGGTAAAAAGAAATGTACACGTACCAGGGTAGCCTTTGAAGGTTTCTAAGCCGGCAGCAGTACATGATTGGCTGATGGTAGACAAGTAACTACCTAGCTTTGTTGCTCTAGTTTACATAGTTCGGTTTTCAAGTGTATCTATCTCAGCTACAGAGGTTTACACAAACTTCTGAACGACGCGTAATTGCGTATCCGCGTTCTGGTATCGCCTTTCGATTGGTATTTGATCAGCGATAAAGTTGTCTTATCATGATGATAAGGGCACGCCGTCCCTAGACTATACCCCCTGATTGGCCGCCCTCACACACGCGGTCAAGGTTTCGAAAGAGTGTCCACTAGTCCGGTGCAATCTTGTACCGGCACCAACTTTGAAATTAAAAATAGCCCTATGGGAAACAAACATTTTGTCCCACGGTTGATATCGGCTTTTCTTTTTTGCATACGGTGAATTCATTGTCATCATCTATTAGGCATAGGAATGGTAGGAATTTAAACTTTATCACTTTGAACTGTAGTGTGAGTGAAACATGGATACTTTACACGAGGCTTCAATTTTAGATCTCTTAATCTGTAAGGAGGAAGAAATGGAGATTTCATTTTTATTTTTTTATATCAGCAGAACAGCGCAAGTCCGCAACAAGTCTTGATTTCTTAATATTTTGATGGTCATGTTTTGTTCATTTGTTGGCAGTTCCAGGCCTTAATGAATTTGTGATGTGACGTCTTTTACACGCTTGGACACTTTGACCACAAATTCAGTATTTATGTTTCAAAATGCCAGCTTTTAAGCCAGAGATAATGTCAACTCAACAGGCTGTGTCCAAAATGGGCTTCCAGAGCTATGGCTACGTCTAATTGGCAGTGCGTCTATACGCGTATTTCCGATGGAGCAAAGGGCTAGACCTAGCTGTAGAGAAGAGATTCGACACAGCCTCATTTCCTAAACTACCCCGAATAACAGTTGCCGGCTGGAATGACAGCACCTGAGTTGTAATGACACGAGTCAGTGACCTGACTCGAAGTCTGACTCGAGTCACAATTTTTGGCAACTCTACTCTCGACTCGAGTCCTAAAGGGTAAATGACTCGACTGGACTCAAGTCCCTCATCAGAAGACCCGACTCGGGTGAAAGTTAATGCTAGACTCTAGTCCCCAATCTAAAAGGAAACGTCTTTACGAAACAAATATTTTCAATAAATTACAGTGCCGGTTTTTAATGTTCATATCTAGTGTTATCATCAGGAGTAAGATGTGATGTGACCACATGCAGTAACCGAGAGGTGAAATTTAAAATGCCAAATACGACTTTCTCTCTTGTTTTTATTTGTCGTATTGTGCTCAGATATTGTTGACTCGAATTGACCCGAGATAAGACTTGACTTGAATCGACTTTTTTTGCATGATGGCTCGACTTGACTCACTACGTTACAGTGACTCGACTCGACTCACAAAAATTGTTGACTCGTTGCCACTAGGGACAGCCGTTTCATGCTGCTGTACTCCGCCGACTTCGTGAGCATGCGCATCATGAGCGTATTACATCGTCATGAGCGTGTAACTCGGGCGCGATTACACTGTACAACAGTCTGGGGAAACACTGTAATTTCCTACGAATGAAATGGTTTTTATTGCCAGTCTTGGGATGAGACTAATTTTTGCTCTCGTGCAAGATTCCCCTCTTGAAATACTGAACTTCCCTTGGATACTACATCCTCGGCCTCCAGCCCCGCGCTTATGACCTCGGTTCAAGGCGAACTTCCCCAACGTGTTGTGTACAAAATTCGCTCCCCTTTAGTCGATCCAGAACCATGCAACTTTTTGAAAGGACCGCAACTGGTATTTTCTTGAAGGGAGAACAGACATTTTATTTAACCTTTTATGGCCTTTCTTAGGGCTCTATTTTGGTGCTCTAAACGCGCCTTGGAAGAGAAGAGGGAAGAAATAGACCAAAAGTCCCCCCTGCTTCAGGGACTCTGTCTTCATAAGTACATAAGTATATGTTTACTTCTGGCAAATTTTAACCAGACACGTGGACGCCATTTTTCTCAGGAAGAAGCCACATCGGGTGACAAAGTGACGCAGTGGCAAAGTACAAATTGAAGGACTACCCGTGTTGATTGGTGGGTTACTTATTAACTTGGGTAATTAACAAAAAATCAATGATCTGGTTCACTTTGCCACGTGGCGGTAAATATGCACGGAGGCGAATTAACAAAGGCGTTGGCGATTTAGAAGCAGGAAAAATGTGGAATGATACTTAAATTGAATTAAAATATTACATAGTGCCGTTTTATAAATTCCTCTTAGAACGGAAATCTAGGACATGTTACATTTTCATTTAATTTATAAAGGATACTAAAGAAGTATTTCGTAAACGAGAAGGGAAAATGCAACTAACACATTCTTCAAAGGGTGACTGGTTTTCAGCAGTAGGGAAATCAATTTGAAACAGAACACCTAATTCTGTTAAGGTCTTGTCCATAGATGCAGGCTCACACATAAATGACCTGACGGTGTCTCTTTCGATACATTTATTTCTTTTGACAAAACAAAAAATAAGGCATTTTTACACGCAAGATGAGCTCTGTAGTTGAGCAACTCAAATCATCAATAAACTATTTCCGATGAAGATGAAATTTATTGTAACCATTTTCCCTGAGTCCCATACAGTTCCTGACAAAAACGTCACACGCAAATACTTCCTTTTTGCAAATGGCAAATACATCACTGTCAGGGAAAGTAAATGAAATTATATTTCAAATACAAAAAGTTGAGGAGTATATTTATCTTTCTTGGACTGGCAATTCAGGTTCAGTTTTGTTTAAACAGAATCAACTTCCTTTGTGTATAAAAACTGTACACAAAGTAAATAGAAAGTGAAAACTGTTCTGTTCTCTGTGTCCAAATATAGCTGCGAATATGCAAACATAATAAACAAGTGTCAAACCGCCGGCACATACACGTTAATAACTCAGAAAACAACTCTCTGCAATGGCAGCGTTTTGTACATTTCCCTGCCCAGTTTGCCAATGGTAATTGACTGAAAGACACATTGCTCATATTTTAGAAGCGAAGTTATAACGTTCGCTTTTATGTCTTTGCAGGAATGACGCTTGACTTGGTCAGATATGGAATTTGAAAGAAACAGAAAGATCAATAGGAAAAATATGGGAGATTATGCACCACAAAGACATCAGAGTGCTTGCCAATTTAAAGATTTTTCCCCAAAGGGCTTGGCCCTCGACCACTAAAGTGTCTTACCAATAATGAGATAGAGATTTTTAATATGGCTACATCACCTCATCTTTGCTTACTACGATTTTCAAGTTATCTAAAGAAATCGGCAGCCATTGCCGAGCATCGTTTGCAACGAACACAAACGTTTAATTTTACTCTTACAACGAGGAAAAACACTCAAGTGTAAATATACTACATTACGGATTGAAATTAGCACCAACCAACTTGCTAGTATTTTAAACAAGCACAATGTACATGTCATAATAGACGTTGATTACAAAAGTATGTTTGGTCAGAAGGTTATGAAGCCTTACCTCGGCAAGCTCAGCCATTTTCTCCTCCTGAAAAACCTGTTGCAAGTCCCTCAAAACAGTGCTCAAAAGACAGACCTTCGTTTGCTAGCACTCCCTGCTCAAAAGGACCTAAAGCCTTGTTGGCCGTCGATAAAATCCCAATCAGATTGAACTTTGGAAGATGGTGGTGCGGTGTGAGTGGGCGTCTATCTAATATTGATCATCACTGCATTTCCACCAACTGATAGCCGCATGCAAATGTAGTTATGAGATCATGGGCCAAATTTGTCTGGATTTAATACTGAAGCACAAATTCACCCCTTGATGGGTACTGCGTGCGTCGAGTCAGGCTTGACCGCAGCTTGCAGTTTACGCATGCGCCTAGGTGAAAAAAAATCGGTGCACGTCTTACTTCCTGGTGGACTGATTATGAATTTTTAGATGCAACCTTAAAAGGAACCGAAACCGTTTTTGAAAATAAAATAATTTCAATTTCTTCTATACAAATCAACCACATTCTTCCATAGGATTGCCTCGTAGACGGGGCCTCTGATATATGCGGATTTAGCCCATCCTTTTTGCTTTGTCTTTCCGCCCGCGCCACCAGTCTCCTATTTAAAAAAGAATTTTGTGTGGCTGTTAGAATAGAAATGATGCCACCATCCTCTGCATCATTACTCCAATAACAGTAGATCTGTAGATATTTGTTCACGGATGGTAATGGTCGAAACTGGTCCCCATATTTGCTAGATCTCCATCTATTTTATTTTACAAGCTGCACACGCAATGTGCAATGGGTAACTGACGGCTGGTTGAGCTCTCATTGGACAGTTTTGTCACGCTTGCGCACAGCCTATGCATATGAAATGTGCGTACATGAATCATTAACCATAATTATTTCGTGACTAACTATCCTTCATTTTTGTCAATGCAGTGACGTAAGCGAAGCCTATCCCAAGAAGCCACATTATATTTCAATTTATCGCTGTTTTCGAATCCGTTTTTGGCAGGGAGACTGCAAATAGAGTGCATGCTCTTTGTAGATGTATTATCGTTTATTCTGTTGTTGGAAAAAGATTTAGGCAATGATGTAGGCCGCTTTGAAGGACAATAAAGATGTAATTTCCATGCATTTTTCCCCAACATTTTGAGTGTTTAGTTAACAAATCTTGGACGATAATGTACTACAAAAACTCATGGCAAAGGAAACTTTCAAAAGTGGATTAAAATTAGACCTTGGCATTAATTAGGGTTACAGTAATAAATAGATGCTCTAAAGTTAAATTATCTGAGAGATATAATTCTAAATGATGTACGTTGTGTCTAGCTTTGAGAGGTACGTTTTCAGGTTAGAGCGCTGTAAATCTTTGCAAGCAGTAGAGGTTTTGCATGGCTGCCATCTGACAGGCCAGCGCTTCTGTTCCACAGGGTGTGCACAAAGGAGGTTTCCTTGTAGAACAAAAGAGTTGCCCTGCAAAATGGCTACCACGTAAGACCTTGATACTCCTTTGCGTTATCGAGAGAGAAAAAATGCAGTGTAGTAGAATCACATGCAGCAGCCCTGTGGATGCGTCATTCTTTTGGACAGAGTGCAAACTGTTACCGCAATATTACTGTTTTAAAGTACAGACGGGAGGTCTGACCCAAGGCTAAGTTTCAGGTAGAAATTCAAAGTCAGTCTTAGTACTTTTCCACCAACTTCACCTAAAGACCTGTTTACATAGATAAACTCGGAGTATGAATACGTACAGCATGTATGAGAACTTAGAGACAAACAAAATAGTTCCCCTATTGTTTTGCCAGTAATATCGGCAGACACGTACGGGGCTGCATGTGCACACTTATGTTCCAACAGTCATGTCTCATGTGGTTGTTACCATGGCAGCAGACAGTGTATGGACTTTGAGAAAATCAATGGTGAGATAAAAACACTGTGGCAGTCGAAGCAAAAGCCTATTCAAAACTTATAGTGCAAAGCGGCATATCTGATCATGTCCTCTAAAATAGCTGTGCTCGGGACGAGCTAATATTTCTCTGGCTGCACTGGGAATTTCATACGGTCTTTGATACTGTTAAAATGTTTCTTGCATTAACTTGTACCCACACTTGGACCATTATGGTCCAAAAAAGTTAGAAGCTACACAATAGTGTTTAAATGTGCAGAGGGTATCCTGCCATGTGAGGGAGGGTCCATATATGTCTTCCAGAAGTCCAGTCCATTATGTAGGCTTATCAAGGATTTTCCTTGATGGCCGCTGGAGCCATGGCCCTCTTTCTTGTGTTGGAACAGCGGCAAAACTAGGGGAGGGCACGACCCCCAGCTGGGTCAGTTATGCCCTTCCATGAAATCTTGAGTTGATCAAAAACTACGTTCAACAAAGTCCCGGTTATAACAAAGCAATTGGTCTGGTACCTGCAACCTTGTTCTACCGAGAGTTGAGTATACAAGATGCAGTTCATACGCTAGCCCCCCCCCCCAAAAAAAACTGAAGTGCAACTTAGGAGGCCTCCTGAAGTTTGAACCCGTTCGCTCGAAGGGATCTCACGGGATTACATTGTGAGCTGTGTACTAGTCGCTAAGTTTATAGAAAATTCAGCTCAGAACAGGTGAGAGGATTTTAAAGTAACCTCCTTTGCAATGGTAGGTATACCAATTGTCCTTGCTTCATGAGGAAAGAAGTCCATGTTTATGCATGTGTCTAGTGTACCCAGGCACACGTTTAAGATATTCTGCCATTGCCAATCTGCGGCAAATTGTCTTGTTTTGTGATCGCCGCGTGTGGCGCCCTTTACGTCGGTGCTTCAAATGGCCTGCTATCATTCGCACGAACGTGTTCAGTTGAACATTAACTGATATCTCCCAGGGTTGAAGGGCTTAATGAAACTAGCATTTTACGCGAGTAAACAGTTCTCCTTTGTACTTTGCAATTTGTGTTTTGATACATACTAGCTACAACAAGGAAATTCACGCTACTTTGCGATTGGCCATTAGTTCAAGGAAGCCATAGGAGTTTAGAAATCGACAACATTAAATTCAGCTTCAAATTTTTATCTCACGCCGCCGTGGATAATTCGGCATTCTAGATGAAAGTAGAATGTCTTTTCAAATATAGTCGAATTAAAACCCGACCACAGCATACATGCAAAAACCTAGAGCTTCTGAACAAGATGTGATACACTTGTCGTCTGTCACTGTGTGGTCCAAGGTGTTATGTTTGCCCCAAAGAGAATATTCTTTTTCCCAAAGCCTGATATGGTCACATGACTAGCTCTCGACCAATGAAAGGACTGTTCTTGACTGTTGTGATGTGGGATATGGCGGGCACGGCAAAACCAGTGGTGCACATGTGCGTGCTTGAGTTTAAAAACCGTCATTCCCCATGTAGAAGTAGTCATAAAAAGTTTTTTAACTCTATGGCCAAATAAAATCAGTAAAGTTAATGACACGGTAGATATGGCCTTTTCCATTGATCTGGTGGTCAGGAAGGTCATGCATAAGTCCAGTTAGCTCCAGCCTGAGGAAAACGATGAATGTTTAACCGCCTGTAGGTCCTGGAAAATAATAAAATGTGTCTCAGCTCAACAAGGTGCTTGGAGTTAATAAAACTGGCTAACGTAAAATCAGTAAGATAGACAATTAGATTAGTGGCTTCCCCTTTTTGCCTGTGTTATCATGTATTTTTTTTAGAAACATCTCTAACAGGAAGCACCTCTAAATAAAAACTATCTGAGAGGTATTTTTTTGTTTTATAACATTTTGGAGATCTGTCTCAACATTGTTTTCATCCGTTGATGCAGTTTCTTCTGCAACGGCTCTCGATGGTTATAATTATAAATCAGCCGCGTTGCAACCATTCATTAACGGAGTAATATTGCAGACTAATCTTGCTTGACGCTCAAGCGCGTAATCCTCTCGGCCAACATCACCCAGGAACTGAATTTTAGAATCAACATCGGCTGCTATGCCGGAATGGAGTATCTTCAGCTTGTGTGGGCTTGGATGACGTAATAATATTTACAGGCAGGAAAAAATTTGTACAAAGTTCACTATCCATCCTCTTAAAGCCCGGTGCCCGCGGGCCGGACCTATCAGACAACGCCCAGATCCTTACCGATTCGACCGCCGTCCCCCCGTGAATGGATTTTTTGTCAGAGATGGTAAGACTGTGTTGGTTTTTCTGTTCAGTATAAAGCAAATTATTTAATATTGTGTAGCAACAACTGGGTAGTGTAAGGACCAGTGATGTATCCAGCGATAAGGGGGAACCCTACCCCTGGGGGCATGTTGTATTTTCATTTTAGGAGTTGAAAGAACCAAAAACTGATAAAGGTGTCAGTTCAGTTTATTGTCATTTGTGTTTCCATCCCATTTCGTCCCTTTTCCTGTTTATTTCGCCTTTTGTAGCATAGTCCTCCGTATTACTATCATAATTTTTTTCAGAGAGGCAAGCCCCCCCCCCAGTGCCCCTCGTCTTCCTTGTTGCTATCGTTTGAGAAAATATCCCCGGACTCAAAAACTGTACAATGCACTCGCACTGGCTAGTGGACATACTTGTAATAACCATTTCAGTTTTGAATTGTCGACGCTGAGGGGTGAGCACCACACCATCTCGGCCGTGTAATTCGAACTTACTTTTCGAGTTAAGTTTTAGCCAATTCAGTAACTGTGTTTTAGTATTATTTTCTAACACCTGCTTCGAGGTACCTACATTTTACCCATGTATACGCTCTAAAAGCATGAGTGTCAAATTACAATTGGTTCGTTACCACTCTTTGACAGTGTTGAATTCAGCAGTTACACTGTTAATTAGTAATTTAAGTGTCAACATTTCAGAGTGTTAACATCAAATATATTGCATTTGCATTTTAAATGAATTATTCGCAAAAGTGTTAGATTTACCTTATAACATGCTGGATCTGACATACCCAGTGCGAGAATCGACACTTTCAAAGAATAGTTAAAGGGACTGGGGCATTGTAAGTGTTTGATCCAACATTTCAGTTTCCAAAGTGTTTTAAAACACAGGAACCACTGAAAAATGTCTGCGAACTACGTTGACAAAAGTGAGAACTGTTACAATCACTACATTTAACTTCTGAGTGCTGTTGTCCAGTGCTGGTTTATACCTTTTAACGAAAACAACTCTCCTCGTGACTGCACGAGTAATTTTAAGCTCCTATCTCTTCCGTCTTACCACTCGGTCTATATTGACCAATTACCTCAAGTTTCGCTACCGTTTGGAATGTGGAAACTCTTCCCCTATTTAAAGTAAAGTTGCGAGCAGTTTGGGTATTTGAGATGGTTAAACAAAATACTTGAGATCGGTAAACAAACTGTGTTGTATAAATGTTGAAGTATAATGACCGAAAAAGGACATGTGCGAGTTTCAGTTTTGATTATTGATGGGTGATTTTCTTGGCTTAAAGTGCAGCTGCCTAATCGCACAAAGTCTAGAAACTGCTGAAAGCCATTCAGCGAATGGACAAGTGTCAACAAATGCCTGTTTTGTGAAAAAACATTGGTTAATTCCCTGTTTTGCTTTCTCGCTCCGTCTTTCATGTCTGTTCAGGCTACCGTCAAGGCTGCCGAGAATTTCGACGCTGACAGTGACTGTCAGATTCTGAGGAAAGCTATGAAGGGCCTCGGTAAGGAGGAGGATAAAAATTGGATAACATTCGTCATAATATACGAAAAAGAGAGAAAAGACATGACATGGCAGACAAAAGGGAAGCAATACTAAGAGGCGAGTTTGAGCTCCAGCAATTGACTGTTTTATGGTGCCGGTTAAATGACCCCAATGACGTCATTGATCTGCCGATAAGGGACGCTCAAACCGTAAAGCAACCATATTCAACATATTGTAAAGGAAGCTCAGTTTTATTTTTTTTATAATAAAACTAAACGATCAGTGGGTTGTGAAGTGAGGTTTTGTCAAATCAGTTACATATTTTGTCGGTGCAAAATATTAAGTTAAATTTGGAGAGGCACAACCTTTTCAAAATGAAAAGAATGAATAATATAGCTGTCTTAGTCGTCCAACTGAAGAAGAATTTTTAAATAATGTATTGCAAGCAAAGACATCAATACAAATGATGGAATTAATTGGTTCTAAAAATAATGAAAACTTAAAAACAATACAGAACCTATGACTTTCAATGACTTACATCTTTAGACCATTCTCCGACATTTTTAAATCCTTACATTGTCAGGAAAATTAGGCCTTTCTCCTTTGAGGTTTTTCTCAGAGTTTTATGCGTTAACCACTTGGCAAACAGCCACATTTTGTCACATGGGGCATGGATGTCCCTTTAGTTTAGGCATTCCAGTTCTTAAACATTCAGTTATTCCCAAGAGGTCAAAAGGCTCCAACTATGCACATACAAGGGACAGATAAAGTTTGGCTGAGTTTATTACCAAATCTGTTCAGTATCTACTTTGCCTACATCAGGTCGGTGTATAGTAGTCCTTTCCTCGCGTTCGACCCATGCGACCCGGGTTCGAATCCCGCCTTGGTCAGCATGTGGATTGGGTTTTCAGTCCCTGCCTTATTCCGTGGGTATCCACGAATATTTTCCCTGGTTTTCTTCCCACCTGTAACACTGAACATTTCTTCGTTGTCTTCTTAATCGTCACTTCATCCTGTAATCCTGAGCTAAAAGCGCAAAAAAAAACCGTCTACTTCTAGGTTTGACTCTCTCTCAGACTCGAAAAAATGTTCTTATTCCAGTTTGGAAAAGAGATCATAAGTTAACAAAAAAACCTAGCGTTGCAATTACTTCGCTGTGTAGATCGCTGGAATAACATCCACCTGCGCGATAACTTGGGCAAACAGCTTTTAACCTTTGTTCCCTCGAACACATCGAAGCTGCCATATCAATGGGAAAATACTGATAATCGTTGATAGATAAGATGATGAACAGGGTCGAGTTTTGTTGAATTACTCGTTCGGATAATTGGTCTCTTATCACTGCAATAACTCAAACTTTTGGGGACCATTAGGCTGATGCCATCTTTCTATTGCCAGTCGGTTATTCGAGGCGTGACGCAAGCGCTCGATCTGTAACGGCCATTCATTGACATTTTATTGAAACTTAACATATGTACAGACCTATGTTTTGTACAAATGCATGGTTTTAATTTTGTAAGGGTAATATTTATACTTACTGCTATTCACTTAATACCGCAATTTGATTTCTTGAAATGCACTTTTCAGCAGATGATAGTCTCCGTGAAACAGCATTTTTAATGAGATATCTGAAGCGAAAAATCAGTCCATTTTTCTACCATTTCAAGTTCTTCAGAGCATGCCCGCCTGTTGTAGGTGCAAAAATCCCCCCCCCCCATCTTACAGTGTCGTTTGGACCCCGAATATTCATTTTGTATTTTTGACTACAAGACTTGGTCTTTTTTCGGGGGGAGGGGTAAATACTATAGTAAGATTTTGATATTCTCCTTTCCATAAATGACTGTCACTGACTATATTATTCAGGGACCGACGAGAAGGCAATAGTTGATATACTGGCGTGTAGGTCCAATGCACAACGCCAGGAGCTCAAGGTGAAATTCAAGGCATCATTCGGCAGGGTAAGGTGAACTCGAGGGACTGTCACACAATGCCTTCCCATCTTACTGTTCATTTGTTTGATCGACTTCACCGTCAGTTTGATCCAACGGATTTGCCTCAGGGTCGACTCTTGTCGCGGAAGCGTCATTTCCAGTAGAGAGTCGATTCTAAGGAAGAATCGATCATGAGAAGAATCATATCTAAGGAAGAAGCTTACTTTTAAATTAGGAATATTCCACTCAATGTGCACGAATGGTTTAACCTCAGGGTGTATTGCTGGCAAATCACCACAAATAAAAAAAATGAATACCCTCTTTCTGAAACTTGGACAAAAATACGAAAGTAGTGCCTGGTATTTTCCTCTACATAGAAAATTTCCACAAAAAAGCCATTATTAAGGACCTTGCAGTATGTTTTTACCTAAATGTCACTGATATGGAAGCTCAGCTTCGAGAAAACTTTGAACCCTTCCTGTGTACATAACGTCTGTGTGTGGTTTTCTGTTGTACAATGTGGCTGCCAACTGTATCTTAACTTGCGCGGGTAATTTTTACATTTCCTTGCAGTCATACAGAATGTGCAACTATGTCTACATACATTAAAAAAATGTCTAGCAGGATTTTGTTAATCGAAATTGTATTTTATCCTTCACGATAATCTGATCGCAGGACTTGGTTAAGGATCTGAAGAGTGAGTTGGGCGGGAACTTTGAGGATGCTATCCTGGCCATGATGGACCTGCCTGCGGTCTTTGACGCAAGATGCCTCAAGAAAGCCATGAAGGTACTCGATATTAGTCTGTGACATCATATTGCACAAGAGGAGATTAATATTGTATCTACACTCCTCAATCCGGACCAGAAGAGGGCATATTTTTTTCAAGCAACGGAGCTCCTTTGGTGGGACTGTACCACGGACATTATAAGAAAATCTAGACTCGCAATGCCCTTAATCAGCTTATAGAGATCATTGAATCCACTAGCGGCCATTTTACGGAGCGGCATACAAAGCTTTCGTGGCAACGCCCGCGTTTATTCTTCCTGATGTCAATAGAAGGGAGCCAACCCACGCTTTTGTATTCGGCTCGGTAAAATGGCCGCTGGTTGGCTTCTATTTCATACAAAGGCATTGCAAGTCCAGGTATTTTTATACACGTCCGTGGACGGTACTTTTCTGGCCCATGAACGATTATGCGTTGCAGTCACGTGGCTACTAATACTCCCCACCAACATGGCTCTTGTCAATCGATGAGGGGGTGCTCAAGGCAGATACCCTTCGAACCTAAAACCAATGTCGGTACAGTTGGCAGTTGAATAACCAGGGGGGGGGTAATGAGGGAAGCTCCACCCTCTCCCAAAACTTGTGCGCCCTCCCCCACTCAGAAATTAGAGAAGCTAGAAAACACCGCTACTTATAAGTGAGGCCTGTGCAGCAAAATAGCCATGCTCCAACTGTGAAGCTAATATATTATCGTCTGATTCAATACAGTAGGTAAACCTATAAGTGAGGCTTGTTCGAGCCTTCTGCTTGCAAATTTTCGTGACGCTGACATGCCTCATTTGTAAGTTTGCCTTCTGCATTGTATCATTAGAAAATATATTAGCATCACAAGTCTTGCAAGGTATGTTGCTGCACGGGCCTTACTTATAAGCAGCGGTGGTTAGTCGGATCGGGTGAGGAAAACGCTGGTGAAAGTCCGCCTTGGTCAATGTTTTCACCTTTCACTTTCATTCATGAGAATCACGACGTAGTTCAGATCCTCACGTGGCACCTCCAGAAAATGAGGGGCGCCACCACGTGCCCCGCAAAATTTACCCCATGCAGTTACACCTCTGATGAGTAATTTGCAATCAACCTATCACAAGATATGCCAATACGGGCGATTCACAATAGTGCGCAACCAAGAGTTTGCAACACGTTGACCAATCATAACGCGCGAAAGTTGTCGACCCTTTCCAAACGCGCATTGGGTCGACAAATTTCGCGCATTGTGATTGGCCAACTCGTTGCAAACTCTTGGTGGCGCACTATTGTGACACGGCCGTATTGTCAAAAGGCATTCAGTTTGGGTGTCAAGAAAAAAGCTTTACACCAACTGTGGACCGTGGCAACTTAGAGGCATTTCTTTCTCGTTTATCCCCTGTTGTCTTAATATCCTGTGACCTGACTAGTGCTGTCTTGCGACTGACCCGATCTGGACCAGGGAATCATGGAGTGATTTACATAATGGCTCATTTTAACTTGCATGTGAACAACTTGTAAAACACGGGACTTGTGCATCAGCTTCTTAATAAGACTGACTTGTGACTTATTCAAAGGCAGATCGAGAATCCAATTGGGGGGGTCAAACTTGTCAGGGGAGGGTGCAAAAAATTTGAATTTATAACATAACCTTGTGTGGCCTTGTTTGAGACTTTTTATACTTTTTGAAAGAAGTGAAATGAAACCAACCAACAAATTAAATTTCACCTCTCTCTAATTATTTTCCCCAAACTGCTCTTTTTACCCCCCCCCCATTAGATCCTTCCCTTAGTATTGGGTCTCAGTAAACAAAAGCATAATAGACTGGCTAGCCTGGTACTTTGGGAGCACCGGAGTTTGCATTCCCAGGACATGTTCTATTACTTTTAATAGTGAGCTGTTTTCAAAATTGATTTTCTACTCTCTTTCAGGGAATTGGAACTGATGAGTCTGTGCTGATTGAGATCTTGTGCACGAGAAGCAAGGCGGTAAGCGGGAAAGGAATCAAGGGATAATGTCATAGACCGTTTGCTGTTTTTCGGGTGAATGTTGTCCACGAAGAAAATAGTCGGCTAGCTGTAAATCAAAGACTTCGAAATTCGCTATTTTTGGTCTTCAAATTCTGTTGCGTTTTACAGGCTAGAAGATTGACCAATTTGGTCTAGACAACCAGGGGCTGGGGACGTTCTAAAATAAATACCGAAATGCTTTATTGCTACTGAAAGTGTCAACTCCTATATGTCGAGAAAACGACTGTAACCAATACAGTATTGACTTTTCTGAATAACAAACATCAGAACGGCCATATCTGCTCCCTTGCATTGCATTTCCAAGACTCAGTTGTAGGCCTTCAAGTTTGATATGGACCTTGCCTCTATTAATGTCCTTCTTTGGTTCAGCATTACAGAAGTTTGGAATTTCAGGCAATTCTTGTGTATATATACTTATTTGTTGCACAAGGGATTATCGTGGGTAATTTCACTCTTTTTTCATTCAGCAAATCGCTGCTATCAAAGCTGCCTACAAAACAAGTAAGTTGTTCGGTACAGTTTTCATGGCATTGCATCATCACGTCCAACTTTATTAGTACATATGAAAGATAAAGGTTTTAGGTTGTCATTTTGCTGACTGTATTTATGTGTTTAATGCGTACAACACTGAATACGAGCGATTTATATTAGCGCGCCACCAAGAGTTTGCAATCGTTGACCAATCACAACCCGCGAAATCTATTGACCCGATGCGCATTTGAAAAGGGTCGACGGATTTCGCTGATTGTGATTGGCCAACGCGTCGCAAACACCAAGAGGCGTGCTATTGTAAATCCCCGTATTGTCCTAGAGGAATCAGTACACTCGTATCCGCCCCTGCCAAGAGGTCGTTCTCATTCTCGAAAGTTTGTGAATGAAACCTCCCTGAAGACTTGACTCGTGTTAGTTCAGGAATGACTTTATTCTGAGGAGCTAAAGAAATTACCCATATATTCTAGAAAAAAAAAATGAGCCCTTCCGAGCTAGCTTCCTGTATGAGGCGATGATTCCAAGGGTAAGGAACAACCTAGGTCTTTTCCACTCTCTTTGCAGCATTTGGCAAGGACTTGGAGAGTGCGATTGAAAGCGAGACTAGTGGCGACTTCAAACGAGTTTTGATTGGCCTCTGTGCTGTAAGTTTTAGACCTTTCATATCCAGCGGAGGGGTGGGGTGGTAGAGGAAAAACAGCGGTTAATTTTGCTTCCAGTCAAAGAGAAGCATGGCAAAGTGATGTTTAAGAAAGATATCCCACCGGCTGTAGGTGATTTTTACAGAAATAGTGGCATGCTGACATCAATAGGGGACTAACTTCTCTTTTGTAGCGGACGCCGGTCAATCTGGCCTACTCGCCCGTACAGTCGGACACATTTCACCAAACTGGGCCCTTGGCAGACTAGAATGGTCAATCAGTCCCCTATTTGGCATGCTGTAAGATGTTTGTGAGTAATTCCAGAAATTAGGGGTCCAAAAGTCTGTCATTTTCGTGTCCCTGTTACATCTGACCTTTGTTATTTAACATGGAAATATCACCAGAATTAATTTCAAACCATATGTATTACTATTTGTTGGCAGGTAATTTGCGTTATTTCATAACTCTTGGAAATTAGAAAATGTGTTCTGAACTTACAAAATCACATGTTAGATGTGACAGGAACAGGAAAAAATGGATCCCTAATTTCTGGAATTCCCCTTGTGCCTGTTCAGTTAATACCAATGCCGTGTTCAGAATTGCTGGTGAAGAAATGTCGAATTATTACTTAATTTTCAGGGTGGGAGAGATGAAGGCACCGGAGTCGACGAGGAGAAAGTGCCAGAAGATGCCGCTGCACTACAAGAGGTAAAAAAGGAACTTCATTTATGCCACTAGGACTTTTATTTAAATTAAAAAAGGATTTCAAAGACAGTAAACTTAGAAAGAAGTCTGTGCTAGATGGTCATTTCTCCTTTTCCTTGAGATTATGGTCGGCACTGTATTATTTAGCCTTCCCCAAAGTCGTTCACGTGGTATTACATTCGCAAACACCTTTGATGGGTACCAGCTGCAGTGGCCATTCTGAGACTTGTCAACCTGACAAGATAGCATGCTCTGTCTTGTCGATGTCAGTCGCACAAACTTTTTTGCCACGATAACGAATGAAATTCTCACACCAGACGTCCTCTTTTGTCGCCTGTGTTTTGACTTAAAGTTCATCAAGTCGACGTGAAATTGTTCACATGTTTTAACGAGATGCTAAACTACTGCGATGATTGTTGTCATTACACAGGCTGCTAAGGGTCTAGGAACAGACGAATCGGAGTTCCAGCGCATCTTGGTCACGAGAAGCCCCCTCCACCTCCGAGCCGTCTTCAAAGCTTTCGAAGCGGTACAAACAACTGTGTTTACCACTAACCTAAGTTCATGAGAGGAATATTCACGGGGCACACTGGTGTAATCGCTTTTCCCTTGTCAGTGTTGTCATTGTCACATCACCATCCACGACAACGCCACTGACCTCATCAGCTATACTTTTACCACCACCGCACGCGTGTCTCTGTCTTAGTGCCATCATTGACATTACAATCTTCATAATAGAGTACCCAAGTGAATACGTCACGCGCACAATTAGTGTGTAAAAGGCATTAGCGCAAGAACCAGCGCGTGAACCAACATGCGAGCGTACCCCATTCGTTTGCATTGCACTTTCTGGTTCACAGTGACGTCACATTCGGTACTCAATTTTGATCTCATTTTAAACCAACTCATCAATAAAATGTAATAGACACAATATAAATTTTCCATGGGCTGCCCTTTTGCTGCCCTCTTTGAGTTGTCCTCATCTGCATATAAATTAGATCTGGAGTTCTAACTTGTCTTAATTTTAAGTTAAGATAGCATGCGTGAACGTTAAAGACTACATTCTTCAACAATGTAACGCATGTGCAGAGGAACTTTTTCAGGGGAGTATTTTCTGTTGTTTTACACAGATGACTGGAAAAAGCATTGATGACACCATTAGAAGCGAAATGGGAGGGAATCTTCGGAAGACCTATTTGACGATTGGTATTATAACTAATTCCCTTTAAGTTCAATCTTACTTCCTAGTGGAAGTACTCACATCTCCGACTTTCTTAAAAACGACTCAAGTGTAAATTATCGAGGAGATTAGTTGCTTGTTAAAAAGGAAAAAACTTATCCAGTGTACCGATTCTACCAGTCGATGGGAAGGAAAAAGAAAGAGTACTCAACATATTTCTTTATTTATGTCTGCATACTTAAATACATAGAGCCATTTTAGGTTTTCCGTTGCGTTTGATTGTTTCTAAGATGTTAACAGTTGGCATATCATTTGGATGTATATTTTCAGTCTGAAACCTCGTTAGTTCACTTTCCTTATCTGCCGACTTATGAAATCAATATTAAGACTGCGTCAAGGTTAGGCCAGAAAAATAGAAACTGCGTCATATGGAACCAGTTGCCTTGCGAGTAGGGTGTTCGGTGTGACTTTTCCACACAGTCTAACCCTCCCTTGTTTCCTGTCTTATACCCAGTGGGTTTCTTCCAACACCCGATGGAGTTCTTTGCCGATCAGCTGAACAAGTCCATGAAGGGTCTGGGAACAGACGAGGAACACCTCATCCGGATTATTGTATCCCGCTCAGAGGTGAGGGTTTTAGATGAGGCCGTAAGAGTTCTTGGTGAGGAGTTAGGTGAAGTCGGATGTTACGGAGGATGGATCCGAAATTGGACTACAGCCTTGTATCGAGAGCCAGCAAGACTTGTAAAGGGGCGAATCACGTGCACGTTTGGTGGATCACAAGAGTGTTCTGCGCAGAGTGCTCGCGATTGATCTTCATCATTATGTGCACAAAACCATGGCCGGTAAAAGAGCTTGAGTGCGCAGCCTAAATGTTTCATATTTTCCGACCCGATCCGTCTTGTGCAGAAGCAGCCCATTATCGGTTGAAAAAGAGCCATTTCGGTCGGTAGTGTTCATTTTTGCTGGCAGCTACATTACAGTTCAGTAGATAACGGTGTACTGTACACCCGTCCAGTTAACGATCATGATTGAATCAATGATCTATAGCTCATCTCCATCAATTACTTTATTCATCAACCTTATGACAGAAGCGTCGCTGGGTGCATCGATATGGAGGGCCAATTGTACAAATTTGCCAATTAAAATATAAAACTCGTACAGTTTTGCAAAATAATAAGCCTACCTCTTGACACTCTCCCTAGCCATTGTTACTCACGTTGACTATCTCTCATAATTGTCATTTAGTTTATTGTTTCATTAATTTTTTACTTTGTCTTTTTTCAGATTGATCTGGGCGGTGTCAAGGCAGCCTACGCCGTCAAGTACGGCAAAACGCTTGAAGCGGCCATCGCTAGCGAGTGTGGGGGAGATTTCAAGAATGTCCTGGTCACCCTGACGTCATAAAGACTACCGAACCAACTCCATGTTGCCTCATAATCGTTGCTGACTGATTTCCTTCTATTGTGTAGTTTAAAACAAAAGTAGATCTCAAACGCGAGAGATGTGAATTAGAACAGCAAGGCATACAGTGAGCCTTTTAAATGCAGTCAGAATGCGTGAACTTCCTAAGAGGTTCAGTGTGTAGTTTAGAAGAACTGAACCCGCTGACTTGGGACTCGCGTTCCAGTTCTGTAGCCCTTTTTCCGGGAGCTTAGGGGATCCAGTCAGTCATCCCATTCTAAAATGTCGTTTGGATTCGCGAAAAAAATCGCGAATGCGGAAAAAATCTACTGACTTTTTTAAAGCCAAAGTCTAAACCAGAACAAAAGAGAAATTAATACAGTCGGTATAGAACAATTAATGTAGCATTTGAATGTAAGCACTAGTAATTTTTATGGGGAAATGTGCTCCTAAAGTGAGTCGGTCAGTTTAGACGGTACAACGTTTGTTTAAAATTGTTCTCTTTTATTTGTCCATTCTTAACAATGCAAACTGTCCACAATTCCTTATGTGAAAATAAAAGAATAGAATTGTATAAATTTCCAACAAAGGAGATCCAGAGATGAATGACTTGTTTATTGGCATGGTTGCAATGACTATGGAAGTTTAGGTACAAAGCATGCATTTTCTAATGGCTTCATTTTCTATTGATATTATTCTGTAACCATTCAACCATGTAGGCAACTGTAACAATCACACAAGGATTTGGGCATGTACATGTTCAGGGTGCAGTGAACTCCACAAGATTGGAAATGTCTGGTGTCGGTGAAACCATGGGCGAAACATTCAGCCCTTTGGCGTAAAGTTTCACAAGCTGACGCGGAGTCAGGCATTTATTGGCCTATTTACAAAAAATTTAGAATTCTGAACACGACGTGGGTGGATATGTGGAACACGCAGACGGCAGCTTTGTACATGTACTGAAGTGACGCTTCGATGCACCAGGGCTTCGGTTATTGAGTTATGGACAAAGTAAAAAAATATTTTTGTTTATGCACGCCATTAACTGGGACCCCGTAGGGGTGCTTACGCTTTGAGTATTATCACACAGCTCGGAGCAATTCTAGGTTTAGAACGAATTCAAATAAACTGTTTGCACATGCTTCCGAGTGAGCCAAGTTTAACGCATTGAAGGGATTAATGAATGTGTTAATGGAAGCGCGGGGAAAAATCTTTTTAAACACCCACGGTTTCGAAATAGCCAGAACGGGAAACATGATTTTTTTCCCTAAGTGACCTGGGACATTTGGATACGTCACTGATCGGCCGACGGCGGAGACGTCGATTTGGAGTGAGACATAGTAGACGATTTCCATCGGTGGCACAGGGTCCCGAACTTGACAGCTACATACAGAATGGTAAGTTGGAATTTGTTCATGATAATACACAGCCTCGAAGTCGACAGGGGCATGCGAATCAGACACGTTAGAGATAAATGTACGTGTACATGTATATGGCAAGGGTTCTAGTGTGTAATACACGTGCTTAGCTTTACCATTGTATGCGTCCATGTTCTTTAAATCACTTGATACTGGCTACAGACTCTACACACTAGGGCTTATCCGTGGAAGGGGCGTGGCACAGCGGACAGGAAATTAACATACGCTGGGGTATTGAGTGCAGCATGGAAAGAAGGTCAGTCGCGTTTGGAACGTGCCTAGATGTTTAAAATGTAATTATTTGGCAGGATGGAGTATAATCGAATTCACAAAACCCTTTTGCACTGTAGTTAGGACTGGAGACCTAGCCATGATTATCATACAATGCTCTCTTGTCTGTACGAGAAGGCTTAGAACGGTCCTCATAAAAATTATGAAAGCGTGAATGCACTTCGAAGGGTGCAGTCCACAAATTTATGTCCCATTGAAAACAGTGTACAATCGTTGCATTGTTCAGGACTTAATAGCATGCAAAACAAAATCCTTGGGGTTTCTCAAATAAAAATGAAAATATTAGGTCATTAACCTTAACTCCAAGGGTGTATGTAAAATGATATTGAAATGGAAGGATTTGTGACTGTTAGGGCTTATCTTTCAGTTTCTTTTCAATTTTTTTTGGGGGGTTAACAATTACATTTGTAATTATTCATACAAAACAAAATCACCCCCTCCAAAAAAAATCCACAATCGCCCATTTTTCAAATGGCTTCCCTGTACTTTCTCGGTTACTTGGGGCTGTTTTTCAACCGTATTTTTAAAATCTGTTCTGCCCTCAGATGGAAGCACAAAGAACCAGGGAGTTGATCTTGGCAAAGATTCACACATGGGGGGGGAGGGAGAGAAATAATCTCCTTTTTCAAAAGAAACCCGGGGAGGGCACTTTTCAGCTCGGGGGAAATTAATGTTTGAATAAGTGGACTGAAAAAGGCCGGCATCCATGGTTGATAAATCTCAAGTCTTCATATCATACGCATTTTTGTTTTAGTCCATAAAACACCGAAGGACACCGCCCCTCCCCCCCCAAGAAAAGCACCACTCTGCAATAAGTGGTCCGTGTGTGTTCACCGTTTTCTCTTCACAGGCCAGAGTTTTCGTTGTAGGTCCACTGAGTGTGCATTTGAACCTTGCAACAGGGTAATAATATCTATGGTGGATCATGGCCTTTTGAATTTCAGGTTGTGCTCTTTGAAGTGTCCTGATGAGGTCGGGGAGTGTTTCCCAATTTGGAATGTTATGCAGCTTTTCATTAGGTCACTGCTTCAGCTAGATCGGCTGCAAACTGTTAGCTATACAATTTTGAAAAAACGCTATATTTAACAACGTGGAAGTTCAGCTAGGTCTTGTTTCAAATTGGTATTTGTTTGCCTGAGAAAAATAAGCCACAGATAGAAATTGACCAATTATTTCCAGTCATGAATGCTTGATCGCGAGGCTGTCAGGGTAAATATCGGCCTAGTCCGAAATGTATAGATAGCTCATTTGTTGAAAGCCTTCAAACAGAGCTGCGGATTCATGTGCACACACGCTGTTGCAACACAGGCACTCAGTGGAGACATGCGACTCGTGGAAAGCAAAGTTTTTTTGTGCCAATTGGTTCTGCACACTGAGCCTCGATCTGGCAGCTCGTACAATCGCGTCAGAATCGCATCAACACAGCTTTTGAAATATTGTCCAATTGCATGGTGTGAGAGCTGTCGCAGCACGCGCAGAATTATTTTTTACTGAGCAGCATACACGCGAATCACTGAACCAGCTGTGTTTAGTTTGTAAAGCTGTCAGATCGAAGCTCTGCTTGCCTGTGGCGGCAGCGTGCAAAGAGCTAATACTGTACATGTAGAACTCACTTATAAAACATCATACATCAGCTTTAATTCTATCACAAAACAGGCAAGCTCACGTGATCGGTGTCCGCTGTAAAACCTACTTACACAGCTTTGCTTTCACAATAGTAGCAGTGGCATTCATTTCCTTCCGTTGGCTTTAGTGTTCAGGGTTAAACACTATTGCAGATCCTGGAAAGAAATATGACCCACATCCCTTGCATTGGCCTAAAGGAAATTGAATCATAACCCCTAGGGCGATAGTATGTAAAATCATATTGAAATAGGAGGATTTGGAGGAGTGTTAGGATTAGACAAATGACAAGTAATAAAATTTTTCCCGTCAACTGTGCAACAGTGGAATATGTGTTTCCTTTCGTTGGCTTAGTGTTTCAGGTTAAGCGTTACCGCACATCCCGGATAGAAATATGACCCACGCCCCGTGCATTGGTCTATTACCTAGGGAATTTTTCAATTAAAAAGAAAAACAAGGACAGTTTTCCAAATTCATTTTTAAAATACGTACACTTGGTTGAAACAGACAAACAGTAGCTCAAAATCAGCGTACTTACATTTTCAACCACAATACAAAATTTGATTGTGAATGAGGAACTTCAGTAGTTGATGTATACATGTGCATGTACTTGTTTTCACGTTTTAACTGCGTGTAAACTATTGTTTAACACGTATGATCAACTTCAATCGTATAGCCTACAGGTGGGCCAAGATACTTTCGTCGAATTGCCCAAAAATGGAGCTGCGGCATCAGAATTCTGCGGATTGCCACCTCCAAATGAGGCATGACGAATCATATCACAAGTAGACTTTTCTCTTACTTGCCCAGTGAATTTTACTGATCAAAAGTAATAGTAAATATTTTAATGCAATATGTCCCTGTCGTGTGTTATAGTGCAAGTAATATTTATCGTCGTTTTTACCGAAATTCTACTTTCGCCTGAAACATGAAACCGAGATTCTGGCGCACAGTACTCGTTATATGAAGTGCCAAACTTGGAGTTGATCCAAAAAACAGGAAGTTAGTTGGGCACCAAAACTAAGCCCAGTTCACAGAAGGAAACCACACATGTAAATCAAATAAAAATTAGAAAAAGGGATCAACTTCCTTGATCGGGGCGAGTTCTTTGGGTTAGAGGTCACTAGATACGCAAGTGCATACTTTCCTGACACAAGCTTTTGTTATTACTTTTTTCTGCCGTTGGATAAGTCTCCTTATTTGGTGATGCCTTATTGGGTATAGAGGGCAGTACCTCTTATTTTTTTCCACCCGCGTAGATTTAAATGACTTGCAGATTGCAATTGTGCATAACCAACAGATGTAACCGAAGTGTACGGTCTGTTTGAGATTGATAATGGTAGACAAAGAAAGAACTGGATTCCAGCATGAGCAGTTTCATTGGGCGCATTGATGTAATAAAAGAGGCGGAGTATGTTCAGCTATGCCATTCAACCCTCCTTGTAACAACCGTGCCAGTGCACTGCAGACGCGTAAATGTTTTAGCCGTCAAAGGGCTCTCACTTTTCATGCTTTAAAGTATGGGCGGCCAACGAGACAAGGCAATACTTCCACGACGTAGTCTCTGTTACCGCGAAGATATGAAACCTTTTTCCAAGTTTGCAGAAGTGGCCGACAAATCTGAAACTACAAGTTGAAACCCTTTCGTTTGAACGAAAATTGGGATTGAGAGAAGGCATTAAGCGTCAATCTGCTTATTTTTTAAGGTTTGTTTTTAACTGATTGTGATAATTTGATTTCAGGGCAATAATGGTAATATGAGAACAGAAAACAACTGAACACTTTGAGCGCATGTGGCCAATCGCTGGGTCAGGTCTTACAAACATAGAAAGGGTGAATTAGGTTTTCCGAAATGGCATAAATATCGAGTTGGTACCATTTATCTGTTGACCTCCAGATAAAAATCAAACTTACCTGGCACTATTTGGCCACCGCACATGAAGTATTTAAGGTACCATTTTAATAATTCATTATTATTATTTTTTTCCTCCATCTTTACAGGCGACTGTAACCCCAGCACCCAACTTTGACAAGGAACATGATGTTCAAGCTTTGCGAAAAGCCATGAAGGGCTTGGGTAAGTGTATGACACCCCCCGGAGCAAGTTCGGATTAGAGCGCATTGACCAACAGAAAGCAGTTTCCCCCAAAACGGCTTCCGCTCGTGCTTTTAGTGTCAAGAGTTGAGTCATGGGGCCTGATATCATTCGGCTCCATGCAGTTCCGTTTTCTGCTACACGGAAACTTCGACGGGTGATTTGATGCCTGTCCTTTTTATTTGGGTTATACAACATATGGACGTTGTTGAATGAAGTCGTGTGTCTATAGAACTCTGCACGCAAAATCGACAGGGTACTTTGGGCCATTGTCCCATTTACAAGAAAATTACTAAGTCGCAATTTTATTTTCCTTTCCAATCTTAATTTTAACTCCTTGTGTCATCAGCATTAAGACTGTTTCTTTTGATTCGTCTTCATTTTCAGGATGCTTAGATTTCCTCTGACTATAGTTGAGGTATGAGTTACGAATAAAATAAGAAAAACTTTGAAGCACTTGGTGGCGGCAAACATACCTGTCCTTTTGCACTGGTTCTGTGCTTGCGCGCGTTGTTCTATTAGCAAACGTGCATACCTTGAGCACGCACAATACAGTAAAAGAGGATCGGTATGTATGCTGCCACCAGCGTCACCAAGTGTTCCATTACCTCTCATGCTCACCATGCGCACGCAGGTGAAGTGCTCACACCAGTATTTGGGCATTGTTAGACAAAGCGGCTTCGTTCTGGCCATGGCCGTGTGCACCTTCATAGAGTACAGACGATATAAACTTGGAGGTATTTATGCCATACTGTCAAAGGATCAATGCAGTGGAGTCTTTCTTAGAATCACTTTTGGCGCATGTTTAAACTCTTCTTTAGTGTACAAAAACTGTTAAAATCTTTTTGAAGTTAAGACAATTACAAAGTGAGTTTTTTTTTAAACATTCAACATCGACCAAGCCTTTCCAGATAGGTGAGGGCGTTGTCAGTGTAATGGAGCTCCATGAAGGCAGTGTTCAGTTTGCATGTTTTCATGTTCAGATTTTGAACCTCTTTGGAAACATTTCTGAAAAGAGGTTACTCGTTGGCTTATTGCCGTATATGCTAAAATAAGGCGCCAAGGGAAATGGGAATCTTCAACAACGAAATATAAAAAAATCTAGCTGTCGTGCTATATCAATTCAATGCAACGCTGAGGCTCAGTGACTAGATGACATCACAGTTTGCTCATGTAAATGCAAATTCGCATTTGCGTGAAAACAAAAAGACCCCCAAAATACATATAAAATTAGCAAAATAATATTTGAAAATAAGCATAGGTTAAAATACGGATGTTTTCTACTACATGGTCCCTTTCAATAATCGATCCTTCAATTTCAATTTACATTGATTCAATACATAAATTCAATTTACATGAAACTGTAAACTTGGAATGTTTACATGTAGATGACATCAATGCAACATGAAAAACTGAACGTGAGTTTGAAAACGAAAGCAAAGGTGAGTATGTAATGTTATAAAGAATCACTGTCGGTGGGAAGTCAAGTCATTTTATTCCAATGCAGGCACGGACGAACAGGCTATTATCGATATCCTAACCAGACGGAGCAATGCACAGAGACAGGAGCTGATCGTTCAGTTCAAGAGCGCCTATGGCAGGGTATGCTCTAGCTATATCTGAAAGTCAGGACACCAGACAAACGAGGCTAAATTTACTTTAATAGGGAGTCTGGGCAATAAGCTTTTTGCGAGTTAAATTGAATCAAATCTGGCACACTGTGTTCTTTAAATTCACGTAAACATAAAAAAATCATTAACATAAAATGGGCAGGAGTCTTCCCATTTCAATTATACCCGCCACTGGTCCCTACGTTCGGAGGTGAGACGTCTGGAGACTACATACGGGACGGGAACCAGTCTGTGTCTTTAGTCTGGGGAATTCAAATTGTCATGTTATGTGCAATCAGATAACTCAGTGTACCAGATTTTATGAGGGGACTAAATATGCGCTTAGCTGGTCTTAAACGTGGGTTTAAGACCTGCTCAGTAGAATGGACGCGACTAATGAAAGATCATCTGGATCCGCAAGCGAGGGCATTATCAGTGTTCATTCTCGTGAGCAAGGTCTTAAACGTTACCGACCAAGCACATATTTATTCCCATTCATAACTACAATTTCAGACGGAGAGTCAAAGAAAATCAATGTATGATAAATTTCCAATGATTTTTTCAAGAATTTCACTTCATTTCCCCAAACACCCCCGTCCACTTTATGGTATATTCCTTATGCAAGTTGTCCAAAAAATCTCCTTATAGGAACTTTGCGTGCGCTGGGCAAGCTGCGGGCACACAGACTCTTGACCAATCAGAATCGATTAAACTGTCTCGCATCCACGTGCCAGCGCATGATTTGCGCAACGGGCATCATTACTTCCCAGTGAGCATTATCAAATGTTAATTTAATACACGTTCAAGTTGCATGTTGTTGAATAGGGAGACTGTCTGAGGTATTTGTGAATCAAATTTAACCCGTAATAGGCTTTTATATAGACGAATATTTGGCCGACAAGTGTTGTTACAAATTGGATTCTGAAGAGTTCCGGATAATTTATAGTTCGTAAATTCTGTCAAAAGAGAATAAGCCAAGTTCTCATTTTAATTTCAGGTGGTCGAAGTACAGGTGCAGTGTCTTATAACATTGAAAGCGTTCCAATTTTTTTCTACATGTAGTATCCATTAATATTGTAAAACATTCACAGAAACCAAACGCGTCCAACATTTATCCTTCAAACCTATAGCAGTCGGTTGCAGGCTTTTACCGCAGGTGGGGAAGAGATTTTTGCAGTCGTAACGTAAAGATGAATTGTACAATGTCAATCTCCACCAGTGTTGTATTCGAGTCCATCACAAGTCCCTGTAAGCCGATCACAAGTCATTCTCTCCTAAGTCAATTTAATGTGTTTGTCGAATGAACTCGACAAACACATTATCTTGTCATTGTTCACCCTGTTGCTAATGATTTGCCTTGTGAAAGGACTTGTGACTGCACTCGTGAAAGGACCTGTGGTGAACTGGCATACAACACTGATCTCCACTTTCGAATGGCTCTTTCCTCTGGGTTGAAAACTAGGATCTTGTGAAGGACCTGAAGAGTGAACTCGGGGGCAACTTCGAGGACGCCATTCTTGCCCTGATGGATCGCCCAGACGTGTACGACGCCAGATGCCTCAAGAAAGCCGTGAAGGTGTGTATTTTGTTGTGAGAGTCGGGATGATCTTTGACTGCAAATCATAAAAGAACAGTTGTGGATCAAAAGAAGGACCGTCCCAGAAAAGCCGAAAAAAATATTGTGGCTCACCTCACTTCGCCCCTTTTTGCAAATGCTTGATCCATCACGGTGAAAAAAACTTTTGAAGTTAAAAAAAGGCCAGGCAGACTTAACGTCTTGTCTACTGGTACACTTTACCTCACGTGCTGCATATTCACGAGTTTTTCGTTACATTGATGTCTTGCGGAAAGTTTGATGCATGTTTTCTGAAAGGTTGCTTTGGATTTCTCAGGAAGTGTCACACTTTTGGAACAAGCATGACAGAGATCGCACAACAAATGGAGCGCGATTAACAAATGAAGATGTTCCCCATATTACATGCAAGATTAATCACCATTTTCACTACTCACAATTAACCACTATCCGCCTCAAGCAGAAGCACCCCCTCATCGGTTGAAAAGAGCCGGTGTCGGGGTGTTCCTTTTTGTTGGTAGCGATGCGACAGTAACACGGGCATTTCATAAACCTTTCGTGAACCATTGTGGTTCAGTTCCGTACCTGTGGAGCCTCCGTTGCTGAGAAGATTGCGTCCTCTCTTGGTCCAGCACGAGGCTCGCATTCATTTTTAACTACGGTCTTTGGTGTGTTTTTCAGGGTCTTGGGACTGATGAGGACGTGCTGATTGAGATAATGTGCGCCAGGAACAATGCGGTAAGCAGTCACACATTGGCGAGGAAACCAGTGCCTTATTAAATTTGTGTTTGAAATTGGGGAAAGGGGTGGGGAAAGGTGGGGGAATTACAGAAAAATCTGAAAGGGGGAGGGTTACAAACATAACTCTCTATGTAGAGGTCAATGTTCATGATATTAATGTACATGCATATCCAGAATATGTATTCAAAATGGCATATCCATAGCTTTTAAAATTGTTTGAGCGATACTGAATGCATTCTAGTCGTTGGAAATCTGAAAAATTCTTCACAATTCACCTTAATTTTTTTTCTGCCACAACATAATATCATGGAGTTACTGGTAATTTCTTAAGCATGCAAAGCCTCGGAACAATTTTAGGCTATTCGAAGACTGACAATGAAGTTCAGTGGTATACACATAAGTGTCTTTGGCGGTTTCATGTGAACATTTTCTTGAACGATTCAAATTGCCGTAACCCTTCAAACGGTCTTCTTTCTCTTACGTTATCGTATTTGCAGGAAATTAACGCCATTAAAGCGGCTTACAAATCTGGTGAGTACTTCTCCAGCGGCTAAAGCGGTGGATTAAACCCAGATAGTTAGTGCTGCATGCTGCAAGTCAGCTGACCTACTTAATACCTGCGAAATGCTAGAGTCCAACCTCTGTTTACGTAAGAAAAGGAGAGGTCTGGAAGACTTACTGTAGCTCGTTAGCTTGCCCTAAACAACTTGAACTCTACCAGACCAAAAATATTCTTGCTTCATGATGGGTTTCCTGATCTATGCTTGTGGGTCCAATAGTATCATGTCCGTAAGCGAGACACATACCCATGAAAATCTCAGTTCAGATCGGTGGCTGTGATGGTAACATGCGTGCTTACAGTAGGGGCAAATCGGGCTGTACCAAAGCCATATACCAACAAGAATATAACATTAAGGCCTTTCCTTAATCCTTTACGGAATATATAACGTCTTTCACATCACCTCTCTGCCATTTCTCGACGGAACAGAATTTAAATCGGATCTGGAGAAAGCTCTGGCAGGTGATACAAGCGGAGACTTCAAACGCGTTCTGATAGGCCTCTGCACAGTAAGAAAATGATATCTCCATATTTAAACAAAGAAGTTGACCCCCTCCAAAAAACCACAAAAGAAAACTGTGGTACAATTAAGACATTGTAATAGATCGGAAAGACCACAACGTGTCTTTTGGAGTAAGATTCGTTTGTTTCGTTGTAAGTTTGTAACTATCTTGATTTTTTTATGAAAAGGAAATAGAAACATTCAAATACTGCTGATTAAAATTATGACCAAAGCATTTGCGAATGATTATCCAAGACCGGGAAAATGTATATGTACTCACGGCTTAGTGAGTGACAAGCCCACGGCAAGCCCAAAATAATTTGAATGTGGAAGTTGGTATAAGATAAGGGGCTTTTAATAGTGGTTGGTTTGGTGTTCCCAACAGGCCAATCGGGACGAGTCGTCGGCGATTGACGCTGGGAAGGTGCACGATGACGCGGCGGCTCTCTGGGCGGTAAGAATAACATTACTTTTGAGACCCAAACCCTAACCACACCGGGTTTTCTTGAGTGCCCATTAATTAATTAAAATTATGGCAGACCTTCACTTTTTCGTTCAGAAACACTGACATACCGTTTTGTACAGGTTTTCACATTATGAAGAAAGGTCATCCTTACTTGGCACCAGCTATTTTATTCAACGTGTACATTATTTCCGTCCCGTTTAAGCTAAACCGGTAGTTATTTTAATATATGAATTGCTGTTTACCAGTATTTTAAAGAGTTGCTTAAGCACAAAATTTGTTTAAGCTTGAAAAAATCTAGGTTGATAAATCAGGTTACCAGCCAAAACTCCATGTGATGTATATTGCTTAGGAATGGTATATAGCTGTCGTTTGGTTAGCAGGAAAATCACGTAGATTTTGAGCTGGTTACCTTTGTTGTGCAAGGTTGTTTTCACGCTTAAGCAAATTCTGCGCTTAAGCAGCTCTGTGAAATTAGCCCCGAGTGCTTAATAGCTCTTTAATATTTTAACGTGTTGAAAATGGCCATTCTGGTTAGTACCGGTGGGGAGGCATAGTTTTGCCAGACACTGTTAGGTAAAAAATGCACCAAAACTGGAAATGGGTCTGTGTACAACAAAACTGATGTAAGAAACATATAACTATGTAAGTAACTGTAGATTATGTTGGCTTATACGCTTACCAGATACTGACACTGTGTAGATAATAAGCAGAGTACCATGTTATCGAACAGAACAACATTGGTGTTGAAAAGCAAAATAATACAGGCTAAAATACCTAGAGCAACGTTGACCAACAAGACAGCGAAGGCATGCAGTGGCCCCACAAATGATCTGCAGCACAGTCCTAGCTCGTCGGAGTGTCGGTCAGTGTTGGTCATTTTATAATGGACAAATTACTCGGCTTTATGTCTATGGTTGTGTAGGCAGCCACCTCATGTAGAATTGTAGAATCTCAAGCCGCAGCCAAGTTAGTCTGACACGGCCAACCCCATTGCTTTCGCTGCAACAGGCAGCCAAAGGTCTTGGCACTGATGAGGCTGAGTTCCAGCGCGTCATCGTGTCTCGAAGCAAGGAACACCTCTTGGCCGTCTTCCAAGAATATGAAAAGGTACAAAAAAATGTCTTGTCACCAAGGAGAAAATCCTACCTAAAATTTAATGTTTAGCACAACACAGATTTGTCCAATGCCTTTGAACATTTCAAGGAATCTTCAGGAATCCTTGATCATCACCAATTACATAGAAAGCCTACAGAAAGACCATCGAGGTCGAAATTAAGTAACAGTGACAAGATTATACCTATTTACAGTAAATCGTGCAAAACCTGCAAAACGTTATGCATTTAAAAAAATGGATCTTTCTAAAATTTATAAACTCAAGCGTACACTTCCTAAGACGTGCCATACGGTTTGGACCATCTAATGGTCCAAACCGTGATGCATTAGAGAGCTACATATTAACTTTTACCAATGCCTTCATTTGAGACTTTCTGCGCCAAAGTGCCGTAGCAAGGTCGTATATGAGTGAATTCCTTAAACATTTACATTAGACGACAGCCTCAATACTACTTAACTTGTTTCCTGAGGTGACCTCACGATTATGCTCGTGAAATGAAAATTTATATCCACATGAATACCAGAAAGTCCAGAACACATCGTCAGAAAAAGCAACAGACATACTTGGACTCCCCTGGAGACACACACACACACTGTATTTTAGGATTTCAATAAGATCCATTACATTGGCCCTTAGTATAACTCTTCTCTCACCGTTTTTTTAGCTGGCTGGTAAATCCATTGAGTCCACCATCAAGAGCGAAATGTCTGGAAACCTTGAGCGTGCATACCTCACCATCGGTAAGATTTGGGCTCTCTATTTTGGCAAATCGCAGTTGACAGTGTTGGGGCAGGTTCGATCAAGGACTACGAGTTAACTGGTGGCTTGCGCATGTGCAGTGAATTTGAAGTGCAAACTACCCTATTCAACCGTTGTTAGGCCGAAGGGGAGAAAAGGTGGCCGCAGAAAACGGTATAATAGCAAATTTACGTTGAAAGTTGTCGTTTACTAGTGGCACACACTTTTTCCGGCATTTTTCTTATAACTGGTCCTCTCCACACTGTGCTATTAAAATGGTTTATGGCAACCAACGACGCGGTCGACTAAAGTAGTCCAACTACCGTCAACGAAACGTGAATTCGATGAGAGCTAGTTGAACTATGGTATTTGGTCAAACCTCCATGGATTTAATTTCATTTGGCAGCTTACTACGAGCCACTTGCATAGATTTTTGTTTTTACGCCAAGCTTGTATGTTTCAGAGGATATGTTTTAGAAATTCCTGTCGGGTATTTTACAGTTTACTGGGTAGTAATTCGACTTCACATGTAGTTTGTTCTAGTTTCTTCAGAGGCTTCTGATCCAAACTGATTGTAAAAATTGGTCCAACATTTCCTTTTCCAGTTGCCTTTTTCCGAAGTCCTATTCAGTTTTTTGCGGACCAGCTGTACAAGGCTATGAAAGGAGCGGGAACAGACGAGAAACACCTGATTCGCATCATTGTATCCCGTTGCGAGGTGAGTCAAATGGTGCTCTTTCCGGCCATCGGAAGACTGATAAATATGATGTTCAAACTTATTAAACAGGGATGTTTCTATTTCGGAATTGGATGTAAGATTTGGGTTCCTAACTGATCAGCATGTTTTTGTCAGGCCTTTTTGGGAAGAACTGGGTCATTGTGCTGTAGTCGAGACCAGACACAAGACCAGGCAAAAGACCAGACACAGGACCAGACACAAGACCAGGCAAAAGACCAGACACAGGACCAGACACAAGACCATCACAAGACCAGACACAAGACCAAACACAAGACTAGTCACAAGTAATAGGGTGAACAATGACAAAGGAATGCTTTGTTGCAGTTTATTTGAGTAGTTTGTGGCTTAAATTGAGACTGGAGGTCTTGTTTTGGTCTTGTGTGATCTTGTGAAGGTCTTAAGTGGTTTCGACTACAACGCTGTTCTGGGTTGCTGTTAAAGCCCATCGCAGTTGATCGAAAGTGATTGTATTTATTCCAATCCACCAGAATTCTATGGAGAATAGTTTAATAAAAACTAAGATAAGTTATAATAGCAAGTTCACATTTTTGACTCAAACTTTTATTCCTCGTTTCAAACACCTTTTCAAGTGACCCAAAATATGAAGGACGATCCTTTCCTTAATTTTGTTCCTCCAGTGAAACTTAGGCCATAGATTTCATTCTCAATGAGAGTAACTATTGTTCCTTGTTCCCCCTGTGCAGGTTGACTTGGCGCACATCAAAGTGGCCTACGCCGCCTCCCATGGCAAGCCCCTGGCGGACGCCATCAGGGGGGAGACCAGCGGCGACTTCCGGAAAGTCCTCCTCGCACTCGTCGGGCCGTAGAAGGCGTTGTGTTTTCATGGCGGCCAGAGCTGTGCATAAAGAGAGTATTCAGATTCAAATTTTGGAAACAGCATGGCTGTTCACGATGTGAAATAGAGTATGTGGCTACTATATACTAACTGTCCTAGTGCACTGGCGGACACATTTGTTTCTAACAATCATGACACTCATGTCGCAACTCTCTCTATGTACGGCTCTGTTGGGGGCGCTGTCAACCCTTCAAATAGTTGGCGACGAGCACAGTAAGCAATATGGGGATGCCTGGGAAACTTCTTTTAAAGTTAGTTCTTAGCGGGATTTACGTGGGAATTATACATTGCAAAATATAGTTTTATGTACCCAGAATCAAGTCAGTTTGATTTGAAAGTACGTGTACACTGTTAATGGATTTAAAAGCCGTGAGTGCCTTTTTTGAAATTCACTCAGAAACAAGGAATACTTTTATGTACTACATTTAAAATATTTTTCATGTACGCAGAGACAGGTATCATAGTTAAGAACATAATTGGCGTAACGGTTTATAAATGTCAACACCTTAGGCCTGTAGGCCTAAACGTTTTCTTGTGGAAAGGGGTTAAGTCTGTTGATTAGTTTATCCTATACACGAGACAACGTTTGTTTCAAACCTACTTGTTTATGTGTTTTGAGGTCCTTTTCAGAATGCAAACTGTCTTCAAATACCGTGGGCTGAAAAGAAAAGACTTTAAAATTGTTCAAAGTGCTGTTTGGTAAGAGACTAAAGAATGGCTGCTGAATCTGCCACAAATCCACGTTAATTCAGTGCTCGAGATTCAGATGATTTCTTTTCAAGTTCAGTCAAATTCAGTGTACTTAGTACTTACTGCAAAATTCCTTTATGTCGGTGATTCTCAGTACGACAACGCAACATGGCACAGAAGACTTGACAGCAAAAGACTAGCCCACCAGCGTAGCACAGATGGACCAAAAAGATTAAGAGAAAGATATCACGATTCGATTCTTGTGTATTAAAGACACCCTACACTGCTTGTTGGCGAATTTACGCACATATCTACACCACCTGTGACTCGGCTTAAAAACGGTCCGAAACATATTTGACAGCATATACTCTTTTTATACATCTACGGGCAAAAAGGTAGTCTGTAGTGCATATATTAGGCGACAATATCAAACGCTGGGTAAAAAGTGGTAGTACAGGTAACATTTTCTACACTCGCTGGGTGATATGAAACAAGTTTGCTCATATTTTAGGAGAGAATCAACGCGGTTGGGTAATTTGCCGAACAGTTCGGCGAATCACCTGATCCAACGTTGGGCAAAACTTTTTCAGAGTAGTTACCACGTAATCATTTATATATTTTAAATAAAAGAACACTAATGATTACCCATTAAAATAGCTTAGGCGGAATCCTTATAATAAAGCGGAGACGCCAAAACAATTACAGAATTCTTGGAGTTATGTTGTTGCATCAAATGCCCAATTTTGCCTGTACAGCGCCCTCACTCGGCTATAATCAATAAGTTTGGCCGAAACAGCCACACTTGTTTATGGAAGAGTTTTTAAGAAAGCGTCCGATAGAAACTGTACATTTGCAGACAGCGTCAGTGTTAATTGCTGTTCTGCAATCACGCATGCATGTAACGGGAAGCAATCAACGAGAGACTTTGAGACGTTAGGTGGCGGTAGACAAACCAGTCCTACTGCAGGCTATTCCATAGACTGGTTCCTGTCCCGGACGTAGTTTCCAGACGTTTTACAGACGGCCTCCGAACGTAGGGACCAGAAGCGGGTAATGAATCCGTCAGAATTGTGCCGGGTGCTTGTAAATGAGGAAACGTTGCCCGCTCGATACACAAATCGAACAGGAGCTAATAGCATATTTTATTCTTTTTCGTCAGAGAAAATATCTTCATAAATTGTTCAGTTATGTAGAATTTAACACAATAACCACTTATTTGAGATAAATTGCCGCAAAATGATTCAACCCTACCTCCTTAGGGTGTGTGCAAAATCATATTAAAATTGGAGGATTCAGGAATGTTAGGGTTAATGATGATAATCATTGAAAAATAAATTAGCACAATATGATCAACATAGGCTCAGCAAGGCGAGGTATTTTTCGCTTTCTTGCAGCGCTGAATGTGTTTCATACTCAAGCATTGCTATATTGGCCTGACAAAAACTTAAATATTCAGCATCCAAATTGACAGGGTAAACTTGACTCGAGTCGGGATCTCCGTGACGTCTTTGTTTTTGCTTTGGATACATATTGAGACCGCGCGCCGTTACGTGCTTCGCACCCTCTTGTGTCCACTTATCAGCTCAGTTCCCGACTTGACGAATCTGCCAGCAGCTTGTAGACAGCGCATGAGCTCACCTACCAAAAGTAGTTGCAGCCAGCCCCACTCACATAGCCGGACTTGTTTTTACGTCGTTCATACCTGTGTTATAATGAACGAATCTACAAGTCTGACTTGTTTGATTGGTCATACATTATGCAAGATCATGTCGTTCATATGCAATTATGAATAACTACATTATTACCAATTACCGGGGGGGGGGGCGCTCCGATTGGCTTATTCGTCAAAACGGACTTAATGATTCGTGACGTATGATACACGTTGTACAATAAACGCTATCAAATGAGGGCGCCTTTTAAGGGTTATGCGAGCTGCTGGGCCCAGCGTGACGACGGTGTAGTGTGTAAATGTTGATGCAATGGCTGACTGGGGAAGAGCAACGTAAGTACGACTTGATTCAAGTCTAATTGACAGGGCCAGTCGCACACTTTAAACGGCAGCCAGCAACCAGTCCCTATGTAACATGGGCGGGGACCAGTCCAGCTTTTCCACAATTGTGCGCGTACAATCCTCGCATGCCTGGTATTGCGCACGTATGCCCTGAGTACGTAAAATGGACCACTATGTCTACCGCCAAGAAGCATCTTTTTCAGATTTTGGCAGGTACATTTACGGTACATGATGAGACGGCAATAGCTATCACGTGACTGCATGTCAAGTAGTGCTTACACCAACTTCATGCACTTGTTTTAGTAATTGAGTTGTGGACAAACTAATAAAGGTATAAATATGCCTGTCGGGACTTTTTTCGGTTTGGAACACCACCGAAAAGCGCATACGTTTTGACCATTACGCAGGAATAAATTGAGGTCTTACATAAATTTCCAATAAAAATAACACAGCCAAGTTGTCCAAATAGGACTGCAAACGTTTTTTCTTTTCCTAAAAGTGGCCTGGGGCACCGTAACATACATAAGTTGGTAGAGACATCACTTTGGAGAGAGACTTCATAGATGGAAGTTGTCATCGGTGGCACAGGTCCTGAGCCCAAGAGTTCTAATTAGACCAATTATAGCTAAGCATCCATTCTGGTAAGTTGAAATCTGCTCCTGTACAGCGTGGAAGTCGATTGGGTCGTAGAACTACATGTGTATGTTGAGGGGTCTACAGTCATTTGCAAGTTTAAGACCACTTGGAATTTTATTGGTATTTCTGTCACCGGGCCTGGATTACATTGTCTCATTGAATGATTACTTAACATGTTTTACAGTTATGCACGACATCAGTGTATTGCTTTATACCCAGTTGAATGAATTTTTTTTGCAAAGGCAGACGTTGTTTGACTTTTAATCTATAAGCAGCATGGGTTAAGAAAAGCCAATCTATGTCATCAGATATAAAGGAAGGCACACTAAAAATTAGACTGTTAACATTACAAATCATGGAAAATAGTCAAATAGTTGTTTAACTTACGTACTAAGGTTACACATTGAGAATAAACGCATGCTACCATGATTGATTGGTTTGTGTTTGGTTTTTCTTCTTTGTGTGGGTGTTTCTGAACCTTTGCAAATGGCTGTACATGCACACACGTACATGATTGTACATGTTCTTTTAATTAATCACTTGATATTTGGACGGACAAGGGCCTATCAATGAATTGGGGCGTGGCACAGCTTGGCAGTGAGGTCAAATTAACATAAGCGACTAGTCGGTCCGACGGCCAGTGCTTCCACTTTAAAGAGAAAATCCTTAATTTGGGGCAATGTTTGCGTTCGAAGGAATTTTTAAGGACATGAAAAAACTAAAGACATGTTGAGGAGGAAATCCCTCAAATATACGGAAGCTGTGACGAAACTGGGGTAGATATGGATGGCAGTATAATTCATAAAATGTTAACGCATGCGTGGACCAATCAGCGGTGTGTAGAGTATAAGGTCTGGGTGCTTGCGGCGTGCTTAGGGCGCGCATTGTTAGTTCACGGGAAGGTCGTGTTGTGGCAGCATTGCAGAGAACGCTTTGTACTCTCTCGTGCTGTGACTGCGTGAGGTAGCGTGGATCGACGCTGCACTGGAAGCGCTGCGTGTGGACGCACTGCAACTGGTAGGTGTAGTAGTATTAGTGAGCTGCATTGGGTCTAGATTCCGTAGTGCATGAACCCGGGCTGTGAGCTAGTGGTCTTTGTTGCTGGGTTGCTTGTCATTTGTAAGCACTGTAAGTGGAGTGATGGCTGGAAGGCAGTCCTGTTATTATTGTGCTAGCTGCCTTTGAGGTTTACTAGATGTGCTCAGATCGATGTGAGGGTAATTACCCTTTCGTTAAATCGACCCTGACTTGCATGACACTCTGTATTATTTGCGTGAGGGCTATCACTGTTTGTTGGTAGTGAAGTATCCCTTGTGTAGATTGACTGTGCTGAAGCTAGTCTGGTGGTTTGGTTTACCACGTGAGGCGTGTATTGCCTGTTCAGGAGTATTGTGTAAACAAACCTTGTGATATAAACCTCGTTGATTTATTATTGGCTGAGGGTGATTTAGGTTTCCCTTCATTCAATTGCTCTATTGCCAGATAGATCTTAAATTTCCACAAAAACGAACTGTTCCCAGGTTTAGTCCGCCGTTCGTCAGCTGATATCCGCCGTGTGTCAGGATAGCCGCTCATCTTTGCTCACTTGGTAAATAAATGTATTTGTGGGGTTAGACCAGGTCAATTTTATATCCGATCAGGCCGGTTTAATGGGTCCACCACAAGAGGCTTCAGTTGTCCCGCCACAAAGCTATGCGGAAATGTTAAGATTTGATTCAAATTCAGGTCATGCTTCTACACACGTGCTGAATGTAGCTCTGTGTGCGATTCGTTGAATGTCGACCGACTAAGAATGCACTTCCGACACGGCCTTGGGCTTTGTGAACTTTACTGAATTAAGGACGACTTTGACCAAAGGTCCAGTGCCTTAGCTGTGTCAAAGGACGACACAAATCAAAAGAGCTTGAAATTAAGCTTTAGGCCACGGAGCTTACAAGGCCAGGTAAAATTGCGCAATTCGAAGTCTGCAGAAAAACAAAAGTTGCTCTTGATAAGGTTAAGTTGGCCTAGATCGACAAATTCGATCCCGATTCAGCGATTGTGTCGGTGGAGGAGGCTGAAGATTTGATAGCTGATAGATGAAAGGAAAATTCGTGTCGCAGACGGAGGTAACTGCTGGTTTGGCCCTTGGGCGTAATTCCCAGTGGAAGGGGGTATATAGCCCCTCACTGTTTGAGTCGGTGCATGGGCTATTGAATCATCTTATCCAACTCTTTTTTGAGGTGAGCAAAAAATTAGAGCGGATTGTGAAGAATTTGACAGACTCCCGAACGACTAAAAAGCATTCAATATCACTCAAGAGGAAATGTAATTTTAAAAAGCCAGAAATATGCTATTGTTATGTAGGATTCTGCGAGAATGTAATACATATCACAGATGTACATCAAATATCATGAACATCAACCTCTATAGAGCCATATGTGTCATCCACCATTCCGCTTTTCAAAATGGCTAGGCAATTCATCCCCCAACCCCAATTTCTGACACAGAATTGGTGGGATCACACTTTCGCAGTTGGGCAAAAAAGACTCAGGACATCTATCAGCAGAGCAACTAAAGAACCTAAAGATTGCCGAGGAAGAGTCTTTGAAAGAACAAGAGAACCGAAAGCGAAAAAGACGAGATGAGTCATCCAGCCCTACAACTCGGGATCTTACTGATCATCGTCTCTTGCGAGGTACTCAAAACATAACTTGGTTCTGTTTTTTCTTGTCATTTGGTTTTTCGTGTTTTTTCCCAGGCTGCGTCATTGTGCAGAAAGGCCTACATTTTTACTCTCTGAATAAATCCATTCGTGAGTGCGTTTTTGTTTCTCACTTTGTGTTTATTAATGGGGTCGGTGTATAAAACCAAAACGTTTCTGTGCGTTGCGTGGAATTTTGTGAAAGCAGTGTTGACGACAAAAAGCATGGTCAGTCGCTTGTTGAACATGGATGTATTGTGGTACATTATAATTTATAAACAACCTTGTTTTGCTTTTGCTGTATGTTGTTGTTGCAGTATTTTAGTGCCTAGTTTAGACTGGTGACCTGACCGTGAAAGTGACGGCGGGAACACGCAGTTCTCATAGTTAGTGGAATGCGTGTAACTTTATTAAAATAAGTTGTCCGCATCGAATGTTTACGAAAGCCCAATCGTGCCACTGACGTAAAAATTTCAGTGGGGATGTAAGTCGTTTTTTCGTATTGCTAGTTCTTTTTCAAATTACTAATTCGTTGTTTTGAATTCCTTATTCGCTACTGTGAATTACTAATGGGTTAATTTGGAAACTAATTCGTCATTATAAAAACTCCATACGACAGACTTGTGTCACAAACTAATTCGTTATTCTAAAAATACCTTTCGACAGACTTTTGCCATAAACAGGCAAGCTCACGTGATCGATATGCTTAGTGTTGCCAAATTAAACGCTACCGCATGTCCTCAAATTCCTCGATCATTCGTTATTTGAATTACTTATTCGTTATATGAATAACGAAGTCCTATTACAGATAAGCAATAACTTTCTATGTGCATATTCATGATTCCACAGGCAGCTAACGCACTGTGGAGACATGATGTTTTGGTAGGTCTAATGGGTTGGCGAGATAGAGCATACGTGCAGTCGTGGCATACGGCGTTCGCGCTGCGCCTGTTCCTATGGCCCCATACGACCTAACCTTTCGTAAAGGCCTTGGTGGCTGTTCGTGTGTAACTGCAAAGTGAGTGGGCAGGAGACCAAGCGAGTGGCGCAGCCACGAGGCCTTTTCCAACTTGAATTTGAGGTTTTTGCAGTGAATTATTCATATGCTTTTTAATATGCATTATTCATAAATTTCATGTAAACAGTTGAAGCATAGTGTCTCCGAAATAAACGGCATAAACTCCGACGCTTACACAATGTTCCATCTGTTTTTTATGAGGGCAATAAGAGATGACAACTACATGTATGATGCTTGTTGGTGGGGGATGGTGCTGACGTTGAAGTAACACCAGCAAGTAGCAGTTCATCAAGGCCGAATGGTCAAAGCAAAACGGCAGTACTTGAACTATGGAGCTCAGTCTTAGTCTAGTCTCACCATATCCCGTGGGCATGGACGAAATACTTCAATAGCCTAACGCTGCAACTGTTTAAACTTGGCAAGGTGAATTAAGGTTTTCAGCCGATCAGAAGAACTGCTCAAATACTGCTCAACACGCTGGCCATCTTTTGTATATTTTCAATTTGCACAATGGGTTAATGTATGCTGACCCCTCGCTTATGATTGGTTGGGATTTTTGCTACCCCATTGCAGCAAAAATGGAAATTACAAAGAAAAACATAAGAAATTCCTGACAAGTTGGAAAAGGCCCTCGTGCTGAGCTGCTTGTGTATGTAGCCTTCTCTCCAGTCACTTTGCGGTTACACACATACAACCACGAAGACCTTGACGAAAGGCTACAGCCGACCCTGCGCCCTTCCAACAACCAAAACAATTGTTTGGCTTCAGCCAATTTTACATTGGGGATGGAGAACATCTTCGAGTTTGCAATGAATACATGTAGCAGAACCATTGTCAGACATGGGGGTGAAAAACCAAGATGAATTTTAAAATATTTCAATACAGGCGATTCACAATACAATGCGCCACCAAGAGTTTGCTGCAGACAGGCCACTTTTCAAATTTACTGTCAACACGCTGCCGCGATTAAGCACATTCTGATGCATAGTTTGGGGATATTTCAATGTTGTCGTTTCCAACATCACACAAAACGACCATTTTGACTACCGTGCACAATAAGCAATTTCGAATTTTCAAACAACTTATAAACCAACAATCAGAACAATTGAAGGTTCGCGTGTACAGCGCAGTTAATGAATGAAATTTTGGGAACTATATAGCCCAAATTGCCCTACAAAGAAGCCTCCTCACGAAAATCTCTTGCTGGCCCACTGCATCGTTTTTGTTGTAAAACGTAGCAATTTTCGCTGTAAAACGGACTATTCGTGAAAACAATTCAACTAAATTTGTCATATCATTCAATTCAACCTTCCGTTGCACGGACTGGGTATTTAATGGAGCATGCGCGGCCTCCGTCTTTCATAGACACCCATGTGTAATCATCCCACCCCACCACAAAGACCCTTTTAATGGCATTTAAATTGATCACAAGGTGTCCCTGAGTGCCTAAAAAGGCCTCAAAAAATGCATTAAAAAAGGTAAGAGTACGGTACCCTTTTCCGAGTCAAAAGGGGGTGGGGTCACCCGGTCAATAAAAAGGAGGTTACAGTCAAAAATTCTTACAATTTTCTCAGAGCAACCTCCGAACAGAAAGTTTTCTCTATTTTGTGGAAGAGAATGTAATCCCGTGGATCTCAAGCAGGAAAGTCGGCCTTGGATTCCAAGGCTATGGGGGGGGGGTTCATGGCAGGTTGAACATTTCCAGATCAGACATCAAATTGATAAGTGGAAATCCTGAAAAACAAAATTTACTTATATGTACTATTAAGCAATCAATCAATTCAAAAGTGACCAAAACAGCTTAAATGACAGAATCACTTAATAAATTTTTTTAGAATCGGGATTTCCTTTAACAAGAACTGAAACACGGGGAAGAAATGCTGCCTGTAATGGCGCGCTATGCAGAACATTTGGTAAGACTAACGTGGATTCTCAAGCATGTCAGGAAGGACTCTCTTTCACATTTCATTGAGTTCTGACAATAAGCTTTAATACAAACAGAAACGCAATGGTGTTTTGAGACATTCCTGAGCCCCCCCCCTCGAAAAAAAGTCAAGTTGATGGGGTATGAAGTTCATCAACTTAAAAATATGGAGAATACCCCCTGTTTATTTTGCCAAAGCACTTACAGGGGGCCTGCATGACGGAAAGTAGTCCTTAATAATTCCAATTATGGGCCTACATTCTGTTACAGAGATTTAAAAGCACAGTTTTCGGGGCATGCAATCAAACGTAAAATCACTGTCATCCGTTTGTTAGACTACTCTTGTCTTGTTATCGTACATGTGAGTACGGAGGCCGGATTGTGCCACAGAACAAGGGCTGATTCAAGGGTTGTTCAGTTACCTCTTATCACCTGGCACTATTCGGTAAACGCACATGAAGCTAAGGTATAGTTTGTTATGTTTTCCTCCACGTTCATAGGCGACTGTAACCCCAGCATCCGACTTCAACAAGGATCTTGATGCCCAAGTCTTACTAAAAATCTTGCAGGACCCCCAGGGTAAGTCTGTGAGACCCTTGTGAGCAAGGTCAGAGTGGGGGTGCAGTGACAAAATAAGTGGGTTTTCCCCAAAACGCAGCTCCAAAATTTAGTTAGGTTATGCAACAAATGGGCATTGCTGAAGTCATGTGGCCGGCGGCCCAACGCGCAGAACCAACGGGTTTAGTTCTGCCCCCGCCCCGTTTGTACGACAATTAATAGCAGATATCTCGCATGCGTGCAACGCATGCGAAGTGCGCACACGCCATGACGCCTCAGGTGGTCCCATTATATAAACGTAATTGTCAGACAAAGTCTGTGGCCACCTTTCAAGAGTAAACGCAATATATAACTAGGTGAATTTACGTTGTACCTTCAACAATAGATAGAACAAAATTCTATCGACATGAAACTGCAGCCCGGAAGGTTTGTACGGAAGCCCGTCAGTGCCAACAAACGCAATAATATTGCAAAAATAACACAATATTATTGCGATATAATGCAATAACATGGCGAAATAACGCCATGATTCTGCGAAATGACTCTTCTTCTCCGGTATGCAAAGAGCAACATTAACAATCAATGACTTGTACGCCAAACGTCGTTTGAGGGTCCTTAAACTTACAATGATACCATTATTTGCTGCCCAAAACCACAATATGTGATCAGAACCAAGAGAGAAGTACACGCTCACGAGTTTGTGTAATGTCATGCTTAGCTTTCCTAAAATACTGTTTCACGGAAAATCACCTACACTGCTCCCTCTAATGTCCTTGTAAAACTATTGCGTTATTCAGCAAACCTATTGGGTTCTTTTGCAAAGTTAGTGCGTTATTTTGCAATACAATATTTTGGCAGAGCTAAAATTTGCACTAATGGGCTTCCGTAGGTTTGGATAATATCGACGTAAAACGAAAAGCTGCCTTGTGGCAAAAAGCCTCGGAAATCACGTGATTTGATTGTTCTACTAACTGCGACACATCACCTGATTGAACTTCCGTGATTTTTCCTAACATTTCCCCACCTACCTTTTGAGAGGGGGGGTCAATCATGGGATCGCCCTGGCAGTGACTGAAACGGGGGGGGGGGGTCATATCCATCCTCATATTATGTTTGTGCACAAAACACTACTACATTATGTTAATGCGCGCAATGCCTACTCCCCTCTAAAATACTCCTTCCCCTTTTGGAAAATGTATCAGGCAACTGTTTGGGATACTTGCCAATGTGTCTGGAAGCTTGTGGTTGGCGCAAGGACTGTAAACAGGTAGTGTGTTCACCTGCGGACCTGGATAAGCCCTTGTGATTGACAGGGCCGAGCCTGGGTCTGGAGAGGCTGACCACGTGGAATTATTTACACTGTCTAGCCCCAGCTGTTGTGCTATAAGGGCTTTGGATGAGTGGGTTATGGTGATTCAAACATGTTTAGTGGGAATTTCCCGTGTTTTTTAGTATTTCCGTATTGTTGAATTCAGCGCCACCCACTGCAGACCACGCCCCCAAAAGGAGAGTTTCCCCACAAAACACACTGAAAAATTTTCCCAAGGTGGCCTCCGATTTATTTTGAAAAAAACAGAAAATGACATTTAATCATGGGATCATTGACTACAATAAGATTTGAGCCTCTTTTGCCACAATGTGCCGTATTTGGCCAAAAATTGGACACGGTGCCTCGCCGGAGGTTAAAAACTGAAGCAGCGTTGAGTTACATGTTTGGTGTATGTCATATTAAGAAGAATCTGTGTCCGTCTGAAGTCAGGTCATTTGTTCCTCGCTCTACTAAGTGGAGCATTTTGTATGAAACAAAATTCGAAAAGGAGGAGTGCTATAGCGATCTACTCAATTCAGCTTATTTTTTCCATTGCAGGCACGAACACACAGGGTATCGTCAATGTCCTCGGGAAAAGAAGCAATGCACAGAGACAGAGGATAATCGTTCGATACAAGCGCGCATACAACAGGGTATGCTCCAGCAATAACGGAAAGTCGGTCGTGACACTAGACAAATGGAGCTTAATTTAACATAGCAAGACGTCTGGACATTTCGGCCTACAAGTGTTGTTATGTTCCAGAAAATGAATTTGGTAGTTCTTGAATCCCATCAGAGGAGAATAACCTTAATTCCTATTTTAATTTCAGATTTAATCGAAGCCGAAGGTGCGGTGTCTGATAACATTACAGACTTTCAAAATTTATCCATCTGGTATATTTATATTGTAATAACAATATATATCATACCAAACAAGTCAAATATGAGCAGTTGATTGGGTCTGTCTGGCACACTTTGACCTTTTCCTAAGAAATATGAAAAGGTCACGTATAATGTATGAATATGATTGAATTCAGGTTAAGGTAAAAATTCTTGCACAGTTTGACCTTATCTGAGGCAAAGATTGCACAACGCGTAGGAATGTCGGAGCTTGGGGTAACAAGTCTGGCAGAGTTTAATGTTTTCTAAAGGGAAAAGTTGCACAACGCATGGAAATATGAGATGATTATTTGATCTATTACAGAGTAAATGTTAATACATCGTTAAACATAATTATGAAGTACTGTTATTTTTGAAAGATATTGGTCAATATAAGAACACAACACAAATTCATTGGACTTCATCACAGGTTAAAGCATTTTTTTCTCTCTTTTTTCATCTTTGTTTTACTTTTATCATAATAACTGTAACAATTACAAGAGTGACTACCAAAGGTTTAAATTTTAAATCAGAGGCACTGCACAGAAGTACTAATGAATAGTTGGAACAATTTGTCTTTGATCAAATTTAATCTTAAATTTGTCAGCTGAAATTTAACATAATGTTTAGGCGTAGCCTTATTCAAGGATTTGTTTACTTCCATGCCTTTATCGGGTTTTTCTTTGAGATTGTCCACAATGTGTGGTGACTTTCATTGTCCTTCAGGTGTATGCAGTGACAGAAACTCCTTGTCGAAAAAGTATTGCTTGACTGCCCAGAGAGCTTTCTGTTTGCCTTTTGCCTGGCTTGATCTTCATCCTTACCCTCCTTGATGTACTTGTCATATTTTTCCACCCGATCTGACTATCCATCGCTACTTATAAATGAGGCCTGTGCAGCAAATGGCCTGCAAAAACTGTGATGCTAATATATTATCGTATGATGCAATACAGTGGCACACTTATAACTGAGGCTAGTCAGCCTCAAGAAAATTTTCAAGCAAAAGGCTCGAACAAGCCTCACTTATAGGTTTACCTATTGAATCATACGATAATATATTAGCATCACAGTTAGAACGTGGCTATTTTGCTGCACAGGCCTCACGTAGCGGTGGGTAGTCGGATCGGGTGTATTTTTCATTCCTTATTCCTTATTTGTTTCTTCATCCGAGGTTTCGTCATCTTCTACCTCCTTTACGGATTCCATGTCATTGTAAACTTCATTCAAGCCAGATTCCTCTTAAGTGTCGATATTCTCCCTGCATTCCATTGATTACGTTTCCATTCAAAGCTTTTGTCACAACCTAACCTCATTCATACTGAAAGGTTATACATGACCTTTTCATATTTCTTTAGAAAAAGTCAAAGTTTTCCAGACAGACCCTATCAACTACTAATAATATATGTATCCTTGGCAACTGGGTTCAGGCTTGACCACAGGTGTTATATCGCTATGTTGTTTTCCTTAGCAGCTGTAACCAGTTCTACAAGAACAATTATACAATTTCAATCGCAACTTCAAAATGACTCTTTCCCCTGGACTGAAAATTAGAATCTTGTAAAGGACCTAAAGACTAAACTTTCAGGCAACTTCAAGAAGACAATTCTTGCCCTGATGAATCTTCCAGCCTTGTACCAAGCCAAGTGCATCATAAGAGCCATGAAGGTGTGTATTTTTGTAAGGGTCGAAATAATCTTCGACCATAAATTGTATAGTATTTGATTATTACGTTCACTTTAATATCAATAGCCAAATCGATATTTCATGATTACTCTCGCCTTGTTTCTCTTAAATCTTTCTAGGGTGCTGGGGCTGATATAGATGCGCTGATTGAGATCATTGCCACGAAGAGCAGTCAGGTATATATTAAAGCAATCACGCATTGGGAAGAATGACATCTGAAGCTGAAAATGAAGGGAAGCGTCTCCAAAAAGAACCTGAGAACTTGAACTTTATAAACTTTTCGGGGGGGGGGCTCCAATGGGGCACTGTTGTCAATTCAGGAAGTCCAAACAATCTACGCTCCTTCGAGAGAAACCAGCAAAGAGTTTTATATGGGTGAAAATAACAGAGTTATGAGTCCCCAAATTCTGTCTCGCACAAACACCAATAGACCTTCAAGGAGACATTATTTTCGATCTTCTTCCAAAATCTATCTTATCTGTTAAATTGGGTGGCTAAAAGTTTTATATATACCAAAAATATCAATTTTTTGCATGATTTTTAAACAAACTCTGATGTCGTTACCGTTACTTTAATTCTGTGATTGCCAAAATGAAAATCCCCCTGCAATTCAAGATGGCCAACTCGTGAGTATTCCATAAATGCAGACTGTAGCGTAATGGTGTACTTTCTGCTTACATTTGGCCTATATCGGACTGTCAGTGGCAGAAAGCATTCCTAAAGAAACAAAGTATTGGCATTAGGGATAAAGAAAACTTTGCACAATCTTACACACTTCAAAGACTGACCGTTCTTTCAACCGGTGATAATTTTCTGATAATTTTAAGTCTAGCAAGACCCCGAAACGCTAGTAGGCTATTCAAAGACTGGAAGTAAAGTTATTGGCATACATAGGTGTCTTTTTCATAGAAAAATGATCTTGAAAGATACAAATTGCCTGGGTCCTTTAAACGTTCTTCCTCAATTGACATCTCCTATTGCGTTATCGTCACATTTGCAGGAAATTCTGGCCCTTAAAGTGGCTTACAACTCCGGTGAGTGTTTCTCCAGCGACCAAGTTGGTATATCCTAACCGTTCTGCGAGTCACTTGACCCAGACATTAACTTCGAGATGCTAGAACGCAGCCCCTGCTGACGTACAAACGGGGAGGTCTGGTAGCTTAATTGGGGCTTGTTAATTGGCTCGCTATAAATTGCCAGATATCTACTAAAATACCTAAAAATGTTTCTGATAATGAGGTAAATAGTGTTAAATGATAACCCAAATAACGGATTAAAGAGTTAAGGCTGATGTGATCCAATAGCATTGTGTCCTGAAGCAAGACATACAGCTTTGAAAATCTTAGTTCGGATCGGTGGCTGTGATGGTGACATGCGTGCTTACAGTTGGGGCAAATATGGCATTACCGAAGCTACATACCGGCTCTGTATACTTCATGGAAATAGTTTGACCGCCCAGGGGTGCATTACAAGTAGGCAGTTCTTTGATGCAAGGCAGAATTTTGACGGTCTTTCACTTCACCCCTTTGTCATCTCTCTAAAGAGACGGGGACTCCGTTGACGACAGAATTGGTAGGCGAGACAACTGGAGATCTCCGACGCCTGCTGCTCGGGCTGAGCACGGTAGGAGAATGTATCTTATGTGTGTGCGTGTCTTAGACCGCCCATGTATTAAACAGTATGCTTCTCAGTAAATTGCCATTGCTGAAACTAAAGAGCGGTGTAAGGATGAGAAAAACAAACCCAGTTATTTCTTTGAATAAGATTTGTTTAATTACCCAGCTGTTTGTTTGGTCGGTACTAGCTGGGTTTTATAACGAAAAAGGGCCAAGGATACAGTTTAGGGTGATTCAAAATGACCGCAGCATCCTTGAATGATAAAGGAAAACCTTGGAAATAATTATACCCATCGAGCTATACATTTGCCAAATCCACAGAAACCGTTTAAAAACCCCAAAGTATATTGCATCAGATGAGGGTTTCTTATTCGTGGTTGGTTTGGCATTCCTAACAGGTCATGCGAGACGGGTCGTCAGAGGTTGACGGTGCTGAAGTGAGCAGGGACGCGAATTCGCTTCTCGAGGTAAAAACTGTTGCTCATGAATCTCAACCCTACTCACACCAAATTTTCTCAATGTGCTCAGCAAAATGCTAAAGGGGAAACAGACTTTGCCTGCCTGGCTGTCGGAGTTTGCACAAAGGTCATCCTTAATGAGTGAAAATTTTAAGATAGGATTCATTACTGAAAGGCCTACACTGAAAATCTACACCACTGTGAGCTGCAGTCTTCAACATTGACTTGTCAGGCCACGTGCTTTCACCTTTCCTCTTAAATATCCCGCTCCCTTCGTGTCATTGTTTTGACGAACAGTGACCTCAATGACGCCATTTCTTAGTTCCCTCTAAATACTTGTATGCGTCATGCCCTGATACTGAAAGTTCTGGGTCGTTAGTCTAGGCAGCGAGGTACGCTGGTCAGTCGTAACGCGCATACATGACTCGATTAGACACGTTCTGAATAGGAGGTATCTATTGTCTTTCCTGAATTCTGATTGGATACTGATCGTCAACTTTCCAAAGCATACGCTAACTGTATATAAAAAAGAACACTAATTGGTCAGAGTATCGGGAAGTGACGGTCGTCCTGTAATGAACGGCTGTTACTGAAATGTTAATTTGCAGTTTGAAACTGCGCACTAGTTCGTGATTGAGGAGTGGTAGCTACATTTCTCAGAGTTGTGTGTGATTTCAAGTTACTCTGATACGGTCGACGTCATTGGTTTTGTCACAACAGGCGGCAGTCAATAGCCCTAGCATTGACGAGGTTGTATTCCAGAGAATCTTCGTGTCCCGAAGTAAGCAACATCTCTTGGCCGTCTTCCGTGAATATCAACAGGTACGAAAACTGTCATGTCAGCATAAAAAAATCCTACCAGATATCCATTTTCAAACAAAATACAGATTTATTGGATGTCTCTCCAACCATTAAACCCCCATTAACATTTTTGGGCTATTTCCTGAATCCTTGAAAATAAATGACCAATTACTCCGAAAAACCACAAGAGTTCTTCGTGTACCTTTAAAACGTCTTAAGCCCATAAAGCCCAACTTTAAGTAACAGTGAAAAGACTGCCCTCTTTTCTAACGTGTTGTGGCTATAGTTACGGAAGTTTAGAAGGCGTTGCTTTCGGCTTACATTGATAATGATAATCTATAATGCAGTATCTACAGAATAATAGAAGTGGTGTCACGGATACCTTAACTACAGCCATTTTTTAATCGTGCAAATCTTCCACAACTTTACGGTGAAGTATAAAGGATCTTATTAAAATTTATAAACTCATTCAGTGTACAAAAGTACACCTGTTGAGTGCCATCAGTTTGGACCATCAGAGAGCTATGAGTTAAATGGAAATCTGTGCTGGGATCATGACGTATAGCGCCAATATGCTGAACACTGGTCGCACAAAAATCACCTCTTCACTCTAACATATATGTACTTATAATGCTTATGCAAAGACAGATTCGATGAACACTGTATCAGCGTTCCAGTGATAAAATGTATTAGATTGGCCCTTAAAGAGACTTTTCCTCTCCCTTTTTTTGTTAGCTGGCTGGTATCTCCATTGAGAAAACCATTGAACACGAAATGGTTGGATACCTCAGAAGTGCATATCTTACCATAGGTAAAGATTTGGTTTACACTACGTATAGATTTGATTTAACCTGGAAGCTGACTACAAAGCCAGATGGATGGGTTTTGGTTTTCAAGTCCAGCTTGCACGTCCCAAGTGATCTGTTTTAGAAATTCTTTGTATCTTTAGCATGGGCGTATTTCGGGGGGGGGACAGGGGTGTATACCGGTAACCCCCCCCCCCATTTTTGAGGTGGAGGTATGGGCTGTGGAATCATCTGCTCACTTTTTTGTGCTAAGCAAAAAAATTTAAAGCGGATTGTGAAGGATTTTTGGATTTCCCAAATTCTGATCGAAAGAGGGAAAAAATGTAAAAAGCCATTAATATGCCATTCTAATGTAATTTGCAGCATGAATTAGACTCACGTTAAAGATGTACATTATATCATGGACATCGCCTCCTATATAGTGCATATTTTGTCACCCCCTCGTGTTTCAAATTTTCATGGCCAGGCAAATCAACCCCACCCTTCCCCAACCCTCGCCCCCATTTCCAGCACAGATTACGTCACTGCTCTTTAGCATTTCACATATTACTGGTTAGTACTTACACTTTATGATCCATACTGACTCTAACTTGTGATCCATCGTTTTGTTTTTGGTTTTGTTTTTGTTTTGTTTTGTTTTGTTTTTGGTTTTGTTTTGGGGGAGGGCAGTTGCCTTTTTGCAGAACCCACATCAATATTTTGCAGACCAGCTGCACAAGGCGATGTCAGGAGAAGAAACCGATGAAGAACAGCTGATTCGCATCATTGTGACCCGTTCCGAGGTGGGTTTGACACTGTTGTCCTGCCATCCCAAGACGGATAAATACGTCACCTCACACTGATGGCTTTTGAACTAAACTAAACAAGCCTTTGCTTCTTGGGACCCCCATCCACATTTCTTTATTATTCATGTCATATTGTAATGAACATTTATGTACTAAATAAAGAATGAATAAATGAATGCCCCTCCCCATCGCCATACGCCTGATCTTGCTGATGTCTGAGACAACGGTGATCCACGAGCAACCTGCTCCATTTCTGGCCATGCGGCCCTGGTGATGACACCGGTTGCATTGGGACCCATTTCCATTACTCCTTTTTTCCTGTCCGCGTCCGCGCCTCGGGTGTTCGAATTAACCAAGCTTTGCACAGTCGGGCATTCTACACGCGTATTATCCTGTAATACCGCACTTTTCCAGGGGGTGGTAGAATCCATCTCGACAGTACAGCCATCTCTGCATTTTGCGCACTGAAGGCCAAGTTAAGTGAGGCCCCTGTTCTGCAATTTTGCGGATTTACCCGACCCTTTATTGTTGAAACTGATTCCAGTGCAACTGGACTAGGTGACACTGCTTTCGTTCCACCCTCCTTCACCTTTAACCCTCCTTCACCTTAAAGGTGAAGGAGGGTGGAACAAAAGCAGTGATAGCTTATGCCTCCAGGTCCCTACGACCAGCCGAGCGCAATGATGGTAACTACTCATCATTTAAGTTGGAGCTGCTGGCTGTTCGGTGGGCTATTTGCCAGACCTTTAAAGACTACCTGATTGGGAATGCCTGTACCATATACACAGATCGCAATCCACTGCGTTATTTGGACACAGCCAACCTCAGTGCTTCTGAACTGACGTGGATTCAACAGTTATCTGCCTTCAACTACCAGCTGGAGTATCGACCTAGAGCACAGAACCATACACCAGACGTCTTGTCTAGGCTCCTCAAGAAGGAAGTTTGTGTGTCCAACTCTGCAAAGCAGGGTCCTGTGATGGCACTTTCATCCAGTGCTGTACAAGCAATATCTCTGACCCGGCACCTTCATACTCAGCGGTACGACCTGTTCTGCATCACCAGATTAAGCCGGGGCAACAGGAGGGCAGTCACTTGTTACCGGGGTATACTGCGGCAGAGCTGGAATCCCTCCAAGATGAGGACATCACCCTCCACAGGGTTCGGACTTACTTTGGGAGAGGCCGTTAACACGCAGAACCACGGGCTGTGTCGACGGTGCTAAAGCACTGGGAGCAACTCCAGTTGAAGGATGGGGTGTTGTATCGGGTCTCGGGCATTCAGGGGAGAGGGAGATGTGAACGTCTGGTTGTCCCAGCTAGATTACAAAATGTGGTGCTGAAATCATTCCACGATGACCTTGGCCACTTCAGGAAAAAGTGGACACTTCGGGCGATGCAGCCTCTCTTCTTCTGGCCAAGGATGGAGGAATCAGTGAGGGCTTGGTGTCAGAAGTGCAAAGAATGTGCCATCAGTAAACAGCCCAACTGTCACAAAAGCCTCCCCTAGGAACGCTGCGAGCCACTGCCCCATTGGAAATCGTCGCCATGGACTTCACTGTGTTGGACGCCTCCTCCAGAGGTCACGAGAATGTGTTGATTCTCACTGATGTATTCACCAAGTTTGCTTGGGCTATCTGCACAAGGGACCAGCGGGCAGTGGCTGTGGCTCGAGCTCTCGTGAAGCTGTGATCACACCCTTTGGGTCACCACTCGGGCTTCACTCAGATAGCGGGAAGTGCTTTCAGGCGAGATTCATCCAGGAGTTCTGCAGGCTGTATAGCATATTGGGCGCTCACACACCACCCCTTACCACCCCCAGGGTAATGGTCAGTGCGAGAAAAGGATGTATTCGAGCAACCACTGGCTACTGGGGAGTGTGTTCATGTCCGGGACCACACTCACAGGGGAAGGGCGAAGATACCGGATTTCTGGGAGGAGACTCCATACTTGGTGGTTGGTCGGCCCATGGAGGGACAGCCTGTCTACGAAGTGCGGAACTCGGCAGGGCGTAGGAAAGTTCTCTATCGATGTGAGCTACAACACTGTCCCTGGTACGTCGAACCCCAAGCAGCCAACACCAACAGGGAGCTGACAACCCCGGACAGAGATTTTGTGTAAACCTTATTGTGCCTTGTACTTATGTATTTATTGTAATTAATTTGGGTATACTCTTCTCTCCTTTGTTTCTTTATTGTCTGTCAGTGGAAATAAAACGTTGTCTGCCTGCCTCGTCCGGTTGGACATGTCGCCCTGAACCAACAAAACAGCTGATCCGAATCCTTTCTTACGCCCCCCCCAACATTACCAAAGGGACCTTCATTACTAGGAAAATCACGCCCTCTTTTGGTCCAGGTCGGGGCCTGCAGAACGACGTCCTTTCCTTCTTGTGTTGCTCAGAAGAAACTTAAGCCACAGATTTAATTCTTTAGTGAGGGTATTCACTGTTGTTGTGAGGGTATTCACTGTTGTACTGAATTATTCATTGGCAGGTTGACCTGACGCAAATCAAAGAGGCCTACGCCGACTCACACGGCAAGCCACTGGCGAGCACCATCAAGAGCCACACCAGCGGCGACTTTTGTAGAATTCTTATTGCACTCGTCGGGGAGTAGAGAGCGTTGTGTTTGCATGGCGGCACAGTCATTCCCCGGAGTTGGAGACAATTTTGGAGAAATTTACTACGAAATTTCTTGAAGTCATTTATTAGCGAGAATTGGGAGGGAGGCACATTGCGCTAGTTTTAGTGAATCCAGAATAGGATCCGTTATCGGTGTAGATTTGGAAATACTTTGTTAACGGATTAAAGGGCGCAGGTTCTTGAAATGTGGTGTCGGGAGACGAGGAAACCTTTCTTAAATATTCATCGTTTATTTAATGAGTCCAGATGAATAATCGAATCCATATTGGTAGTCATGAACACTTTAAGAAGAAACTGGACATGCGTACTAGAGTCCTGTAAGTAATCAGTCATCACGTACGAACTCATTATGGCCCTGTTTGTTTCGCGTGGCTCCGGATCAATATCAATGCCATCCGACGTTGGTTCACTGACACCAGAACCCGCCTAATGGATGGCGTGAACCAGCTTTGGGATCACTGTCAGAGATAGAGATCCATGTTAAAATTAACAGTCGTAACTTTTGCCGTACAATCATCAGCACATCTTGCTTCGTATCTGACGTAACTGAGGTCCCTTGTAATAGGTACAAACAGATAAGAACGAGCCATTCTTGTAACACTGTTGATGGGTGTTGAGCGCAATGCCCAAAATTCACTCATGCATGCTGCGGCAAAGAATCAGTGTGGGCTTACATTCCAATAAAAGCAAAATTGTGGCGAAGGTGTAAAATGTACACAAATTAGGGGAAAGATTGAAAATGCATATCATGTTCCATTTGTCCTTTGATCTCCAATTGTTGTTTGATTTGGACACCATTTCCTGAACTGTTATTCTTCTCTTGATTAAACCAGTCACGAAAATGTCCTCTTTTTGTAGCCTCAACGGCTCGAATCGGCATCACAACTCATTGTTCCTTCCAGATGTCTTATCAATGGTGGCCACTTTGCAAATAAGGGATAATTTACATACGTGGTTTTTCTACCAGGTTTTGGTGTTGCAGCACACGGCGCTGTCGATCGATAAACGTCTGTATTTACAAACCAGAGCGAAGTTTTGAAGACACTATGCGTTCTGACCAATCATGGATTTCGTTGGATTTGACGTCACGGTCTGCGGTGATATCGTTGTCGTTGAGGAGTGTTATTAATAACATACATACTAAGTGGGTTCGAACTCTTGTATAAGCGCAGCATTACCGCTTTCGTTACGGCACGCACGTGTAAATGGGCTTCTACGTCGTTACCCTGAAAATTAATTTGACACATGACAATTGAATTATCTTGAAAAAGTTTGGTGTGTAACTAACATTCCAAAAACATTCTAAGTGATGTATTTCCCACTAACCAACAGTTCTTTTTCTTACGTTTACTTTTATCACTCTCGGTTATATTGAATCACTCTCGGTTATATTGAACACCTATATTATTAGTGGTATGTGGAAAAATCCATTTATTAAGTAATACGGTTTTATATCAGAATTATGAGAAGGAATATAAAAAGGAGTTAATTGGTTAGCGGATGATTGTTTTATTATTTTACAATCAAAAAGGCACGGAATTTTATTTTATTCTACATTTAAATCCAATATAAACTGGATTAATATTTTACTGTAGTTTTAAATACAGGTTAGCAATACAAGGGCTCAAAAGGTGCATTAAAATTATGGGAGGTTTGTACGTCGGAAATAAATCAAGCAAAAGAGCCATTTCATTGTTACTGTGTTGTTTTGTAAGCAGGTTTTAAAGACAAATACCGACGAAAATGTCCAAAGCCTGTAAGGATTTACTTCATCGTTATGCAAAATTTTTCATACGTTTGTCACCTTGTTTACACATGCACACTGAGTTTTCACCAGGTGTAAGGATATCCATGGGTCAGGTACGCATCTCTAATGCGCACAAAACATCTATTAACACTTTTGGTTTTAATATAACAGGCAAGATATGGGACGGAGGGGTACCCCCTTACCTGTCCAATCCCTATACACTCTCTCGACTATTGTTACCTAACACATCCCCCTAGAAGTCTGTTAAGACGCGGGGGGGGGGTTCTCTCCGTCCCATATCTTGCTCCAAATGGGTTTTAAAGCTCCATATGAAGCAAGATATTGGGCGGAGAGAACACCGCCCCCAGCATTTGTGTTGGTCATTGTTTAATCGGAATCTCAGGAATTCTTTACAGACATCGGGGGGGGGTGTTAGGTAACAATAGTCTATAGAGTGTGTATAGGAATTGGACATGTGAGGGTACCCCTTCGTCTTATATCGTGTAGGGCATCTAAAGCTCAGACGCCTTTTTAAAAACGCTGGACTCGTAATGTCTTTGTACCGACTTGAAGCCATTTTACCGTGCCGAATACAAAGGCGATGGTTGGCACGCCTGCCGTTGTAACGCTGGACCTTTTTCACCTACGTGACTCGATGGCGCTAAATGTGAACAACACCACCACGTGTGGACTGCCTTGGCCACGGTGATCGCATTCCTACGGGCAACTGCACACCCTGCTTGACTAGGTAGAATAGGTAGATTACCATCACAACACTATGCACGCATTACCATCGCAACACATCACAGGTCCAGCACGATCGTGACATCACAGGAAAAAGGTCTCAAACCAAGCCTTTGCTATGGCTTAACTTTATTCATCTCATGGCCCACAGTCACGTTGATATGTACATGGTATTCTTGTAAATATTCAGGGCATAGTCATTCGTGTAAATACCGAGAGATGTAGGCGACCCACATAAAACAACGCATGCCAGGCCTCGTGCAGGTCCTAACTACACGTGCAAAAAGAGCACAATCGGCATGTGACAGAACGTAACAGGAAACGTGCGAACAAGAAGAAACCAACTGTGGTGACGACAATGTTCATTAATGTAGAGGTAAGTGTTTAAAGAATTTATCTTAATTTGTACGATGTACGTGTACATGCAAATAAATATACGGGCTCGAAGTGTACAAAATGATCTCATATCAAGGATAAAAGTAATGCATGCTGAAACATAACAAACGTTTTTACATTCAAGCAAAGTTTTAAAAATCCGCGTGGGGCTGTTTAGTTTGGGGGATCGACCTAAAATCCTATCTTTTTAAGAGTTCAATAAATGCACAGTTGAAGAGGAATTGACCATGATTATTCGGATACAGAAAGGGGTACTTCTCAGGGTTCAACCCCCAAACCAGCATACTCCTTTTTTGGGGTCAGTTTATAACATCTGCAGTCGATTTGTATTTATTTGAGATTAACAAAAATTAATATCCAATAAGAAATTAGGCAGTGATGTTCGGCAGTTCAATTCATAAAGTGGTTCAGCTTTTCTCCATAATGTACTCTGCATGAGCTCTGACTAATGATTTGATGTCTGTGTTTTAATGTAAACGACAAAATGCAGCAATAAATAAACTTTCTTAACACCAATGAATATTCTTTATGAAAAAAAACACATAAAACCGGGGGGGGGCAAATTTCCCCCTGCGCCCCGATCCGGATACGCTACTGTTTACAATTCAAGTCAGGCTTCACAATGGAAGGTGTAGGCCTATGATTCCCGTATTAATGATAAAATAATTATTCTCTATCAATGAACACTCTAGACAATAAAGGTCATTAGCTACCGGTACGCATATTACAGCGAACAATTAACGCGTAGATTTCGTGGAGTGCAGGGCTAACCGCTTCCTCGAGCAAACATGTTGCACCTTTTTATGCCGTGTTGCCGTTGACTATCCGAAGAAGCAGCTCCCTATAGGCTCCGCTCGTGTCGTCTCTGATGAAATCCGAAAGAGACTGCCCGTAACTGGCCAGAAAAATCTCTTTAATCTTGGCAAGATCGATCTGAAAGGAAATTATTTAAATTTATGATTGGTGTCAGTATACTGGAGAGTAATTCTTCCAGTTATCGTGGCACTGTTTCAATTGTCTACACATGCGCACTGCTGCCAGTTATTTTTCATTAATTAGCATACACCTCGCGGTCAATTCAAACGACGTAACCGTCCTGTTGGTATTGGTGTTTTCCAATGTTTCATTCAAGATCCCTAGTCCAGGTTGTCGATTATGGACGCCTGATTCAAATGAGAGCTTTCTAGGGTGCGTATAATCCGAGTCAAAATCTGCCAATGGCATAAACTATTACATGTGTCAAATTGCTATTGTTATGGTTGAGTAATCTGCAAGTCACAACACAGTACAATTAATGTGCATTTTGGCCAGTCAACATTGGGTTTCCAGAGTGTCATATAATTATATTGAATACCTGTCTTGCACTCACCGTAATATATAGCAAGGAACACACCAGGATATATGATACACGATTGCTACAACTTTTTTACAAAAATACCTGTTACCAAAACCAGATATACAGCGCCATAAATTATACATAAATGCACCACGTTCATAACACCAACCGATATTCATCAACGCTCTCATAGGTTCTCAGACAGACTTTATTCATAAGCAAAAGTTAACCGTGTTTTTAATTCAATCAGGTCAATTAGTTGCGTTTCCTGAGGTGCATCTCACCCATCGTGCGGCAGCAATGGCACACTACGTGATCCAGAAGTGCGCGTCAAAACATTTTGATTCAGGTCGACTGTGACAGGTCAAAACCGGGAATGCCTTAATTTCAGGAACATTGTTACAGCTTTCGTAAATCTGTGCGTCACTCAGAAGTAAAGAGTGAAAGTGATAATACCAGGTAAAGTGAACCATGTGCCATTTTCCCGTCGATTCTTAGAACACACCAAAGTTACCTCTGCACGGGAAACAATGCACCGTATCAACATCTCATCATCCGTGCCAAGTCCTTTCATAGACTTGTATAGTCTCTCAGCAAAGAAGGCCTGGGTATCTCGGACGCTTTTCACTGAAACAAGGTGGGAAAAGAATGAGATTTTTAACGCGAGGAATTTGAATTTTCAGTTTGTAAATATATCGATAACAACGGATGAATGCACATTCCGTGATATTGAGAAGGGGGAACATTATACCGGAGAGGGCTTTGAACATGCGACCTCCAGAATACCGTGAAGGAGAGATGTCAACTGAGAAATAAAAATGCTTTGTTATGTTATTACCAAGCGACAAGTAGCCGTCCAGTAGATCTCCAGATGTTTCGCTAATAATGGCGCCCTCAATCCCTCTCTTAGAAATCTGTGTAGAAAAGTCGAACAGGAAGGCTTAGGTCGTATAGAAACCGTACTCTTTCAAGGAAGACGTCAAGGCCCCAAGTTGTTAAGTAATATGCAACTATTTTCTCGCATCGATCTTACTTCGTAAGAAGATAAAGCCAAGCTACATTTCTTGTTTGAAAAAGCGCCCTTTTCCGAGCAAGTGTTCTAATCGACTTACCTTATCATATTCATCAAAGGTGGCGCGCAGTTGGCTGTAGCTCCGCGTTGCAAGAATGCGGTTAAAGACAGACTCATCAGTACCCCAGCGCGCCTCGCCGGCCTTTGACAGAAAAGATGAAAAAGGATGGCACTGTAAAATGCGTGAATAAAAACTTTAAGTATAAGCTACCTGACTTGTTAAAGATAACTACATGTATCTCCTTGATTGCTTCGTGGAGTATCGCCGTTAAAGCCATTGCTACTTATGAGCCCAAGCGCGACCAAGAGAGGGCGCAATTTCCTTGCGCCTGGGGGGCTTTTGGTAGGAACGACACTTTTCTGGTGCACAAACGACTATGAAATAGGCGTTGCGGTTGCATCGCTATAAAATATATTAACACTCACGACCGCAGTGGCTCTTTTTCAACTCATGAGGGGGTGCTTCTGCTCAAGGCAGATACTGCAAGACAACACACTTGAATCTTTCCCATTACAACATGCCACATCATTTCAGTTGTTCTTTGAGTAAACATGGAGCCTTCATAGTCAAATGGATCAAGTAGAGTTTCATTGCAATCCCTGCCCAGCCACAAAATACAAACCCTCAACTACATTTCAACCTCTCGATCTTTCACGCATCTGAGAACAAAACACACTCAATGTCAAACACTGCCAGCATCTTGTTGCCAGTAAACTATTATAAGAGATTCGGTATAAGATCGTTTACTATTCTGCAAGGACAATTTGCACTTTTCGGAAAACCGGCACCCCTTTGAATTGAACTTACGTCAAAAATTGCTTGGGCGTCCGCCTTGGCTTTTTCCTCGTCCACGGAAGCGCTTTCGTCTCTGCCAGCCTAAATCGAAACACATTATTTAATTGGGGTGATACCAACGATTTTTTCTTTGTTTTAAGTTGACTGGTAGCCAAAGAAAACACGAAGGTTTAGACAATGATAGATCGAACTCAGAAAGGCCCAACTCTCAATGGTTGCTGGAAAACTTTTGGTGTCGAACACTTAAGGGTTTGTTCTAGAGTTATTTTAAATTTTAAATTTTACATGAATCATGATCATACAATAGAAAACGTGTCCATCATTGTCATCAGTGTAGAAATACTGACGGCCATAATCTTTAAAACGCTGCATCGGATCAGGATGAAACCTTGTAAATGTACATAACATGGAAGTTCTAAGATCATGCTAAGTTTAACTGAAATCTGTCTTTGAAAATCCGAGACTTGAAGGGCGTGGATCCCACACACCCCCCCCCTCCATGCGTGGCAAAATTACCAATAGGATTTCCAAGGGGAACAAACGCATTCCACAGAAGTTAGTGGTCTGCATAGCTCCATCGATCCAACGTACAACGAACGCGTGCAAGGATCAACTACATAAGTACAGTTAAGAACATTCTTGGTGACCTTGACCAAGCGTTTTGGACTTTTGCCGGGTACCGTTTCATGGTTTTACCGAGCACATGGACAGCATGAGCCGCCTGAAGTGACCGCTAGTGTCCCCAGCAATGTCGTCCTCCAGATCGCGCTTGTATGCTGGGAAAACGAGAACCCCAATGCAAATTACACCGTGTATTCTAAAATGACACTGCAACACACAAAAACGTATTATTTTAAACATAGAACAGAAGCATTTCCAACATAGAAGCCATTGACTAATTTTGTGCGAGTCGCCAATCAAAAGGCATTAAAAGGTTACTCAAGACAAGACAAGCAAAGGAATCAACAGAGAAGGTAGTTTACTTTAACCTTCAGGTGTGTGATGCAAATGTTGTTCCAACTCTTTAAGGCCGTGTCCAAAACGGGCTTCCAGAGCTGCGGCTAGGTCTATTGTCTATGCGTCTCCACGCATTTCCAATGGAGCAAAGACCTGGACCTAGCTCTATACAACAGATTTGGATGCAGCCTAAGACGTAGTTGCTCTTTTCCAGTTTTTCATTTAACGGGCTCTCTACATGCAAATGTATCGTGCCAAATTGTTACATCAAATGAGGTAATTTCCCCGATATTAGGCCTATAGGCCTAAACCTTTATCCTTAGAAACAACTTACCTTTTTTGTACTCCACTTTAATCTCTCTTATTTCCTGCGTTTGAAAACAATGCCAAAATAACACTCTTAATTCGGTTTTTGATTTTTGATTAATAAAAGGAAAAAACGAAATGCTCCTTCCTCAAAGCGATACAGACTGTCTTCAAGTGATGCTTTCCAACATTGAGGCATGGCGTGACGTGGATTAAACACAGTACCTTTGTATAACGAAATATTTACCTGATTGTTCTTCGTGCAAAGAATCTCAACCAGCGCCTTTTCGTCCGTCCCAAGTCCCTGTTGTTGTGAGAAATATTATTAACCACTCTTTAGACGTATAATGTAAACATCTATAAACTATACATTTGCACATTTGGCGTTCTATTTACGCCTGTCACATTTGCAAATTAGAGCTGCGTGGTTGTGTCAGCCATATTGAATTGAAAGTGACGTTAACTTCTCATTTTGGGAAACTGAGAGTATTATATAATAGCCGCAAAATGAGAGTTTATTACGAATTCATGCCAGTTTAGGATAATGTAAAATTTGTGATAATTATTTGTTTAAAGTATTTAATGCGAAAGAAAGTTGTTTTCTGTCAGGTTCCTGAAAAAAGAGTCCGTACAAGCCATATCGCTGGTCGATTAGTATGCTGACTCCTCTAAAGGAATGGGAGGCTCATATATAAAACTCAAGTAGGCTAGCTGTCCATTTTATACTTGCCTCGGTGGCTTGGTACAGGCAGCGTGCGTAGTATTCAACTGGCGGGTCCATTAGCGCACGAACAGTTTTTCGGTAGTTGCCGCTCATCTTGCTTAGGAACTGTTCCACGAGGTCCTGTTTAAAGAGGCAAGCGCAGCATAGAAGTCAGAGGCCAATCACAGACCTTTCAATGAATGATCAACATAAATTTATTTAAAGGAATCCATCAACGGGCCCCAAACCTGTCATTTCCAGTCATAGCCAAGCTATTAAGACCCGACCACGATTACAATGAAGCACCAGTTCAATAAATATGCGGATCTGTTCACTGTACAGATTTGACGCTAATTTTGACATTCAAACCTATTGTTACTATTCGTACTTGATGGAAAAATGCCTGGACTAAGAAATGTCTCATAGTGGAGAGTTTTGTAACTAATGGACACGAAGAATGTGAACATTATAAGTCCATGTTGAAGACTTTGAGATCTTATTCATAGAGATTTGGAAGAAATTGGATCCCCAGAATGATCTGTTTAAGAGTCAAGGAATTATCAGCGATAGGCTTCTCTACGGAAGCTTACAAGAGCCATTTCCACAAAAATATTTTTAGTTCACTTATCTCGCAGTGGCGAGATAGCCACTGCGAGATAGCAATTTGCTGCAGCAAGATAATAACTAGAAACAATTGTGCACGTGGTACTTATACGCTTCCGTACTTCTGAGATATTTTTCGGAATATTTTCCACAGATTAAAATCATCCACAATTTTAGTCATCGAATTACCCGCAAACAAATCCAACATAAAGTTAAATACAGGCGATTCACAAAAGTGCGCCTCCAAGAGTTTGCAACGTGTTGGCCAATCACAATGTGGGGAATCTGTCGGCCCTTTCCAAACGCGCATTGGGTGGACGGATTTCGCGCATCGTGATTGACCAACGCATGGCAAACTCTTGGAGGCGCACTGCTGTGAATCGTCAGTATTACAGGTCAATGCTTGGAGTGCGCATGTATCATGCAGGCCTTCTGACTATTTCTGCCTGTCTTAAGTGAGGATATTTTGTCGTTAATGACTATGGAAATTTTAACTGTCCGCAATCGTGCGAACCCACCCGACCGAAGGCCGTCTTGTAGTACGCCCTTATATGTTGGCGCTGTGCATTAGAACGGGACGTCAACACATCAATGATGGCTTTGTCGTCCGTACCTGCAGAAATGCGTAATAACCGGAATTCCAACGAGACAGTCTTAGTCTATAAACAAGCCCAAAATAAACATATGAGAAAACAGACTACCTTGAAATATATGCTTGGTCAATATCAGATCTTGACGGATAATCCCCGTGCTTCAGTGTTTGTTTAACCTATATTTCTACTATGCCCCCTTAAACCTTAAAAATCCCCCGTTTTTGATTGTGATTTTACATACACCCTGGCGGGTTAGGGTTAATTTTCAGTTTGGAATCTGCTTTGAGGGGACCGTAGACAATCGCTCAAAGTAATCGGCCTCCTAGAACAAATTGACAAAATAACGACTACCTCTCATTTAAAATTAACTTAATACTCAAGTCTGTGATTACACATGAGTCAGCTTCAAACACTAATCGGTAAAAAAGTTAAAAGTTTACACACGGGTTGTGTTGTGTCTACATTTTTCTTCAAGTTGTTGAGGACTCCCCAAACGACATGCAGTCTGGTTTACTGACCTAGTGAGAATCTGAACGTGTTGTGTTGAATTAGGTAGTTCCCGCGTTTTGAAATGAGACATGACACCAAAAATCGGGCCTTCGCCTCATATCATCAATATGCAAGACGCCTGGTATGATCTTAAAAAGGTGATATGGAGTTTCACGCATGGCACTAAATTCGGTAGAAATTTTAATGTTAAAGAAAAAATTATTTTGCATCCGCGCTCGATCAGGGAAAACGAAAGTGTTAAAAAGTTGGAGATTTGTGGAATTTTTCCAAGTTAGGTCACGTGGCACTGTTAGCCAACTGACCTTCGATGTGTCTGGAACGTGTTGTCAAGGACCACATCGAGCCACGGCGTGACCAAATAATTATGCCTTGCAACCTGCCACGCATCTCTGGTTTGATGTCTTGATTTAATATCGACCAGCATAACTTCTGAACGTAAGCACAGTCCAGTCAATTGGCCTGCACTTAAGCAGCTTAGAGGATATTCTTTTGTCTATAAACATTGAAGTGTCGTTTTCTACGGACGGCTATCTGTTCGTAAAATAAATCCAGTCATGGTTGACATTTTTAACATGGCATGGTACGCAACAGAAAGCGTGTTACAAGGGTAAAAGGCTCTTTGCATATTGTATTTAACGACCATTAAAGAGCACGTCTAAGGAAAACATGTTTTCTCTGATTTTATCTGTTCCAATATGGAAGCATCCAAATCGAACGCAGTGTCATTTTGTCTTCAGAGCTCAACTATAACACTTCCTGTTCGTGCCAAGATGCAAATCCTGAATGCAGATTGCATCATTCAGAGAAAGCCTTCGTGCGTGCCAAACAATGGCTACAAACAATGGCTACAAACAATGGCTAGATGCATTGTTTGGCATGTACAAGGGTTTATCCACTACGAACACAGAGCGAGGGTTCCAGTAATTTTCTGTTTTCCCCGAATGGCGCAACCTACATTCACAATTCGCATCTTGACATGAACAGAAAGAAAACCGTTTTAGCATGTTATAGTTGAGCGCTGAAGACAAATGACACTGTGTTCGATTTGGATGCTTCCATATTTATTTGAACAGATAAAATCAGAGAAAACATGTTTTCCTTAGAGGTGCTCTTTAACTTGAAGATCGCAACGAAGAGTAAACAGAGTAAATTTAAATCCCTTTGCGTCAGCATTTTCCCCATTATGGCAATCATATAGATTTCAACGTGGCCATGCTTGACACAAAACCGCAATTAGTTAATGAAGCATTACAGTGCAAGAGTCATGCACGGAGCTCACTCGGGCACCGTAGAATACGACTTGGATCGATTCCTCACCTATTCCTGACATGGCCTTGCGCAGTACGATCGCATCTTGTTCCCGGTCAAACTGTGGGGCTTCGGTTATTGTTCCCTGATAGAAATACAGCATGCAGTAAACAAAATATTTAGAAAAGAAGTTGAAGAGTAATAGATTGTATAACTATAATGTTTTCTTTCCTGGCATTCCTGGGATTCAAACTACACGACTTTATCCAAACGCGTCTTCCAACCTCGCTCGATCGTCCTCGCACATTTTCTTGTTGCTTGCCGTGCAGAGAAAAAACTTTTCTCATTTACTTTTTATCCAGGTCTTTGTCGGAAGAAGAAATCAAGAAAACGAAACAAACTAACCTGGTAAGTTGCCATGGTGCCGAAGTCTTTGACCTGCCCTAGATAGACGGGACACTGGGTTTGGGGTTAGGCCCTGGTCGAATCGCCTGACTTGCAGCAGAAAAAAAGCCAGTTGAGTAAACGATTTTCACTTTGCAATGAACTTACGCTCGTTTGACCGAGAAGCCTACCTTCTGACTAATATAATTGTGCGGGTGGATCCTTACAAAAGACCTGCTGCAATCTGTTGGTAGGCGTGGACACCGTGCGTCAACTGTCTGCATAGTGTACATATATTTTTACCGATGACGCCATTCTTTGGCCAGATGCCTTGGCAGAAATTCAATTTGATTCAATTTCCTACTAGACTATTCCATTTTACAGTGGGTGTGGCTTCGTGCAGTTGAACGTATTTGCACCTGCACTTCAGGTTGTGTCGATATTGAAAAGTCGGTAGACGTGTCTGTTATGAGGTCCGTTTTTGTCGTAACCCTGGATTGGATCTGTTGAACTAGTTGCTTGCTAAGAATATATTTGAGGGCGCAATTTCTTGGCAGATATGTTGTGACCTCGGGAATCTCAACTTGGCAAGACTGAATTGGGTAAACCCAGGGCATAAGGGCTATATGTACAATAGATGGGGCGGCATAACATCATATGCTCGGCGAGGTAATGTCCATATCCGCCTGTCAGTGCACGCGCAACAATATTTTGATGTCCGACGGCTAGGTCACACAATAAGGAACCCAACGGTGGCAACATTACCACTCTAACAGTGTTTACCAAACAAGAAAAATCGCCTGTCTGCGGAGGCGTATCTCGCCGCAGCGTCTATTTCATTGGTTCAAGTTGGCTGTGAAGAAGTACCAATTATTGCAGGGGGTCGAACGCCAACACAAGTGGACATAACCCAGGTTGAGAATTAAATTGAGGCCTATTGTTGCACATCGCTTACAGGCATACATTTGCGAGATAGTGACTCGTCTTTTCAAAATACCAGTTTGAAAAAAGCATTTGGCCTGTATACGCTACGGTACCTGTCCTCGTTACATGTAGGCCTACTCCTGCGGCCAGTTCGCAAACCTTTACACTACATCGACGCCAAGTTACCAAGGCTCGTTGTTACTGTGATAGACTGAAGATCCGACTTCAAATAAAAAGTCACGTTATACAAAGTAACCTTATACCACTGACAGAGTGCCGTCAGAGAGAATTTTTGAAGAACTCTCAGCCCTAAAAAGAGCGGAAGCCGTGGTTTGGAAAACTTCGAACAACAACGATTGTATTAGTTGCGACAAGAATAAAATGTCTTTCATGTCTCATTTGAAACACAAGGCCCAATGGTTGACATGTAGATGTTACTGTGTCAAAGATCATGCCGTTGGTGAAGAGCTGAACATGGGCCTTCAGCTGGACCAAGAGAGGGCGCTGTCGCCTTAGCAACGGTGGCTCCTTTGATCGGAATCGCTGGATCACGGACGGCGTGGGAAATGTACCCGATACGGTTGCATCACTGCCAACAAAATTATTGACCATTCCAGGCCAACATGGCTCTTTACAACCGATGAGGGGGTGCGTCTCCTCGAGGCAGATCTAAGAAACAACGTCTGATAAACTACTCAGTGTGCGTACAAATAAAAAAATCACTTGTTTATCACCTCCAGCGGTTCGATTATTCTTTCTGCACGTAGAAATTCGAAACCTGAGACGCTTGGTGGCGGCAAACGCACCCCGTCTATTGCCCACATATCTAGAATTAATTTATATGGAAGCGGTAGCTTTTATTTCAGGAGACCTTTATAATTATTTCAAGATTTGGTTAAATCATGAAAATTCTCCAAACAACGATTCTGAGCGATTTTGAAATGGCTCGTAAGATATCTTAAAAGTATTCGAATGAAAAAGAATTGTGTGAGAATGGTTTTGGTTGGCAAGAGTTCATGAGCCTCTTTCTGTGTTCATAGAAAAGAAAAGCTTTTTCCTATGACCCTCGAGCTGAAGCCTTTTCTTGGCAGCGGGGGCTCCGTTGGTCGGAGCTGTACTTTACTGGTTCACAAACCACTATGAAATGCACATGTTGCGGTTGCATCGCTACCAACAACCGACGAGGGGGTGCTTCCGCTCGAGGCCGATAGTTTTTGTGGGTGCAGGCCAGTAAATAGGCCCAAAATTACTTGAGCCGGCCAATCACAATTTTATTTTCATGCATTCAAATTCGATGTTTAATAGAGTATTTTGTAGCCCCATGAGCTTCACGATTTGTAGAAAAGACAGGTTGAGGCGACCGACATGAATTCTAGCTTGTAGCTGAGTACGATTTGAAAGAAATCGGTGCCTAAAAACGGACTATTTTTGGAGGAGTGTAGGCATCAATCTTTAAACTGGCGAGGGGGGCCACACGACTGCTTTTTAGGGGTGACCTTCCGTGGGAAAAAAATCTTCAGAAGTCATCGGTTGATGAATGGAATATGAAAAGAAAGTGAAAGATCATAAAATGAGCTATAATTTAATTCGTGTCACAAACGGCTGAGAAACCCATGAGTTTTTCCTGACTTTTTGAAGTTCAGGTATTTATCACTGTGGATAATGGGACTTTGTTTACTGACCTGCAACCTTGTCACAGTCTCCAGACCAAAGTACAGCGCCCTCATTTGACGCCCCTTGTCTTTCAGCCCCCTTACTGATTGGGGGCGCCTTCCTCGGGCTTTTTCCATGTGCCGACCGTCTCCAAATCTGATTGATCTGCAGTGCTGTCACGTGGAGCCTCTTATGATTGACCAAGACGACCCTGGGACTTTTATGGAAGTGGCGGCCCCACTCCATCTGAATACAATACCGACGAAATGGAAAAAAGGTGGGTACCCACAACTTACTCTGGTCAATCTATGAGACTCATCTACACGGAGAGTGTAAACAAATCCTGACTGTCACAGAAGCAAAAGGCAAGGATTTGCACGAAGAAAAAAATGAACAGTTGGTGAAGCTGTTCTGCGATATCTTAACCCCTAGCTGATGACTGTTTTAAGACCAGAACTGAATTTCTTGGGTTTAGCCTTTGCGCCCATTCCACTTTTTGCCCAACTATCGCCCAGTAACATCGCTGGCCATTTGCGGTGACTGCCTTCGAGAGCGGTATAAACTCGGGATTGAAGAAAGCCATGGTTCAGTGATGGTCGCTCCGTCCTTTTTTAAAGTCCTTTGTGCCCCGTGCAAGTACTTTTCGTTATTGGCTGGGCGCCAAAAGTATAAATCTCCTTAGAGGTCGTTTCGGTGTCTGGAACCAAGGCGTTTCAGGGCGGTTCGAATGCCTGAAATTACAGTCGATCCAATTCGAAGTCAGGCGCATACAGTATATAGTCGCCAGGGCTGGGGCCAATTTCATAGAGCTGCTTAAGCACAAAATTTGCTTAAGCACAAAAAACCTTGCTTAAAAGACAAAGGTTACCAGCTCAAAATCTATATGATTGTCATGATAACCAAAAGACAGGTAAATACCATTCCTAACCAATGTACAACACTTGGAGTTTTGGCTGGTAGCCTGATTTGTCATTGCAAGGTTTTTTCACGCATAAAGCAAATTTTGTACTGAAACAGCTCTATGAAATTGGCCTCTGGTTTGCTTAACCCGTCGACCTTAATCCAGACCTTGGAAATGGTCTAGTTCGGTGTGACTCAAGTAGGCCAGTCCAGAGTGTAACACGTTTGGATATCGCACAGTCGATGGTATAGACAGTGACTAACAGAGTCTTAAAGCTAGAAATTCCGACTCAGAAGTGTTTCATTTCCCATGGAAACCTTAACATTTTTGCTTTTGCCCCAAATTTGTGCTGTGGGGGGAAAAATGACTGACCTCCACAAAGGAAGGGGGCGGGAACCCCAAACAAGAATTTTGTTTACTTGGCTTTCTTCGTTTTTAATTTTCTCCCAAAGTGCCATCTCGCAACGGCGAAACGCCGTGGCAAATTATTCCAAAAACATCTGTTGGTTATGGCGCTTCCACACTTCCGTACGGAACTGTTCAAATCATCCTATAATTAGACATGTTCATCGCCGTTCAGTTTCATTTTTACCGCTGTTTATGGAAAAGTCTGTGACATTTTGTAATTTGCGGGGGACGTGTTAAAATTAATTGGAAATTGTATCCGAAGGAAAAAAAATATGGCGAATAAACAGCTGTTCTGGTGCTAGGTTTTGCATATTATTAGGCGAACGCAGAATGGATTAATAAGTTCTTGGGAATGTGTATAAACGAGGGGGTGAATTCTAGGGAATTTGTTACCCTTAAAAAATTAGAAATTATCAGTAGATTCATGTATTGAGCCTTGATGCAGATTCAAAACAACCTGATTGTCGACATGTTGTATCTGCCTCAACAACCAGGCCATGTGCATTTTCACAGATTGTATTCAGTGGCGGAAAGTAAGACCCGTCGTATATAGATGACTGCTAAATATAACTCGACACTGCAGTATATCAGAAAGTTTGACCACATATATATTCGAATCACGGGCCTGCATTATGAGCAGCATCAACGTTTGTTTGCATGTGCAGATTTCGATGAGAAAGGCTGAAGGAGGCCACTTCATTTGTGTTGCAAAGATGGGGGAGTATTCTGAGATGACGGATATTTTTCTTGATTAATTTTCTCATGATTGTGTCTTTAGAAGCAATTACTCCAGCACTAATACTTGACAGCTACGCTGTATTTTTAAGAAACGAATGATTTTTTTGGACGGGCCTTAATGTTGTCGAGGTCGTCTCCCTAATCGCATTTTCAAATGGAGCTGTTCATGTGAAAATAGTCAATTTAATTAAATCTGTCAAGTGCGACGGTTCAGAAATACATTTGTTTTCTGTGACAAACCTTATTTCATCGCTTTGAAACAATTTTGGCGCCATGGTATACTGAATGTTTAGTTACCAGAATTATTCTATAAATTTGGGGTCCAATGTTTTTGTGTGTCCCCGTCACATCGTACATAAGATTTGTAGGTTTAAGAATACATTCTTCAGTTTTCCAGGGTTATAAAGTAATGCAAATTACTTGCCAGACAAATGAAAAAGTCTGAGGTCAATTCAAATGATATTTCCATATTTAGCTAACAGTGGCGTGACTTGGAGGGAAACTCCCCCCCCCGGCTTGTTCCTTCCCCCGTGTGCCACATCCCCGGCCCAGAAATTAAATTAGACAAGAAACAAATCCTACCGTCAGTGTTTTAGCTGTGACTGACCCCACTGATTGCCCTCTCCAATAAACGTTAATAGCCCTCTCCCCCAGATTCACTCAAATTACAACATTAGTGCAAATTACACAAGTCAGGTGTAATAAGGACACAGAAGTTATCACACTCTTGGACCCATCGGTGAAAGGTCATTTCGGGATACCACAGCGTGTGCAGTGGTGAAATTCATATGCTGTTCTCCACTCGTGTTCCGGTAAAGATGAACCACATTTTGTGGAGATGGGGGGCGATGAATCCAGCTAGGGGCAATTCTTCGGTATAAGCAGAGTTCCAGTCACGAGAGGTCTAGTCTTGTCTGATCCATGACCTTTTTTCTATGCAAATATTTCTCAGCTTAGCAGCAGGTCCATGATATTACTTGGCCCTGGGTGCAATCCGCCCAGTAAGGTTTCATGATATCTTATTTATATTTTTGGCTTTTCTTGTCGCACCGTGCACTCCTGCATGACTTTCTCAAGAATACCTCAGAGTGGATTTTTCTTTTCCACCTAATTTATGACAACTGGATAAGCCGTTCTCGTATCATGCCAAAATACCAGACGGGCGAAAATGTTAATGCCTCCCATTTGCAGTGGAAGCGCATAATTGCATGGCTCCGGCAAAGAACAAAGTAGCAGCGTGCATTATCAGATAACCGTAACAAAAAAGCTTTCTCCGACTGGATGCAATTTGATAGTGATGTTATTACCAGATAAATAAAACATTCGTAGATGGCTTAAGAGCAAACCCAGACCCAGTTTTTTGAGGGGTCAAATTTATTTTTCCTCGGGGAGGTATTAGATTTGGGATTGTTATTACGGAACAGTTCATTGTCTAAAGGGTGAGGCGAAATTCTTGGGCTGTTTACACTGAGGAAGGGAAACTGAAATGAGTCCCCCGGGAAATCTATCGTATAAAAAAATTACTCTATTAATTCTGCCAGTGGGGCAGTCAAGATCGGAATCGGGCAGATTTCCCGCTGACCCGACAGTGAAGTAAAAGAGATTGTTTTAAGGGTCGATTGAAAGAAAATGTTACCTCAAAAATGACCCCCCTAAGTACAATGCTTTTCACTCGGCAACAGGTTACAAGACTGCATATTTCGCAAAGCATCGTATACCGGGATTCAGTCTGGTCCTCCACGGCCTCTTGCCGGCCTTTTACCGTTTCAAATTTTGTGCGCATCTCAGATGAGAAATGTGGGAAATAACCTCTAGAAATCTGGCCCAGTGTCAAAGAGAAGAGTTTTTTTGCAAGGCTCGGGTGTCAAACCGGTGTCATGGTTGTCTTGGTTTAGACAAAACGTTTGAGCCTTCAGTAGCTCGACCTTTAGTTCGGGCTACCTGACCAGCTGGCATCGAAGGTAAATGCACTGGCGGCCTTTCCTTCTATCCGTTACAGCTGTGAAGCTTGTTCAAAGTGTACCCGCACTTTGGCTGAAACCTGCCCGGGGAAAAATTGAGTTCGAAGCACCTTCAAGGCGAAATTATCATAATTTCATGGGCCTGCAGAGAACTACTAAATCACACCATGTAGAATTTGTGCGTCGTAAAATCGCAGCAAAAAGCAATTAACACCACAAATCCAATCCGCGAGATTACAGTTGTTTGCTGTATGCAGAATTAACAGTCTTCTTCCATATTACAAAAGTTTCTCCTTCTTCCTTGAAACTCAAAGAAAATCTCAGAAATATTAGAAATCGAGCAAATAGTTAAACAATAAGAATAAAATCATTTTAACTCCAGGGTTTCTTTCATCCAAATAAAGAGGCCAACTGATCGTAGCACATGGCTTCCGTCTTTCCAAGAAGATAAAATGGCATGCCTGCGATCATAACGTTTTCGAAGTTTCTAACACTCTAGGAATACAAATCAATTAACTGTCGCTAAAAAATCAATTGGCAAGTATCAGATGGCAACTAGACTTGCTGAGAGACCAAATATAAACCAACTGCTTACAATCGTAAATAATTCAGCAGAACATCTAGCGTAAATCTATTATGTATCCACTGGAGTTTCAATGTAGACGTTACGAATCAAATGTTAATGCATTTGGCTTTTCCCACCCTCGTTAGTTGAATGTCTTGCGGTATACTGCATTACCACATCCAACCCGCTTAGCCACGCAAACGGTTTAAAATGAACGAATTTTCTAATATGATATTCCATATTACAATCGGTTTATGCATTCACGTAATTTTGTTCACTTATCTCTTTAAACAGTCTACCAACAGTGGTTTGGCGGTTTGACCAAAGCTCAAATGACAAGTAATTTATGACCTTACTCTATATTTGCCGGTATGTTTTAAGGAGTTCCGTGTCCTTGTTTATATCTAGCGTGAATGTGAAATATGTGGTTCAGTCTTGCTGATCTGTTTTGGCTTTTATGGCATTTTTATCTCTTTGTACATGATGTTGTGTCTTAATGTCTGAAATTGTATTTTATGTGAATAGGTTTGCACTATAATTGTAAAAGGGGACCCGATTCATCCTCTGTTGGGGAGGTTTCTTTCTAATTATTGTGAGATAAGTAAAACAATAATAAAGAGGCCTTGCTCACAGAAGCTGTGTTGAATTCTTTTTGTTATTTCACAGAAAGATAGACACCATAAGCTCCTCAATTCCTTGAGTCAAGCGAATGGAAATAACACCACGATGGCTGCCATGTAAAATGTCCGTAATGATACGCTATGAGTGCAGTCCTCTAATTCAAGTGAGACTTTCCAGCCAGTTCATTAACATTAAAAGTGCCCCCACATTATCTTTTGAAAAAGGAGATTGTCTGGCCCCCGAAATGGTGAGATTGTGTAAATCTTTGCCAGAATCAACTCCCTGGGTCTTTGGGCTTTCATCTGAGAGAAGAATGGCTAAAAAATACTGTTGAAAAATGGTCCTCAGTGCCCGAGAAAGTTGAGGGTTGCCACCTGGCTGCAAGCAGACTTCGGAAAAAAATACTTTTCGGAGGGTAATTTTGCTCTGTGGGAATAACTCAAAATGTAATCCGTTAACCCACAGAAAATTGAATAGAAAGTGAAAGATTATGGACCACACAATAATTTAACATGTATCTTAGCAACCTCAGGGATGTTGGTATGCATATTATTGGGCCCTGAACAATGCTGATTTTACACTGTTTTCAATGGGGCTTGAATTAGTGGACTGCACCCCCTACTCCACGACAGCGGATGTAAGAAGAGAGGGTAGGCAGTGTCCTTGCAGCTGCTTTCATGCTTCGAGTCGAGCTAGATTTAATAACACACAGAAACAAATTTCAGACTTTACGACAAACCCGTGTAATAGGCACCATTAGTTCCTGGAGTTAATCCCTTGCATAGATGAGTTAAGCAATGAAAAGGGTACCAAGATGGCTGCCGTGCAAAATGTCTGTGAAGATACGCAATCCCCCGACGAGTTATCTCAAAATGAGTGGGTGTTCAACGCCCTTGCAGCTACAAGCTTTGAGTCCAGCTGGATTTTACAGCCAACAGAAACAAATTGAAGATTTTACGACCAGCATGTGATTCCAACTTGTTCCAGTCCATTTGTTGGCTTAATGGTTGATTGCTCGTATACCACGTCTGGTACCTGTGTTTGTCCGTTGCCCGGGGTTCTGCCCTACTGTAATACAGTGCGACAGATTGTGCACAAAACTCGAACTGTACACGGATTATCTTCGCGTCTGGTACCTGTGTTTGTCCGTTGCCCGGGGTTCTGCTCTACTGTAATACAGTGCGACAGATTGTGCACAAAACTCGAACTGTACACGGATTATCTTCGCGTCTGGTCGATGGCATAAAATGACGGCATCAGGAAAAATGAGTCGCGCTTGGTGTTTTTCACCTTTGTCATATACCGATGAAAGGACATTTTTGTGCCCTTTATTTCAAAGCGCCTTCATTAACATATTTGAGTGATCGACTGTTAGTTCTGATTTCTAAAGCTCCAGCAAATACGGTTACTTGGGACCAGTTGCGTTTGTTGCGAATCTGATGCACTGAACGCTTCTGTTTCGGTACTATATCTAATCAAAATAATTTTTCATTTGAAAAGAATAGACACAATCTGACAGCATTCTTTTTAATAGACAACATTGTAGGAACCCCATAATTCGAAGATAATGATTAACAGAAGCCAACCTAAAAGTTAGTTTGACGGTATAAATCGATTTGATAAACGGTG